AATAGTTTCTTGTGTACTATTATATCTCTTTACTATCTGTAGAAATATTTTTTGAGACAGAGTCTCGCTTTGTTGCCTAGGCTAGAGTGAGTGCTGTGGCATCAGCCTAGCTCACAGCAACCTCAAACTCCTGGGCTCAAGCAATCCTGCTGCCTCAGCCTCCCAAGTAGCTGGGACTACAGGCATGCGCCACCATGCCCGGCTAATTTTTTCTATATATGTTAGTTGTCCAATTAATTTCTTTATAGTAGAGACAAGGTCTCGCTCTTGCTCAGGCTGGTTTCGAACTCCTGACCTTGAGCAATCCGCCCCTCTCGGCCTCCCAGAGAGCTAGGATTACAGGCGTGAGCCACCACACCCAGCCAGTAGAAATATTTTTTGGCAAAAATGCTGTAGTACATGTTATTCTGTAATCTGCATTTCCACTTAATGTATTGTAAATATATTGACCTGTTTACATGTATTTTAATATTCTGCAATAATTTTTTTTTTTTTTTTTTTTTTTGAGACAGAGTCTCGCTTTGTTGTCCAGGCTAGAGTGAGTGCCGTGGCGTCAGCCTAGCTCACAGCAACCTCAAACTCCTGGGCTCGAGTGATCCTTCTGCCTCAGCCTCCCGAGTAGCTGGGACTACAGGCATGGCCACATGCCCGGCTAATTTTTATATATATTTCAGTTGGCCAATTAATTTCTTTCTTTTATAGTAGAGACGGGGTCTCGCTCTTGCTCAGGCTGGTTTTGAACTCCTGACCTTGAGCATCGCCCGCCTCGGCCTCCCAAGAGCTAGGATTACAGGCGTGAGCCACAGCGCCCGGCCTAATATTCTGCAATAATTTTGATGTTGGATGATAATACATTATTATATGGACGCCCTGTTTGGTTTAACCACTCCATCCTCTCTTTTAATAGCAGCAGTTTATCTCTAGGTAGTGAGATTATGAAGAATTTTTGTCACTTTATTTTCATTCGTTTTTCTAAATTTTCCATGAACATTGTTAGATTTTAAGTTACACTGTAAGTTTAAATCAAGTTATTTTTAATTGATACAGATACATGACTAATAGTGCTGTGGTTAAAAAGATTGAATACATTTCTTATAAAAACGTCTTGATATTAGTCTGACTACTCCAAAATTCCACTCATTTTTCTTGAGTTCACTTCTTACAATTAACACTTGCAGATTTGCACTTACATTTTTTTTTTCTCCAGCTTACTTCTAACAAGTAGTCTGGGCATATTTTATCTTTAGTAACTTCTCTACAAAATCATCTTTTAAAACCTCACTCTCCCTCAAAGACACGTCTCTCCCTTTAACATATGGAGTAGCACAAACCTGTGATTTAGGTCACCTTTGTGAAAGAAAAAGCTGCCAGACATACTGAATCACTAATTTCAGAAAACTAACAGTTGGGCACTATAGGAAATAAAATCATCCATGCCCTACCGCAAACACTCTACTTGGGCCAATTAAATCACTTCTAGAAGGCTAATGCATACATGTAATTGGTATGATTGGTATCATACCAAAATCTATATAAAAAATTATTTGCATAAGGACATTTTGGACAATAACAAAAAAGAAAAAAAGATTATGAAGCAGGTATCTGGAACAATGGCTTGTAAGAATTATCAAAAGCTGGCATGCAGCCGAAGTACTAGTCTTGACTACAATGAGGTATAGAGAGTGAGTGCACATCCCAATCTGCCTGGGTCAGTCCCAATTCAGACCTGTTTCCCAGTATAATTAAGACCCACTTTCACCCCCAGAAGTGTCTCAATGTGGATGACAAATTATATAATCACCTTGGTTACAGGCATCCTTATCTGGAATGTATATTTGCCTAGAAAGGTAAAAGAGGCATAGACATTTAACTCTAAGAACAACTTTATCCTTAGGATTCTGATTCCAGATACAAGAGAATTTGAGGCACATGAAATAAAAACAAACTATTTTTCAGTGTTTTGTGGAAAGGTTTTTGTCAAAACAAACCTATGTCTTCATTAAATATTAGTTGTACTTAATTTGTAACATTTTTAGAGAAATCTTATAAATGGCTCTAGGCTATGATTATCTTCTTGCCATTTTTATAAATATGGAATTTAGAATCAATCATTAAAAGATCACTAAGAACTGGCTTTGACCAGATAGCTGGCAATATTTTAGAACATGGCCTCACCAAAAAAAGTCTTATTAATGAAGTCATTCCAAAACCTGCCAAGACTTCCCCCAGTAAAGGTAACATATGGCCTGTCCCCAGCCCTGCTGCGGGCAGGCATGCAACAGCAGAGCGCCCTGCACATGAGCACACACGTGTTTGGCTAAGGATCAACTGTCACTTGAACATTCAACTGTGCCTTCTGCCAGTATAGAAGTGTTTTATTATTTAGACAAATTCTAATTTGAAAACACATTTATTGAAAACTGAAAGAAGTAATCTTGTCTCTTTTTCATTCTTTAGTAAGTATCAAGAAGGGCAAATTTAGAGACTAGATAAATATTTCTTCAAATTCTAAATAGCTCATATTATCCTGGATGAAATTCAAATTTGTAGTAATTAAAATGTTAAAAAAAAACCTATTTGTGAGTAGCAATGGCCAAGATTAAGGCTCGGGACCTTCGAGGCAAGAAGGAGGAGGAGTTGCTGAAACAGCTGGACGACCTGAAAGTGGAGTTGTCCCAGCTTCGTGTCGCCAAAGTGACAGGTGGTGCGGCGTCCAAACTCTCCAAGATCCGAGTCGTCCACAAGCCCATTGTCCGTGTCCTCACTGTAATTAACCAGACGCAGAAAGAAAACCTCAGGAAGTTCTACAAGGGCAAGAAGTACAAGCCCCTGGATCTGCGGCCTAAGAAAACACGTGCCATGCACCGCCGGCTCAACAAGCACGAGGAGAACCTGAAGACGAAGCAGCAGCAGCGGAAGGAACGGCTGTACCCACTGTGGAAGTACGCAGTCAAGGCCTGAGGCCTGAGTCTCTTGGCATCAATAAAAACACGAAACTGGCAAAAAAAAAAAAAAAAAAAACCTATTTGGCTAAAACGTTACACATGTTTATTATTGGATAACATATACAAAATAATCTAATTCATTTAAATATAGTTTTAATGATGACCAGGATCTTCCTAATAGAGAAAGATAAAAGTGCTAATAAGATATCCACGAACCCTTGACCTGTTGAGAGTTCCTACCAAAGGAATATCACCTAGTCTTGATAAAGAAAATCATTGGGTTTTATTATAAAGATGTAAAAATATTGGCCAGGCGCGGTGGCTCACGCCTGTAATCCTAGCATTTTGGGAGGCTGAGGCAGGCAGATTGCTCAAGGTCAGGAGTTCAAAACCAGCCTGAGCAAGTGCGAGACGCCGTCTCTACTATAAATAGAAAGAAATTAATTTGCCAGCTAATATATATAGCTAGGCATGGTGGCACATGCCTGTAGTCCCAGCTACTCAGAAGGCTGAGAGGCGTTTGAGGTTGCTGTGAGCTAGGCTGATGCCACGGCACTCACTGTAGCCTGGGCAACAAAGCAAGACTGTCTCAAAAAAAAAAAAAAAAAGATGTAAATGTTAATTGAATATTTATTTAATATAATTCACTATTTTAAAACACTTAATGTGTTCCTTCTGAAAATGCAACCTACCTCTGAATTGTGATGTTTCATCTGTACACTCCCCCAGAAAGCTTCCCGGTACACAAATGTAGCTTAAAGTGAATATCACACACAGATGTTTGAAATATCGATTTTATTAGGAAAACATTTGATGGTTGTATTAGATCACAGAATCAATCATCTAATTTTAAAACTATGTTTTTAAATTTTTAAACCTGAGGAATCAATTACAATATGGATTTTTTTTCATTCATTCAACAAATATTTGAATACCTACAAGTGCCAGCATTGGAGATAGAGGGTAAACAGGAGGATCCTTGCCCTCGAGGAGCTTACACTCTAGCATACCAACATCAATGCATTTTAGAATATGGCCTCACAAAAAAAGTCTTATTAATGAAGTCATTCCAAAACCTGCTAAGACTTCCCCCTATAAAGGTAACATATGGCCTGTCCCCAGTCCTGCTGCAGGCAGGCACGCACCAGCAGAGTACCCTGCACATGAGCACACATATGGCTCTCTAGCAGGAGAGCAATATCAAAGAAATGTTTGTAGTAACATGATGTTTGTGACTGAGGAAGTACATGGTGTTTTATAAGTGTATATAGTAGGGAAGCTAACCCCGTCCAGGGAGGTCACAGGATCCCTAAGGAAGTTGAGTTTAAAAAACTGAGCAAAGCAGTGCTTAAGCTGAAGGAGAAAGGTTGAAGAAGAAAGGAGAGAACAGTTCAGGCAGAGGGAACCTTGCAGACCCTAAGGTAGGAAGGTTCAAAGAACTGGAAGAGGTCTAGCACAGCTGGAACCATTCTCCTGTGAAAAGAGGGATCAAGGAGATGAGATTAAAGAAGTGATGATCAACATCAAGGAAGCTATTAGTGGGCTGCCACTTCTTCTATAAGAAACCACTGATGTCCTAGCACTCTGGGAGACCGAGGCAGGAGGATCGCTCAAGGTCAGGAGTTCGAAACCAACCTGAGCAAGAGCGAGAACCCATCTCTACTATAAATAGAAAGAAATTAATTGGCCAACTAATATATATAGAAAAAATTAGCTGGGCATGGTGGTGCGTGCCTGTAGTTCCAGCTACTTGGGAGGCTGAGGCAGCAGGATGCTTGAGCCCAGGAGATTGAAGTTTCTGTGAGCTAGGCTGATGCCATGGCACTCACTCTAGCCTGGGAAACAAAGTGAGAATCTGTCTCAAAAAAAACCCAAAAAAACCACTGATGGATTATAAGTAACAGAGTAACATGACCAAATGTGCACTTCAGGATGGCCACTCTAACTCCAGATGGACTAGACTAGGTCGACTGTATGCAGGTGGGACTGTAGCAGTAGCAGGCAAAAATAAATGGGGAAATTCAGGAGATAGTTAAGAGACAAAATCAACAGGACTTGACGGAGTTTGAGGGCCCTCTAACGACAGTCAGTGTGGATGTCCAGTAGACCTACCAGATATGCAGGCCTGGAGCTCAGTGAACTGTGTTAAGAACTGTCGATGCAGGAATCACCTGCCTTTAGATGGCAACTGAAGCCACAAGAGGGGCTGAAATGGTCCAGCAAGACTAAATCAAACCAGGATAAACATATATCAATACATTTAAGAATAAGGAGATACGCCAGCGCTGGGGGGAAGGGGAAATGGGAATTATTGTTTAATGGATATAGAGTTTCAGCTTGGGATGGAGAACAAGTTCTGGAGAGGAATGGTGGTTGTATAACAACGTGAGGGTACTAAATGCCACTGAACTGCACATTTAAAAATGATTAAAGACCAGGTGCAATGGCTCACACCTGTAGTCCCAACATATGGGATATTGATGTAGGTGGATCGCTTGAGGCCAGGAGTTTAGGACCAGCCTGGGCAACACAGCGAGGCCCACCTCTAAAATTTTTTTAAAAATTAGCCAGGTATGGTGGCACACTCCTGTAATCCCAGCTACTTGAGAAGCTAGGTAGCAGGATCACTTGAGCCCAGGAGTTTGAGGTTGCAGTGAGCTATGATGACACCACTGCACTCCAGCCTGGGCAATAGAGCAAGACCCTGTCTCAAAAAAAAAAAAAAGTTAAAATGATAAATTTTACGTTATATGTATCTTAACACATTTTTTAAAAAAGAATAAAGAGATACTTCTGTATTATTTATATCTTTTAGAATAAGAATGTATTCATGTATTACTAATGAAAATCAAGATAAATAATGAAAGTGGGAGAGAATCAGTAGAGAGAAAAGTCTACAAAGGTGACTAAAAAAGAATGGTCAAAGTGTTAAGTCAGGGAAGCCAAAGACAGTGTTTCAAGGAGGAAGTGTTCAACTTATTAGAATGCTACAGAGTTAAATAGGATAAGCTTGGAAAAGAACCCACTGGTTTTAGCAACATGAAGATCAATGGGGACCTTGGAGAGAGCTGTTGGCAATAGGAGCCAGAAAGGGGTTGGGTGAGGAAAGATTGGTTTAGAAAATAGAGCCTAGAGTGTAGACAACAAGAAGTTTGACTATTATGGGAGGAGACAGGATGATGGCTAAAGGAAAAGTAACAGACACTTTTAAAAAAATAACTGCGTTAAAATATCATCAAGCATAATTGGCAAAACAATCATTTCGGTGAAAATACAATTTTAGGTTAATAATCTCAGTAATACTGGAATTTATAGATTATAAAACTTTTCACATTGCTTATCAGTTAGAAAGGATAACTGTGAATTATTATCTTCATTTTATGGGTAGTAAAACCAAACCACAGAGAAATTTCTCTAAAAAGTATATAAAAGGAATTAATGTTTATTAAATAAAAACCCTCACTGATTTTTTTAAGGTAGAAAAGTACAATGCACTGTGTTAAAGAAATCTTACTGTGCCGGGCGCTGTGGCTCACGCCTGTAATCCTAGCTCTTGGGAGGCCGAGGCGGGCGGATTGCTCAAGGTCAGGAGTTCAAAACCAGCCTGAGCAAGAGCGAGACCCCGTCTCTACTATAAATAGAAAGAAATTAATTGGCCAACTGATATATATATAAAAAAATTAGCCGGGCATGGTGGCGCATGCCTGTAGTCCCAGCTACTCGGGAGGCTGAGGCAGAAGGATCACTCGAGCCCAGGAGTTTGAGGTTGCTGTGAGCTAGGCTGACGCCACGGCACTCACTCTAGCCTGGACAACAAAGCGAGACTCGTCTCAAAAAAAAAAAAAAAAAAAAAGAAATCTTACTGTAATAGCCACATGTTCAAGAAGTCTAAAATTTAAAGGCTACTACATGTGTTAATATTTGGTACATGTCCAGCAGAAAACATTTTATAATCCAGTTACATCCTCATGATGCCGAAGTCAGTCTTCGGTATTGGTGCGTTGAGGGCTGCACTAATACTGAGACCTAGGATCAGTCTGGTGTCCACTGGATCAATAATCCCATCATCCCACACCCTGACAAAAGAACGAAAAAAGAGTTAGGAATTTACCACCAAACCACCATTTTTACACTCCATGCCCAGAAATGCCAAGGAGGTTTTTCTTCAAGGTAATACATGGATCTACTAATTAGCATCTATGCAATAGAAAGCATGTTCAAGAGAGGAGGGCAAGGGAGGAAAAAAAATGACATGACTTTAGTCCCAGGCCACCATAGAATGTCATATCAGGTTATGGCTTAAGAAACTATTTCTATAGGAAATACCAAGGAAATACTTGGTATAAAAATATTTTTACTTATTTCAGGAAAAACTTTCCTGTTCCTTTTCTGCTCACACAAATATACAAGTCAATTTGGTATATTTCTGTCATTAACATGAAGAGCTACATAAACCCAGGAAATCATCTCAAATCAGAGTCTTTACTATATAAAATTGTATTCCCCAAAGCTCCCCCAAATTTCTAAAAAACTATGCAAACTTATAATCATGATAGATAAAATCAGGAAGGCAAAAAAAAAAAATTAAAAAAACCATGCAAACTACTAAATAGGCTTCAGTATATTTTATTAATAAAACAGATACCTTCATATGTAGGTCTTTATTTTTTGCTACAAATAGGAGAGACAAGCAATAACTTTAAACTGCTTGCAGAAGAAACTTTTAAGTAGAAATTTTAGTTTGCTTTTCACTAACAACTTCAAATGTATAAAGAAAAATGAATGGGAAATATTATTTTTTAAATGTTATTAGTAGGTGGCAATTTGCTTCCTTTAAACAAACTGCCCTCAGTATCTGAACATAGCATCAATTATTAAAACATTCTTACATTGACAGACATGAATCAAATCTTTGCTCATAAAACATTCATAAAAGGCACCCTAAAGTATCAACAGCCAATAAAAAGAAAGCCACTTTTGTAAATCTGCAACCAGGAGAACTGATTACACTCCCTTCTGCAACCTGCAGCACAGTAATCCAGCAGGCATGGTGAAGACGTTGGTTAATAATGTTCATTAAAAAGACTGCTCCAGGTAAAAGGTTCTAACCAAATGCCTGATAAAAGTTTGATTATAAAAACAATTGAGCAGAAGCAAATTCGCATGCTACATATGTAACATGTAAGGATTAATAAAACATTGGCAGTTCCAGTAACAGATGATGATAGGGCTCTCTGAAAAGACAGGATCTAGCCACATTCAATCCTAAACAGGCCAGGGAATTTTACTGTTAAGCTGAGATTTACTAAACCCAAGAAAAGATTCATACAATGGCTTAGGAAACCTTTCATCTGAGACAGAAAGTTGCTGTCTCTGTGCTACCAATTGTTTCAACAGAAGGGTTAAAGATCTACAAATTCACAGAAAATTTTATTATCTTCTAACATTTACTTCCAAAGATAAGTCCATCTAGGCCATTTGCTCTCCTGCCTTCAATGTAGACCATTTAAAAAAATAAATAATTTCAGTATGAAAGTAATAAAGGATGCAATCTTTCTCAAGAGATGACTTATCTCAGCCAGAGCGGAAAAACACATTAATGGCTCACACAAAATATGCTATTTTTCAAAGTTTAATATTTCAACTGTCCCTGTGCATTTCAATCAAAAATCCTATGTGGAAAAAACTATAGATAAGCTTAAATATATACTTTATGTTTATCTTAAACCTCTTACATGGATTTGGATTTTTGTTGCTTCTTTGCATCTACTGCCCAGGACGTAAGTCTGTGTGTGTGATGGTAAGACGAGGAACATGTTTATCTCTCAAATCAAAGACTATAAAATATTTTGTTCTTAAATGAATTGACCCACCACAACAAAATATACCTATAAATCTATATATATTTAGTGAGGAGAGAAATAGGCTTTTTAAAAATCCCAAGTGGTATTATTTGATCTCTCAAACTAATTATGCCCCTGAAAATCAGTGTGTTTAGTCTTTGTGCCCCCAGTGCTAAGAGCAGTGCCTGCCATGAAGGATGCGTTCAAATGATCGAAATGGATTCTAACTTTTCTCCCTCCTCTCTGGTTTGCCTTCACCAGTAAATGGCATAAATCACAGCATAATCTAATTTTTAAAGACACAAACAGTTACCCTCTTTTTCCTATCAGCCCAAGGGATGAAAGGAAGATAAGAAGCTTAGATTATTGTTCAGGATGCAGAACATTAAAGTTGTTGAAAGCATGCGCCAGCAGGTCTCCAGCTGGGACAGGGGTGATAATTTATGACCTCATTAAGTGGCATAAGAAACAAATAGAGCCAACAGCTGCAATGGTGTGTGAGGTAATTATTTGGCGCTGACACAGGGACCCTGGCTGTGACTAATCGCTGTCTGAATGCATGAGCATACTTGTTAACAAGTGCCAATAACGAACACACACACAAAAGCAAACTAGTAAGTATGCCACCAATCTCATGCTTAAACTGGGGTAAAAACAAAATAATCAAAGGAGGTATGACAAGAATCCATATTTTTAAGCAACATTTAACACTGCTGAAATAATATAGCCAAGATGACAACTCGTATTCTCAGCTCCTAGCATGGCACACCTCTGGCTGTGGGGCCCCTCCAGTCCCCAGACACCTCAACTAGGGCTGGGACAAGGGAAGGGAGGCAGGTGGAATGAGGCCAATGGTGGCAGGTCTACAGCACAGGGACATCTGGGAGGGACTTCGTTTTAGCAGTAGGTATTCCCACTATAAAGAGGTAACAGTACAAAATTAAGTATGTCCCAACATCGATTTCTGGTTCCTACAAAGGCTGGCCCATCCCAACTGCTCAGGTCTCTGTAAAGCTGCTGCCCTGACTGCCGAGATGCACCCATCGGGGAGGTAGTTATTGTCTGGCTCCCACCTTGCACTGGAATAGTAAGGGTTTCCTTCCTCTTCGAACCTCTTAATGATGGGCTCTTTTAAAGCTGCTTCATCAGCACTGGAGAACTAAAAGCAAAGGGACCGTGAGTTAAGTCAGCTTCAGTGGAACAATCTCAAGAAGAAAAGAGAGAACAGGTTTCATGAATAATAATGTTACAACATTTGCTCAGTGATGTACAGATTACAAGTGATCATTAACATACATGATCTCACCTAAGATATGTGTATCAATTTAGGACACCATAGTGTCCCCCTTAGCCGAGACAATATCCTGAGGCTATAAAATGTAAGGTCAGAACCAAGGGTATAGCTTATCACAGCAGAGTATAATAGAGGATGTGAATTATACAATATAACAAAAGTGCTACATTACATTTAACAACCTCAAGATAAGAAAGTATAGAAGTATGAGATTTTCATTCAAAATAGCCAAAATTTTAAAAACTTTAAAGCTTAAAGGGATAAAATATCAACCACACCTTGAATAACCTCTTTAGTCAATATCCCAGATAGCTCAGAGATACTTTTCCCTAATTAAAAACTTAATGGCCTTCCCATCAGTATTATAAGGATCAAGTGATAATAATTAATTTAGATGTAAAAATCCTCAGAATTTATTTTAAAACCCTGAAAAATATTTTCAACTTAAAAAAAATTACACAGCAGAAACAAATGACTTATTTCAAATAAATCCTACTTCTTTTATGTAAATACTTTAACATCATTTTAAAGGTCGAGAATTTCAAAGGAGAATCACTAATACATTGTACTTTTTCCTCATATATAAAAATGAATTCAAATATCTGTATATTAAAGTAATTGAAGAACAACTATTTAATGAAAGATCCCCACACTGGGCTTCACAGTGTTTAAAGATCTGTCTTCAAAATATCAAGCAGAATTTTACATCCCACCTCCCCTACCTGCACTACCAATAGTCCCACCTGGACAGACACAGGCAAATAAAGCTATCCTTTGCTTTCAGGTACTAAAGTGCATCCGACCTTTTTTTTTGTGTGTGGAGTTTTCTCTGTTTTTGGAAGATATCCCGGGGGGCGCGGGGTGTGTGTGTGTGTTTTCGGGGGGGCGAGCCCTCTTCTGTGTTTTTGTGTGCCTCTCCTGTGCACGCGCTGTTGTAGTCTAGGGGCCTGTGGGGGCGGGGGGGGGGTCTTCTGTTTTACCCTTCCCATGCTGACACTACAGCACACCCGGCACCTTCAGGAACATGCATCGATCATTCTAAGCTTTGGTGCTAACACAGAAGAGCTGAAAATCATAACTAATAAAAATTAATGCACAATTTCATGGCTGGGCATGGTGGCTCATGCCTGTAATCTTAGCACTCTGGGAGGCCAAGGCGGGCGGATTCCTTGAGGTCAGGAGTTCGAAACCAGCCTGAGCAAGAGCGAGACCCCATATCTACTATAAATAGAAAGAAATTAATTGGACCACTAATATATATAGAAAAAATTAGCCAGGCATGGTGGCGCATGCCTATAGGATTGCTTGAGCCCAGGAGTTTGAGGTTGCTGTGAGGTAGGCTGACGCCATGGCACTCACTCTAGCCTGGGCAACAAAGTGAGACTCTGTCTCAAAAAAAACCAAAAAAAATTAATGCACAATTTCAAAAGGATCTCCAACAGAGACACAAACAAACGAATCCATTTTAAAAGCAGCTACTTGCTGGGTTGCCTTTCATCAAGTTTCCACTGCTCCTTCCATTTTTTTTCCTTTATACTTTCACAGTATAATAATGTTACTTAATTCTCATTAGATGACTGAGGCCTCCCACTCAAGGTATCCTTAACAACAATCTAAAAGTAAAATAACAAAAAATAGAATTCTGCTGCCTTTGGTCATAAAATGAAAGAAGCACATCAGACTTATTTAAATCTCACTCACTGCGAATGACTAAGAAGCAAACATCTTTATCCCTCAGGCAGTTTCTGAAGTGTTTTCTTGGAAATTCTGAAAAACTTTTAAATGACCACAAAGAAAGTACTCTAAATAAAATGGCTTTTAAACCCTAAGAGACAGGAAATGTGTGAGTAAGCCCGAACTGCTGCAACAGCTTCCGGGTCAGCATCTCCTACACAAAGCCATGCGCCCGTGCTGGACCCTACCCAGGAGCACAGAGGGATTCGGGGCACTCTGCGTCTTGGCTCCAGGGTGCTTATTGGTGAAAGCCAAACCCAAAGATAAAGGAGAAATGGCATTTACCTGTTTTCCTTCCCGTGCTTTCTGGTCCTTTACTACTGTGGCTAACACATTGGCTGCCTGCTCTCCGCCCATCACTGAGATCCGGGCATTTGGCCAGAGGTAGAGAAACCTTGGGCTGGAGGAAGGAAAGAACAAATTAATTCAATATACAACATGGAAAAAAACAAAAACAAAAATAAAAAAATATATATACAACATGGATTTTCAAAGGCCCATGTTTGCCCTTTAAATTAATGGTTCTTGATTTAAGCTGCACATTACAATCATCTAGGGAGCTTTAAAAACATATGGACATCTGGAACCCACCCCAGACTAAGCCCCAGAGTGAGGGCTAAGCATAGAGGTAATTTTTAAGTTCTCCAGGTGATTCTGGGTATAAAAGTATTCATAATATCCTTTTATTATCCATGTTTACATCTTTTTTTCCATTCCTGAGACAGGTTATATGTTCCTTCTTTAGTTTTTAGTTTGAGCAGGGGATTATCAACTTTGTTAACCTCTCCAAACAAGCAAATGCTGAGCTTTACTGATACTTCCATCTATGTCTGCTCTTTGGTATGTCCTTTCTATTTTTCTTGGTTTCACAGGCTGTTCTTCCAACCTCCTGAGCTGCATGCTCAGCTTGATGATTTTCACTCTTACTTCTTTTCCAATGTATACATTTAAGGCTACAAACCTTTCTCAAAGCAAGACTTTAGCTGCATCATGGAGTCTTAACGTGCAGTATTTTCACTGTCAGCCATTTCAAATATTTCCTGAATCCCACTGTAGATTTCTTCCAAATAGTACCTTTGGCATAAATTTAATTTTACTCCTCCAGATGATACAAATTATGGTATAATTGATCAAGATTTGTGAATGCCATTCTATACCGTAAATAAACTTGAATTAAACAATGCATAATTATACCTGATGTATGTTTCTTTCTTTCAGAGAAAATCATGACAACCCACCTGAATGCTCTGCCACACATCCCATAGTTTCCAGCCCCATAGGATCCCCCAATGATGACGGTTATCTTAGGCACTTGGGCACAGGACACAGCAGTGACCATCTTGGCACCATCCTTGGCAATTCCTTCAGCTTCATAGTCTCTACCAACCATAAATCCTAAGAGAAGGAACAGAAACACAGCCAAGGTATTAGAAGAACATCTTTCCTTAAACTAATTTTACCACAAGCCTCTTGCCCTCACAAAATATTTATATGAGAAATATACCCCAAAGAAGTTTGGTTTAAAAAGTAAGATAAAATTTTCTCTGATCATTTTTTAAACTTTCTTAAAACAGTTCATATGGATGCACACAGAAATCTTCAAACAACATAAGAAAGCAATCTACCTTTAAGAGATGATCTCAAAGCAGTAGCTTGATGCTGAAAGAATGTGACATGGCAACTAAGGACAAAGTACTGTGGCGAGCCAAACTGTGAGGGCTCAGTATTCACTGACCTGGTTTAAAAATATGACTGTTCCTTCTGAAGTGATCCTTTAAAACTTTGATGAAATAAAGATGAATGTTTCATAGAGATGCTAAGAGTCTCTGCCAGTGACTCAACAATAAGGTTTAAAAAAAAATTTTGCTTCATTGTAATTATAGGATTCTTTTACTTCTTCAAGCCCCCAGCTCTGCTGAAACTTCTCTGCAGCTTCTCTGCAGAAGGACTTGGGCTCCTTCCTCTTTACCTAATAAACACCAAATCAGCCTTCATTTGTCTCCCTCCCCAGTCTGGTCTCCAGTGAAGGGATTTCTTTCATCGTTTTCTGTACTCACTTGCCTAACTGATAGTCACTATTCGTGCTTTGCATATCTCCAGTATCTGGTCACCCAATTCAATTCAGCCAGTTCTTATGGAGTGCCTATACTTGCTGCAGCTACCACAGGAATGACAGCACATATCTTGCCTTCATGGGGCACTATCTGCTTTCCCAGCTCCCTTCTCTGCCAGGCCTTCAAAAAGCTCAGAAACTCCTCGATCAACCTCATTGTGACTCCCTGTAACATTCCCACCATCACTGTCTCAAACACCAGCTCTCTTCAGCTCTTACCTCCTATCCTCCCCCCCAAAACCTCTATTCTCTGTAGAGGGTCCTGCCTTGAAAAAGAAGAGCGAGGTCATCCTACTTGGCTTTCTCAATTACTTCTCCTTCCTACCTTAAAAAACCTGCATAATCATGCTCCCTTTCTTCCTTTACTCTTATCTCTGTAGAAGAAATTGGACTTACTCTCAGAGACTGTCTCTCAGCTTTCTTCCCTTCTCTCAGGGGTAGTCTTATCTGTTCCCACAGCTTTACTGTCTCCATTTTCTGATGATGCCTATGTTTTCATCTCCAGCTAAAATACCTCTTCTGTACTCAAGATTTATTCAACTGCCTACTACATTATCTCCAAATTGGACATTTCACAGGTCCCTCTAATGCAGTGTTGCATAACTAAATTCAACCTCTGTTCCCTGTCCCCAACACAGCAAAAATAAAGCAAAAATGTAAGTATCTTCCAAGCACAATGTTTAACTTACTGGTGGTTAACAATCCAGAAATCATTATTAGAAACAAGGTTCCTGGACTAGTTAGGCTTCAGAACCCCTTTTATCTGCCCTGTTACAAGATTTTTTAAAGCCCTGCTGACTATGAAGAGCCCAACTCCTCCTTCTCATGGAGACATGACTGATCCCAACAACTATGAGGAGCCTCTCCCCCCTCTGAACCTGAGGTAACCATGTATGTCTCAGAAGACTGGGCAGGGGGCGGGGCAGTACTGAGCAACATACAAAGAAGTGTATCAGAGAATCACAGAATTCTAGGAAAGAGATCTTAAAAATCATTTCATCCACCATGTTAAGATCACCTATGGAACATGAAGTCCAGAAACATAACTCACTTTGGGCATATCATACTTCGGGGTCAAAACACAAAGCCCCAGACTTTGGTTCAGGATATAAATGTACATTTTAAAAAGATACTGCTTTAGATAGAATTAACTGCACAATAAAAGATAAAGGAAAGGAAAGATGCAATAAAAGAAAAGAAAGGATTTCACATGCTTGAAATCCCTAGGGGGAATAGAATCCAGGGGAAAATATACTCCTCTTGGACGGTGATCAGGTGGTGCTCCTGGAAGAGAGCAGTTTGCTGCTTTCTGGGTGTGTGGGTGTACATGTGCAGGAATAAAGGGAGGCCATTTACGTGCCGGTGATGCACCTAATGCAGAAATTGCTTCATTTAGACAATGTGGATAGTCTGTCTCCTCAGAACATTTAACATTCATGAAGAAAAGTGTTAACTCTTAAAGAGACTAGAAAGAGCATGTGCAATAGAACTTTCTACTGTGAAGAGAGTGGTCTTTATCTGTGCTGTCCAATACATGAGCCACACTCAACAGGGCAGCTGTAGAATAAGTGTAGCCAAACTGATTAAGCTATTTTCTTACCAGTGATGTTTTGAAGGAACAGCAGAGGAATATTTCTTTGGCAGCATAACTGTACAAAGTGAGCACCCTATAAGCAAATAACATAAAAAAATTTTTAGGGGGAATTAACAACTCTATAATCATCATGCCTCCCACAAAACACCAAAGAGCTTGGGTCAAAGACAAGAAAGAATACCCTCTGTTTAGCTAGTATGAACGTATTTTAATAAAAACAACGATTGTACAGTGCTACCCCATTATCAATAGGACATGTAACTATGAGTTTGCATAATCACCCGTGTAAGCACTGGCACATGGCTGTAAGTCAACTGCTGTGTCAGGGATGAAGTTAATCACTAACATTCCAAACAAGTGAAGCTTAAGTAACAGAAAAGAAAGAACTGATGTCAATGAGAATTGTTGAACTTTGCTATAATTCTCTATTTCTCCACTTCAGAAAAGATAGAATATAAACTGTCCTGGGATATCAAGGATGACATTTACATCTTGATGATCATCATTTACATCTTAATGATCATGATTATAGTAAAATATTTCTTTCTTACTAACAATCCCCACAAAAATGAGATTTTTAGATTAGATGAATGCTAGAGACTTTCTAACCCTGAGTTGAGGAAATTATCTAATGATTCAAAAATGTGACTATTCCTTCCCAATCTTCTAAAGATTATGTAAGAAAACTCTTATAAACCATTCTCTTTATGATTTACTCTATTTGCAGATCTCTTTATCTCAGTTGGAAATGCCATGACAAGTACAAAACTGCAAAGTAATTGTTCAACCTCAATATGGCTATGTTTACAAGAATGAGAAAATCACATAGACCTTTGAGGCTTAGTTCAACAAATGAAATGTCAGACTGAGCCCAGCATAACTCCTCCCGGGTTTATTTGTGCCAAGCCGACAAACAAAACCAGGTAGAATTTGTTTGGCCTCAGTCTGACACTTCTTCTATTGAAATAAGTACATTATATATTCATTAAAAGTCATTATTTCAGAAATATTTAATATTTTGGGAAACACTAAACACTATTAAATAAAAACAAGTAAAACCTATTTATATATGGCAATATCAAGAGTGAGTACGTGTGAGTGTGTGTGTGAGTGTGTGTGAGTGTGTGTGTGTGTGTGTATGGTTTTTTTTTAAAGAAAAACTAAGGGAGCTGCCTGCCAGGTCACCCCTGTAGATCTTGTGGCAGAGACAAAAAAAAAGAAAAGAAAAAGAAAAAAACTAAGGGGGGGGATGGGCAATATATATAACCTTAACATTTGTACCCCCATAATATGCTGAAAAAAAAAAAAAAAACTAAGGGACCATAATAAAATGTTACTAAATAGCAGAATATAGAAACTGATTTTACTGATAACACATTTCATCAAAGACAAATTGTTCTTCAACTAGGGTATGAAAGAGTTTAACTGCCTGTTACCTGCATCAATAAGAGACTCTTTGTTAATTGAAGAGGAAAAACAAGACTAAACATTTTTTTTCTTTTTCCTTTTTTTTAATTGATTTTTTAACTCTTTTTTTTTTATTTTATTTTACTACAGAGGTAAGTAACATTTTTTGTCTTAAGAAAACATTTTATCAGCCAGGCGTGGTGGCTCACACCTGTAATCCTAGCTCTCTGGGAGGCTGAGGTGGGTGGATTGCTCAAGGTCAGGAGTTCGAAATTAGCCTGAACAAGAGCGAGACCCCGTCTCTACTATAAATAGAAAGAAATTAATTGGCCAACTAATATATATATATAAAATTAGCCGGGCATGGTGGCGCATGCCTCTAGTCCCAGCTACTTGGGAGGCTAAGGCAGGAGGATTGCTTGAGCCCAGGAGTTTGAGGTTGCTGTGAGCTAGGCTGACGCCACGGCACTCACTCTAGCCTGGGCAACAAAGTGAGACTCTGTCTCAAAAAAAACAAAGAAAAAAAAGAAAACATTTTATCAAAGTATATGAGTTACATTTATCCAAGTTTGGCTAAATCTAAGACAATGTATGAAATCAAATATTAAGCTAAAAGATATTCAAGAACTTTTTAAAGTTACACACCTCCAGTAAAAAAGAACCACTGTCTTTCCATTTCCAAAAAGTAAAAATACACTAAAGTTAAACTGATGATGGGATCGAAGAGAACAAACAGATCATGTGTCAGAACCCCTAACTAGGATCTCTGAAGCCCTCCAGTGCATGAAGCATTGGAGAATGAAACTCTTTCAGGACAAGTATTCCTTATCCTCTCAGAGTATTTACATGTCCTCTATAGCAATTATAATTCAAGTATCTTACAAGAATTTTCCTAAAACGAGTACATTTGATTTCTTTAATAGTGCTCCAGAAAGTTCATCACATCATGTTAATGTAAATCACCATAAAACTGTTTCAAATACTAACACACATGCACACACCAGTGTGCACACACGTGCATGCAGTGCTCTGTTTACTAAGGCATCTGGGTAAGCTTCAAGCTTTCACGTGATAAATTTTAATTCATTATTTGATCTTCGAAGTTAATTATGCTATATTTGGAAAGAAAATCTTAAAACTTTTTTGTTGTTGTTTAGAATTTCTTAAAATATTGTTAACAATACTTGCCTTTTTTGCAGACTCAGAAAAGAGAACTCCATTGTTTCCAATGATGCCTACTGGGTATCCAAATATTCGAGCAAATCCTCAAAAGAAAATTCAAAGAAGATTTATGGTTTTGGGAGAACATTTATTCACAATAAAGAGGCATATTTATATATTCTTTAATTTCATATCAAAACTTAAAACATAAAGAGATTTTTTTCTATAGCATAAAACAGCTTACATCACAATTTTTTTTTATTCCTAACGTACTAGAGTCTGGTTTTTTTGTGAAAAGGTCATGTTACATATAAAGTTATCCATTTGTCTTTGGTTGGTTTGGTTAAATGATTGGCTTGATGTGTTATCCATTTATTCATTTAATATATCTGAGTGCCCAGTATATACCAGATACTAGAGATAGTAGAAAAAATATGTAACTTATTAAAACTTTTTTTAATATCAAAAAATAGAAGAAAAATTAACAGATAAGAGAAAGCACCAACATATTGATACGCCAGAATACTGACTTAAAGATTTGTTTTTGTTCTTTACTGTGTCCTTGGCTTGATTTATTACCTTTTAAAAATCATCATGTTTATTTAGTGTGATAAAATGAAATAACTGATGGTCATCTAGATTTCTCTTTGCCTTTCAGGTCTAAAATCCTAGCCAAAAGCCCATACTGCACACCCTAAATGGCACTGCTAATTACAAAAGCAATTCAGAGGGGGAAGCTTCCAGAATGGTCTAGCAACACACTCAGTCCACAAAGACATGGGACTCTAGCACATCACTTACTAGTAAGATCCTCCCCCTGCACGTGTAAGATCCTGTCACCCACTAGACATTCGAGCCATACTATGCAGAGCAGGGCACATGCCCCAACTCTACTGGCAACACCCACAGAGGGATCTTCACCAACTGCCTGATCCCAACCCTCAGTTCCAAACAGGAAAGCAAAATATTCAAGAAACTACTATAGGGAAAGTGCTGAGGCAGGAGGAAATATTATGAACTTGAGCCTCAGAAAAGTCTATTCTTCTCCCCTCTCACCTTCTCATCCTGTATGCCTCCCACCTTCTCATTCCTTCCCTACCCCTCTTACTCACACCCCTACACCTCCACCCTCTCATTCCTCTCTTCTCCTTCTCACTCCCCCTCCTTTCCTGAACCTTATTTGAATTCCTGTACAGTCAAGAAGAGATGAAGGAAACTAGATGTGTTCCTGGTATTCTAGGGGACAATAGTGCCACAAGTCTTTTAGCAAGTACAGGGCAAATCCATAAAAGCAGAGGACAAGAACATTCATCTTTAGAGCAGAAACAGTTTTGACTTGTTTTAAACTGCTATACAATGCAGGTTACATCCTGAACTATTTGGTGATAAATCCTGTCTATATATCAAACAAAAGCTCTTAATCACTTTAAACACCTAATGTGAAACCATGAAGTCCACTCCCGGTGTGGACCCTTCTCTTGCTCACAAATCAAACTAGGAGAAAGTCCTATGACTTATTCTTAAGCCTCAATGTATATGTGCAATTTGGATTTTTACGGCTAGTTTTTTTTTCCTGCTCTATTATCTTCAGATTAACTACTATATTTTCAAGCTTTTTATGACCAAGTAAAATTCATAAAATTTGTTTTGCCATTTGCCCAAGATAGATTATTATGTGTCTAGCATCTATTAATATTTAAAATACATTTCTTTAAAGGCCTATGGACTTAACAAAACTTTAGACAAAAGAATTAACTTTTATAAATATCCTTATTTTGTTTTTCCAGACATGATATCATATCCTGAATTCTCAATCTAGTATTTGTATGAATCAGCTTAAGACCTACACAAAGGCTATGAGAAGGTTTAACTCATTCTACCATTTTTCTGGAAAGCTAAACATCATATAAAACTTCCAAGTTTAATTGGACACTAAAGAAGGAAGGAGACAGTGCTGAAATTTTCAAAATAATTAGAGTTATCCAGAGAAACAGAAAGAACCACAAATATTTTCTACTGATTTTATCCTAAGAACCTTTTTATACAGCTAATGCCACAAAGTCACAGATAAGGGCTGGCCCTACACCATAGCAGCTAGCCATCATCATTTTAAACTCTGGATCTATGAAGCCATTCAGCAACAAATGATCTTTATAAACTAGCCCCTTTTGAAAACTGACTCACACATTTGTAGTGCTCTAAATAACAAAGTTCATGCCAAGCATATCGAAGCCTTGAGACAAGAGATCACTTATTTTCAAAGCAGCAGAAAATGTTCATATTTTCAATTCTTCACCTTTATACCTGTAACTAATGTATCTCCATATAAGGCTTTGAACTCATTGAATCTGCTTCCATCCACGATTCTAGCAATGACCTAAGAGGAAACACAACAATGTTGCCAAGAAATTATATTACAAAAAATATTTACATTGAAATTATTTAAAAGGAAAACAATTCACAGTGAAGTTGTCACTTTCATAAAATTTCATCCCACACAGAAAATCTCTTTTTTTCTTTCATTGTCCTTCTCACAGAAAATCTTTCTCACTAGTCCTTCTCACAGAAAATCTTCTCACTAGAATCTCACTTGACATACATAGTTAATTCCCTGAAGTCATTCTGGGCTCTGATGTTGTACTTCATTATAAAAGCAACAGCATCATTTTATATACAAGAGAAGCAGAAGAGCCTCCAATGGCTGGTTGCTAGACTTAGAGCTGCAGGGACAATTCCAATGTATCAGTGGAATGCAAGGATTTAATCAGAAAGCCAGGTATAGAGAGGGCGTAGAGTCAGAAGACATATGCTCCAACCTAACACATCATATTTGATTTGTGTGTCCCAAAGTAAATAAATCATTTAACCCCCCTGAGTCTCGGTTTTCACTTCTAGAATGATGAAACAAAGCTGTGAAGATATGAGGTACTAGCAGTAAAAGATCCTAAGAAAATAATGCTGAGATGAAGAATCAGTTTTGACTCTCAGCTCTACCAGTGAGAAACTAGAGTCTTAGGCTGGTTACCAAAAATCCTCTAAGCCTCAGTTTCTTCATCTTTTAAAAAAAAAACTTTATAAAATCCTAACTAAAGCATACTACCTGGCTCTCATTAAAAGGTAGCTATTATTATTATTATTAAGCCCTTCATGGAGATTTATTGATTCTGAATCGGATATAACTTGAAGGATCATCCACATATACACTGTTAATCTAAAAGGAGTAGAAATTACTAAATAGTTTATTCTTGGGGCTTATCATTATATACCAGGACTATTTCAAAGAATTCTAAACATGAAGAATTTTCCAAACATCAGAAGCTATTTTAGATGACACATATTTTATTTTTCTACATACTTCACTTTTCTGTTTACCACATCAACCAAAGCCTTCTTTTGTAAGCTGCAAAGCCTGAAAAATGAGTGAATGCATCCTAACATCCATTTCTTCATAAAGTAAAAGCTTACTCTGAATTATTTTTTAGTGATTCTCCTAAAAGATCCAATAATATAAAAGGAATATAACAGTTATTTGTTTTAGGTGGTATGTGCCTCTAAAACCCATACCTTTTAACAAGCAATCAACACCTAATAACTATCATTCTTCCATAGGAAAATAACCCACTCAAAGGGCACAGCAATCTGGAGCCATTTAGTATAAAACTCACGTGTATTTGCTTTACAATAAACCCCACCTAGCCACATAAAATATATTAACTTATCTTCCAAAAAAATCCAAACCTCAGGAAGCAGATAATATGGCACTATTCCTATTTCTAGAAGCAGAAACCAATGCTCAGAGAGGTTAAATGCCAGTTACCACTGACTGAGAGAATCAGAACGACAGCCCAGGCTTTCCAACTCAGATCCCAGTATCATCCCACAGCTCCACACACTATTAAGATTTCCATGTAAGGCTTCTTTGCTATTGTAGAAAATTTTAATAAATTATATTCACAATAGTGAGCATGAATCAGCAAAAGGTAGAAGTTCGGGTTACTATTTAAGAAGAAGGCAAGAGTCTATCTTTTTTTTAAAAGATTTCCAATTAAAATGAAATGGAAACAACACGAAGGCATGCATTTGCATCTGTTTTGTTCACTTCTGTATCTCTGCCACCTGAAACAATACCTGGGTAGAACATGTACTCAATAAATACTGTTGAATAAATTAAAAAGTGGTTATGCTAAAAAGAAGGTACTTTCAGCCATCTAGAAAATGTGGCAATCCAGAACAATTCATTTTTCAAGCACAAAGTGTAAGCACCAATTTTTTTCTGTGACTGTACTTAAAAGTCAAACTACAGGTCAGGCATGGTGGCTCACGCCTGTAATCCTAGCACTCTGGAAGGCCGAGGCAGGAGGATCACTCAAGGTCAGGAGTTTGAAACCAGCCTGAGCAAAAGTGAGAGCCCAACTCTACTAAAAATAGAAAGAAATTAATTGGCCTACTAAAAATATATATAGAAAAAATTAGCCGGGCATGGTGGTGCATGCCTGTAGTCCCAGCTACTCGGGAGGCTGAGGCAGGAGGATTCCTTGAGCCCAGGAGTTTGAGGTTGCTGTGAGCTAGGCTGACGCCATGGCACTCTAGCCCAGGCAACACAATGAGACTCTTGTCTCAAAAAAAAGTCAAACTAAAAGCCTAATTCACAAATTTATAGTTAACTTAAGCTACCTTAGTTGAAGCTCTATAAAATCCAGGATTTATGACCTAGCAACAACAGGATATTGCCTAAATACATAATTGTACATATTCATACGATGGAATATTACATTCATCAATTTATTTTAAAAATATTTATTAAGTGCCTACCATGTTGCCAAGCACTATTACAGCAATTAAGACTTAGTCATGGGATGGGCGTGGTGGCTCAAGCCTGTAATCCTAGCTCTCTGGGAGGCCAAGGTGGGAGGATTGCTCGAGGTCAGGAGTTCGAAACCAGCCTGAGCAAGAGCGAGACCCGTCTCTACTATAAATAGAAATTAATTGGCCAACTAATATATATAGAAAAAATTAGCCAGGCATGGTGGCGCATGTGTAGTCCCAGCTACTTGGGAGGCTGAGGCAGCAGGATTGCTTGAGCCCAGGAGTTTGGGGTTGCTGTGAGCTAGGCTGACGCCACAGCACTCACTCTAGCCTGGCCAACAAAGCGAGACTCTGTCTCAAAAAAAAAAAAAGACTTAGTCATGAAAAATGTTACATGAAGTACTTTTAAAGACATGGGGAAATGTTTATAATTTAACTGAAAAAAGTTGAATTTTAAAAAAAGTTGTCCAATTATACATATACACACACACAATCTCAACCACATAAAAAATGTATACATATACATTAATCCAAAACATCAAAATATTAAGTGCCTTCTCTCTGAATGGTGGAAATTATAAGTGATTTTTTTTCTTTTCTGTATTTTCTACATTTTCAAAAATAATACATAATAGTTTTATAGTTAAGGGGGAAAGTAACTTAAAATATTAAAACTTCTAACACAGAACCTAATATTAAGATAATTTCCTAATTTGAAAACTATTCTGCCAGCTATGGATACTGAACAAAATAAAAGACTACATGCTCCATGCAAACACTAAAAACTGTCAATCTAGATTACAGAAGACTATGTCGACAATATGTAACCATAGCAACATCTTCAACTGTAATTAGGTCTAATCTTTGCTAATGTCATAGTGATCTAAAAGGGTATGTTTTTTCTTTCAATGACTTACTGGCAATTCATCCATTTCCTGAAATAAGAACAAGGAAAAGAAATAATTGAAAACTGTGAAGTTGCCTTACATCATTACTAATATCCACAGGACTATGGAGTTCTATTTATGAACAAATCATGCTTTATCACTGTGCAATGAAAATTTCCCAACCATTAAGAAGTTTCTCCCTTCGATCCTCCTGTTGTTCATAAGTGTGATGACTGCATTTTCACACCCACCTGGGAAGTGTGCCTCCCTGAAACATTGTTACAACGTCAGCACATTACCCCTCTGATAGGAAAAAACAAAAATTTCCCCCTCTCTTTTGGTATTTACTGGGTACCAGTGATACCTACACTGTGGAAAGGTATCCTTCCCATATGTGTCACTCCTTACTGAGATGCACATCAGTCCCTAGGCATGAACACACCTTAACACATTTTAGCTTTGAAAACAGATACACATACAAAGAGACTAGCAGCCAGTTTACATCTCATGGTTCCACTTTTACACACCTCTCGAACATCAAAGCTCCTCTTCAGGTTAGCGCCAACTATTCCGTACAATTCATCAGCAGGAAATAAAGGATCTTCAGGAGGTTCAACAGTAACCTGCAAAAATATAGAACAATTTAAAGACATGATTTAAAGGCGAAGGAGCCAAATGCTTTTCAGGAAAATAAAAGATATAAGAACATATCATACTTACCTCCAATTTCTTCTGATAATTTAGACTCTTCACGATCTTCCTAGTTAAGTGCAGGGCATGACGATCGTCCAAAGCACAGTGGTCAGTTACTCCAGACTTTCTGCAGAATAAAGCACACTACAACAATCAGAGCAGGGAAAGAAAAGTAAATAAATATCTTGAACCCAAGTCTCTTCTCTCCATCAAGGATGACAGCACTTTTACTTCTAAAACACTTTAATAAATGTCATCTTATTTGGTCCTTATGACAGCCCCAGCAAAACACCATTATCTTTGTTTTTACAAACAGGAAAAACTGAGGCACACATAAGTTAAGTACCTTGTCCTAGGGCCACAAGAACTCACACTTTCTATTTTCCAAACTTGACCTTCCACTAGACCACAGAGCTTCTATTAGGTGCCCATCCCCTGCACCTCAAACAGAACTGTACATGATGAAGTCCAACCACAGATGGCACACTTTCATGATATAGCTGGTAACAGCACAAAGCATTTGTACCTAACTGAGCTACTACTGAAGATGCCAACTGTGCTCTCTCATTTCTGAGACACAGCTGAGCCCCCTCCGTATATGGTTATATCCAAGAGTAGGGCGTCATAGGTAACAAATGAAAAGGTTTAAATATACTGACCCTCGGATTGTGGGTAAAAATGGGAATTGATACGATGGTTTTGTGGCAGGGACCATGGAGTTTCCCCTTCAATTTCAAGTACAATGAATGAAGCATGGGCTTGCTCTGTCCCTATTAGATGGCTTGTTATTTCAGATGCAGATGTACTATGGCTGTCTAATAAAGCATTAAAATAAATCTGTAAAGTCAGGCATATGCCTGAAAAAGAACTAGAAATTTGGTTCATTTTATGAGAGGACTAAGATGCTGCAATCTAAATTTTGATGTCTTATCTAGAGAAAACACCAAACCCTTGGGGCACATTTCTTAGAGCCGGGCTCTCAGTGACTTCATGCCACTTTCCACCTCTGAACTGGGGGTTCCTAAATAAGAGCAGAGACCATGTTTACTCCTCTGTATAACCCTCTGATGCCTCACAAATGGTAGACTCTTCAGTTTCTTTAATTTAATATAACACACCATTATATAACTAACCGTGTCTTTTGAATGCTTCACACATAATTCCAGCTATAATTGCTGACTTCTAGAACTACATTGTAATTCAGTAGATAAATACTAACAGAAGCAGAAGGAATGGCTTTCTAACTCAGTAAATATTTACAATATAGCGTTTGCTTATAAAAACTGGCTGCCTAGCATTTACCAAAACAGCAGGAAAGGGAAACTTCTGATGAGATACTATATATAAGTCTTTGTGTCAAATTAACTCTTAAGGATGACTAATCAGAGAGATATAAATATGTATTTATGACGGAGAGAACCAAAGCAATTTGTGCCTAGTAAGTTTTATGACACTGTTCAAAAAAAGAGCCATCACCACTTAATCATTTCCCCATGATTTTAAACAGGTTACGATGAATAATAACAGCAGTAACAGGGTACAGAGAATGCCCCAGACGCTGTGCTCTCAGGTAGGTACTGTTCCTATCTTCATTTTACACATAAAGAAATGAGACTCAGGGGGATGAAGTAGTTTGTCTAAGTCACAAGGATAATAAGTGACGCAAATAGAAGATAAAATCTAGAATCTATAGCCCTAACTTGATATAAATGCCTACAGCTTTACTTTTTTTAAAATAGTCAAAATTGTTGGAAAATTCATGCTTCCCAAGTACTCTCTTCATCTCCTTCCACTGGTTAAGCGTCTAAAAACAACAGAAGTCCACTTCATCCTATGCCCCTAACTAACCTTTTTGTGCCTTGTGGCCTCATTCTCTCCAAGTGGAAACATCCACTCCAGCTGGGCAAATCACTTCACTGTCTCCCGTAATAGTCAGTATGGCCAGATAGGCAGTAACGGAGCATCTACGTTCACACTGCTGCACTCACCTGCACAAACTCGTATTCTGTTCCAGCTCAGGCAGCACTCCACCACTCCCCACAACCCCGCCAGGGAGGAGAATCTTCTAATTACTTCCACTCCACTCATTCCCTTACCCATTCTTCCTCTAGCCTTGACTTGTAAAACTTGACTTGTAAAGCATGCTAGCATATTTATTTTGTCATTCTTTTTAGTTCATTCATTTATTTCTCTTATCTGGCTAATTAAATTATAAATCCTTGAGGGCAGGGACGAGGCCTAAATTTTTCTATATTTCTCATAACACTTCGTACAACCAATCTTGCTACAGTGAGTGTACAATGAGAAAGGGATGAATGAAAAGCTGAGGCAAAGGCCCCTTAACCAGCTATTCAAAAGGCCTGGCAGAGGAGGATCAAGATGGCAGACGAGAAATACCGCCAGAAAGAGTGTCTCTGCAGAAAAGACAGATTCTAGCAGAAATTAGAAAAAAGAAGCAAGAAGGCGAGCATACAGCAGACGAGGGCCGGAAGGAGGGGTACCTGAGACACCGCGAGACTCCAAGGGAGGAGGCTTTGGAGCAGAACTGGAAGCTGAGACCGCTGGAGCAGCCCAGAGACCAGAGGGAAGGGTAGATGGAAAAATCACCTTTCCCCTTCCCTGCATTTGGGACTGCTGGTGGGCTCCCCAGCGGGTGGAGAGACCTGGGGACACCAGCCCAGAGACAGCCGCCGCCAGCTAGGTGAGCCTGTAGCGGACACGGCACCAGACTCCCAAATCCCTGTGCACCTCCGTGTGCACAGACCCGAGCCGTGCGGCAGGCGCCATATTGCCTCCTTCTCCCCTCCACCAACCCTACCTGCGGCTGCCCAGAGAGACAATACAGCCACCAGCTGGAGGCACCTCCAGGGAACGGGACCTTCCCGTTTGGGACCCTACAGCTGACTCAGGGACTCAGACTGTGAGCTCCCTACCCGCCAGGCCTCCCAGTGCTGCTGGCACGGAGTTCCCAGGAGAACAGTGCTGACTCAGAGGCTGAGAGACACAGACACAGCTTGGGCTCCCTGTGGGTGAATTGGGACCGGAAATCCTCTCCCTGGTGGGGATACAGTTTGAACTCTGGGACCCAGAGGTCGGACCTGCAGAACAGATCCTGTGCACCAAGTCTAGCAGTTGGCCGGCGCACAGAAGGGATATTTGTGAACAGCCTGCGGAGTGTGTGTGCCTCCAGGGCAGATCAACATCCTAGAGAACCCTCCCACCAAAGGGAGGCCGTGCGCCCAGCCCAGGCAGCGTTTCTGCACAGGGAACTTCCCTGCAGGCATCACAATCTGGGGAGGCCTGGTGACGTGTGGTCTGGACTGCTGGCAGAGGCCCAGGAGTAGCTGCGGAGTTGGGGAGGGTGGAAAGAAGCGAGGCCTGCTCCAGACTGCGGGTCTCAGAGAGCCCCACCCACAAGCAGACTTTCTGGCTGACGGGACCTTCCAGCCCTGCCCTGACAGCTTTTCTGGAAGCGAGAACAGAACTTTGACCCTGCTAATTGCATTGGTGGTGCCTGAGGCAGGCTTACCCAACCCAGCTCCGCCCAGAACAAGAGCTGATAAAGGACACAAAACAACAGCATAGCCTGTTCCTCCAAGCAAGCGCCACCTACTGACAGGGACGGCACCCACTGACTCATTATACAGAGGGTCGAATCTCACCCACAGACACCACCTAACGCTCAGAACTAAACAAGGCATGTGAATACCCAACAAAACCTAAAGAAGAAAAACAACTGATCGACATGGAAGAATCAGCAAGGACTCATAAATATGAGAACAAACGGGAAACAACACCGCCCAAGAGGAGCACCAGCCCTAGAACGACACCAACCAATCAGGCAACCAAAATGACAGAAAGAGCGAATTTCTGTATGTGGATCATAACAACACTCACCGAGCTGTCAACAACAACTCAATAACCAACACAAAAGAAACCACAAAAGCCTCCAGGATCTGGAAAAAGAATGGACACAATGAAGAAAAGTTTAACCGAACTCCTGGAATGAAGAATCAATTCAGGAACTAAAAATACAGTGGAAAGTCTCAAGAACAGGGTAGATCAAACAGAAGAAAGATCTCAGAGATTGAAGATAACACCCTCCAACTAAATAAAACCATTACAGAGATATAGCAGAGAAACAAGAGAAAAGAGCAAAGCCTACAAGAGATGTGGGATTATGTGAAAAACTAATGTGAGGGTCATAGGGTTACCAGAAGGGAAGAAGACAACACCAAGGGTTGGACAAGCTATTTGAAGATATAATAGAGGAAAAATTCCAGGCCTTGCTCAAAATCTCGATATACAAGTTAAAGAAGCTCAGAGGACCCTGGGAGATTCAATGCAAACAGGAAGACGTCACAACATGCAGTCATCAGACTGACCAAAATATCAACTAAAGAGGCCCTTCTAAGAGCTGTAAGACGAAAGAAGCAAGTGACATACAAGGGAAAGCCAATTCGAATAACACCAGACTTCTCTAATGAGACTTTACAGCAAGGAGAGACTGGGGCCATTCTCACTCTTCTGAAACAAAACAATGCCAGCCTAGAATCTTCTTCCTGCAAAAACTAGCTTCTATATGAAGGAGAAATAAAAGACATTCTCAGACAAGCAAAGTCTCACGAGAAATTCACCAAGACAAGACCAGCCCTACAAGAAGTACTCAAAACAGTGCTATGCACGAGAACACCATAATAAAACTCACGAATATAAAACAACCAAAAGCTCCGAAAGACGTAATACAATGGCTCAAGAGCAAATCAACCAACAGATGATCAGTAATCTACCTTACCTATCAGTTCTCTCAATAAATGTGAATGGCTTAAACTCTCCACTCAAGAGACATAGGCTGGCTGAATGGATAAGAAAATACAGGCCAAGTATATGCTGTCTTCAGGAAACACATCTAACCTGCAAGGATGCATATAGACTAAAAGTAAAAGGGTGGAGATCAGTATTCCAGGCAAGTGGAAGCCAAAAGAAGGCTGGTGTGGCAGTTCTAATTTCAGATGATTTAGTTTTTAACCAACAAAAGTAGTGAAAGACAAAGAAGGTCATTATATAATGGTGAAGGGCACACTTCAACAAGAAGAGATAACAATTTTAAATATATATGCACCCAACTTAGGTGCACCCAGTTTCATAAAGCAAACCTTACTGGATCTAAGCAAAAGGATTAATAGCAACTCCATAATCACCGGAGATTCAACACCCTACTGACGGCACAAGACAGATCCTCCAAACAGAAAATTAATAAAAGAAATAATGGACTTAAACAAAACCCTGGAACAACTGGGTCTGACTGACATCTACAGGACATTCTACCCAAAATCCACTGAATATACGTTCTTCTCATCACCTCACGGGACATTCTCTAAGATTGACCATATCCTAGAGATTTACACAAAGTAAATCTCAAGAAATTAAAAAAAATAGAATCATACCATGTACCTCTCAGATCTCAGTGGAATAAAAGTAGAATCAACCCTAACAGAAACTCACATTTCTACACAAAAAGTGGAAATGAAACAACTCCTACTAAATGATTACTTCATAAATGAAGAAATCAAGATGGAAATTAAAAAATTCTATACTCCTACACTGCTGGTGGGACAGCAAATTAGTTCAACCTCTGTGGAAAGCAATATGGAGATACCTTAAAGCGATACAAGTGAATCTACCATTTGATCCAGCAGATCCAATGACACTCTACAAAAATGACACCTGTACTCGAATGTTTATAGCAGCACAATTCATAATTGCAAGGCTGTGGAAACAGCCCAAGTGCCCATCAATCCAAGAATGGATTAATAAAATGTGGTATATGTATACCATGGAGTACTATTCAGCTCTAAGAAACAATGGTGATATAGCACATCTCATATTTTCCTGGTTAGAGCTTGAACCCATACTATTAAGTGAAGTTTCCCAAGAATGGAAAAACAAGCACCACATATACTCACCAGCAAATTGGTATTAACTGAACAGCACCTAAGTGGTCAGATAGGTACTGCAGTAATAGGGTATCGGGCAGGGGGGAGGGGGGTGGGTATATACATATATAATGAGTGAGATGTGCACCATCTGTGAGATGGTCATGCTGGAGACTCAGACTTGTGGGGGAAGAGGGGAGAAGGGCATTTATTGAAACCTTAAAATCTGTACCCCCATAATATGCCGAAATAAAAAAAAAAAGCCTGGCAGTGTTCTCTAATGAGACAGTAGAAGCATTGCTACCTGCCATGCTTCTCCCACCACCTGGATTCTCCCCGAGGTCACCTGTCTCACAGGTTTCTTGTGTGGCAGATCAAAGGGAGGTTTGCTACACCTGCCAGGCCACTGAGGTGGTGATTAGATCTACTTGCCATCTTTGTCTGGGTTCCTTAGGGCACGGCCCTGGGCCCTCTTCTCTATCTACATCCACACCAAGGTGAGCTCCTCCAGTCCCACAGTTTAATCCCACCTCTATGCTGAGGACTCCCAAATAAAGATCTCCAGCCTCATCTGGACTCCAGACACACAGCCAACTCCCTACTCAGAATATCTTCTTGTCTATCTCACAGCATCTCTGATTTAAAAGGACTGAGACGAATGCTTGACCCTCCTGTCCCCTCCCCAAATCTGCTCCTCCTCAGTCACCTCAAATCCAGGAAATGAAACGATTTCATATCATCTTGTCACCTCACTTTCCTCTACCCTATACATGAATTCCAACTCTAAAATCGAGCTCAAATCTGTTCACTCACCTCAACCTTCACTCCCACCATGACCATGCACGCCTCCAGCAATCCTCGCCTATACTATTGATACAGTCACCTTCTGCCCTCCACTTAGACTCTTGCCAACCCTCCAGGCATTCTCCATTTAGCAGCCAGAGGTATTTTTTAAAAAACATATTTGATGGCCAGGCGCAGTGACTCACGCCTGTAATCCTAGCACTCTAGGAGGCCAAGGCAGGCGGATTGCTCGAGTTCAAAACCAGCCTGAGCAAGAGCGAGACCCTGTCTCTAATATAAAAATATAGAAAGAAATTAATTGGCCAACTTATATATATAGAAAAAATTAGCTGGGCATGGTGGCGTATGCCTGTAGTCCCAGCTACTTCGGAGGCTGAGGCAGAAGGATTGCTTGAGCCCAGGAGTTTGAGGTTGCTGTGAGCTAGGCTGATGCCACGGCACTCATTCTAGCCTGGGCAATAAAGCGAGACTCTGTCTCAAAAAAAAAAAATTTTTTTTTGATAATAGCACATCTCTGCTTAAAACTCTTCAGTGGTTTTCCAATTGCTCTTAAAAAAAAAAAAGACTCTAAAACATTTATTGAGCAATTATGATGATAAACAAGCAATAATAATAATGGCAGCTGACATTGATAGATACTTATTTAAAGCAGGTATTGTTTCAAGCAATGCACTGTATTACATCTCATTTACTCCTCACAACAGAAGTAGATGGTCTTCTTAGCCCTGAAGCCTAACCTCAAATGCTAGACCAGTGACGTGATGAAGCCAGCTCACGCCTGACTCACAAGAGCCAACGGCTTGTGTCTCTGCCTGATTCTGCATAAAGTGGCAGCACGTTGGTAACTTAAAGTCAGCCATGGTAGGATAATTTATACCACAGAAATTGATAAATGCCACAAATTGGGGCTTTCTTTCCTCCCCTAGAGAACCAGTTGTTAAACATTTGCCTGCACACCACTGGGTTAGCCTCATCTTCTGTATGCTCTACTTGTTCTCCTTCTTGGTAAGCCTTATCATGTATCAGCCACGTTTACGTAATTTTGTGGCAATTATTTGCTACGTAAGCTCCTTGAAGTCAAAGACAGCGTCTATCTTATCTTGAGCACCTAGAACAGTGCCTGGTACATAAGAGGTGCTCAATGAATGTTGGTTAAATAAATAAGAACAAATAAACTGTGATTCGGTCTGGCAAGTTTGGCTCAGGGAAAAAAATTTAAAACTTCTTTTAAACAAAATGACACTCAATCCTGGAAAGGAACAACCATTTCTGTTTCACCTGCAATGAAGATCAGCACCTCCAAGATCCTCAGCGGACACCTCCTCTCCAGTTGCCGCTTTAACCTACAACAAGGATAAAAATCAACAGTGAGACAGGCCCATCAGATATAAAACTGCTCTCCTAACATGCACATCTCCTAACTTGACTATGCCTATACTCTCTTCTTTAGAACACTGCATTTTCTCATTCTACCCACCTAGAAAACCTAAAGAATATTATCTCTATTCTACAACTGAAAATGTGAGCCCAGAGTCACTAATTACTTGCCTGCAACCCCAGAGCGAGCAAGAGAGCTTGACTTAAGCCCAGGCGTTTCTGACCCGAAAGCCCATCCTCTTTCCCGACGTCATGCTGCCTCGACACACGTGGTCCAGGCTTTGCGTCTATGCGTGTGCTCCTCCCACTGCCTGGAATCCCTTCTCCTTCTCACCTACCTGGCGAATTCCCGCTTACCCTTCTAGTCCCACCTCATGTCACCTGCTCTGTGCAGCTTCCCTGACTCACTTGGACCTTCTTGTCATTAATGACACCCCATGGTATTATAAGAGTAATGCTTGCACATCCGTGGTCCAAGAGCATTCCGCTTACATTTGTCAGGCCGTATTTCAGTAATGTGCATGTATCTCTGCTGTCTTCTCTATGCTGTGAATTCCTGATGGCAGGAACTGTGATTTATCTTTAGTTATACTCAATAACTATGCTGAAAAATTCCAGTTACTATTATAAACTCTGTGTAATACCTTGAAGTAGGAAAAAAATCTCTAATTATCTAAATCCAAGATGCAGGAGAACATGACCAAAAAGAAACAAACCTCAAGTAATAAATTAACAATAACTTAATTACAGCCTGAGAAATTCTACCACGAAAAAAAGAAAGAAAAACCATTTAATGCTAAATGCCAATCTAATTCCTTAGAAATTGCTTATTGATTCCTAATTGTTTAGGTTGGTTAATTTGTTTCTTTTTCCTCAAGCAAGAAAAGCTTTTATTGGAATAAAGACCATTAATCTAAAGTACAGCACAGAAAAGATTTATTACTCATTACATCAAAAGCTCTGTCTTAAATAAAATATCTTTCCACAGGGAGAGGCAATTAAAATTTTCGCCTCCAATTATTCCACCCCCAGAGCTAAAGTCTCAGTTCTCTTCTTTCCAAAAACTTCAGGGTAAAATAGCATTCAGTCCAGACAATAACCAATTATAAGAGGTGTCTGGATATTTAAAGTTATAAAAAAGGAATAAACAATAGATATACTACATTTATTCCAGGGATCTGACTAATATCAACTGAAAAAATAAGGATTTGTCATCGGTTAATATTCACTGAACACCCACAGCATGCCTGACACTGTGGAAGTGCAGAGATGATAAAAGTCAAGGAGAAAATTAAAGCAGCACATCCTACTAAACAAGTTCAGAAGACAAACAAAAGGAAAAAAGAACAAAAGGCTCCTTCAAAAACATGTCTTATAATCTATTTTTTTCTAACCACTCTAAGCTACTAAAAACTATAGCAACTAAATCCCACACTGTGTGAAACCTCCAAAGCCTTGTCTCAGATTTCAGTAACACAAGAGTCACAACTGAGAATTCTCAAGTGCAAGAGGCTACTGCTGCTTTTCTCTCCTCCTGAACATGGTGTTTGTAAAAGGCAGACTGCTGAATGAGGGTCAGCTCTCTAGCAGAACTTCAGGCTTCTCTGGCTGCTGAGTTACTTCTTTCTAATATACAAGTTAAATCCGAATACGCTGAATGGACACTGTAATTACTGACCCTTAGACAAAATCTTCTCTCTAAAACACTTCACATTATTCCAGTATTATGATCTGCCTATAGTCTCAAAAAGATGTCTTCAAATTTTAGTCATTTCTTTAGTCTTCAAAAATGAGTCATATCTTTACTCATTTTCTGGTAAAAAGATAAACGAGAACTGCTCGTGACAGTTTGTACCCTTAACTATACAAATGTAAATTTTGCATGCATATTTCTCTCATTAATCAATGACAACTGTCACATACAGCAAAAGAAATGTTAAATAGTAATAGTAATAATAATAGTAATACAGGCTTTTTGAATGCCTTGAGACTTTTACCAATTGGAAATGGCAGCTCTTCAAGCTTACCTGATCCTCAATAATAAGAGCTATGAAAAATTAACACAGTCTTTTGGGAAATACACTTGTTTTACATCAAAGTACAAGCACTATTTAACATACTCTTTTTAATAAATTTGTATTAGTATTCCAAAACCAAAGATGATTCTTTGATAAACTTTTGAAGCAATGCACTTTTTGAAACAGAATTCACATATCATAAATTCACCATTTTAAAACATACAATTCACTGCTTTCAGTATATTTGTGAAATTATACAACCATCACCACTACCTAATTCCTGAGCATTTAGTCACTTCCAGAAGAAACCCAGTATTCATCAGCAGTCCCTCCCTTTTCCCTCCTCCTCCCAGTCCCTGGCAGCCACTAATCTACTTGCTGTCTGTATGAATCTGCCTATTCTAAATGCTTCACAGAAGTAGAATCATAAACTATTCGTCCTTTTGTGCCTGGCATAGTGCTTTAAATAGTGTTGCTATCCACGTTGCAACACGTGTCAGAACATCATTCTTTTTCATGGCTGAATAAGATTCTATTGTATGTATAGTTTTCTAAACTCCCTTTCTTCTTTTCACCTATTTGATATTCTTAGATTTCACTTATATAATGGGCACTTTTATTGGAAGGTGTGGCAAAGTGCTTGTAAGACACTTTGAAGTCTAGGTGGTGTCATGATATAAGCCTGGCAGGGAGATGTACATATTACCAAAGTCACTGGAATGGAGCCAATCAAACAGGAGGTGAGCAAGAGCCTGGGGTGACATAATCCAATTATCAGTGCCAGCACCCAAGCAGGTGACTACTAACGCTGCACTGGACCCCACTCTTCTCCCATGCTTGAAGTTTAATGCTCTGTAGTAACCCTCTTGAAATAATCAAGCTTTGAGTTTGTGCAAATGACATTTGAGGGAAAAACAGAGAGCGTGTGTTGGGGCTTGGAGCCTCAACTCTTGACTGGTCTGCCTCCTGCCACCTCCCTAGGGCGGGTTCTTGGCTCCCTGATTGCCTGCAAACTGGCACCTGGGCTCTGGTTCTCTCTACTTCCTATTTCTGATCCCTGCCTTGCAGCAATTGCTGCCATCTGCCCCCAGTGGCATGGAGTGGTTGCAGGGAGGACCACAGTCTCGGGCCGGCAGGGCTGAGCTGTGTTCTCCTTTGGGGGCCTCGGAGGAAGGTGTGGGCTGGAAGCTACCCTCTTGCCCATGCTTGATCCAGATAGCCAGCACATCCTGACATGAAGGTGGCACACCTGTGGGGGTCATGTGTCCACTGCCAGTTGGGATGGCAGGCCCATGGAAGGAGAAATGCCTGGGAGGAGGAGTATTCCATGCCTGAGGGGCATGACATCATGAAGTAAATAAAAAAATCTAAGCTGGGCACAGTGGCACATGCCTGTAGTCCCAGCTACTGAGGAGGATGAAGTGGGAGGATCCCTTGAGCCCAGGAGTTTGAGGCCAGCCTGGGCAACACAGTGAGACTCTGTCTCTTAAAAAATAAATCCAGGCCGGGCGCGGTGGCTCACGCCTGTAATCCTAGCACTCTGGGAGGCCGAGGCGGGCGGATTGCTCGAGGTCAGGAGTTCAAAACCAGCCTGAGCAAGAGCGAGACCCTGTCTCTACTATAAATAGAAAGAAATTAATTGGCCAACTAATATACATAGAAAAAAAATTAGCCGGGCATGGTGGCCCATGCCTGTTGTCCCAGCTACTTGGGAGGCTGAGGCAGAAGGATTGCTTGAGCCCAGGAGTTTGAGGTTGCTGTGAGCTAGGCTGACGCCATGGCACTCACTCTAGCCTGGGCAACAAAGCGAGACTCTGTCTCAAAAAAAAAAAAAAAAAAAAATTCATAGAGACAGAAAGAAGAATGGTGATTGCCAGCGGCAGGGAAGTGGCAGGAATAGGAGTTAGTGTTATGAGTTTCAGCTGGGGGAGATGAAAAAGTTCTAAAGATGGATGGCAGTGATGGTTGCGCAACACTATGAATATACTTAATGCCACAGAACTGTAAAAACAGTTAAAAAGGTAAATTTTATGTTACGTATATTTTACCACAATATTTTTAAAAACATCAAAAAATAGTTAAAATGATATATTTTATGTTATGTATATTTAACTTCATTAAATCAATCAACCAATTGAGATTATGTTCTTACCAAGGGGGGTCCTCCCAAGAAGATGGTACCCTGCTTGCGCACAATGATGTTTTCGTCAGCCATTGCAGGCAGATAAGCACCTCCGGCTGTACAAAACCCCATGACCACGGCTATCTGAAATGCAACCACATGACAAATACGTGAGATGTAGCTTAACCAGTGAATTGTATAGTGTTTGGTTTACAATCCCACACACGTTACAGTGACCAGGGGATATTAACTAGCTGGTCCCTGAAAATCATTTTAAAATGGAGTCCTCTAAACATTTGAAATACGTTTCCTGACTTCTTATATAAAAACATTTTGAAGACTTATGTCACAGTTTTATAAAATTTATAGACAATCTCCCTGTCAGAGAGAAGACTGGCTGGACAGACTAGTGGCCTGAGCAACTAATGCAGAGAAAAAACCAAAATACTCCCATAACTTTGCAAAAGTGTATTAAAAGGATAATTTTTAAGGCTAGTAATAATAAGTTCCTAAATATTTGCCACTTGCCTCATAGAAATATTGAGATAATTGAGTATTATTATTGAGAAATATTATTAATATTTTGTGTTACCCTAGACATGATACTATCTAAAAATAAAACTAATGTTAACACTGCAGTTAAAAATGTTGCTCAGGCCGGGCATGGTGGCTCATGCCTATAATCCTAGCAGTCCGGGAGGATGCAGTGAGAGGACTGCTTGAGCTCAGGAGTTTGAGACCATCCTAAGCAAGAGCAAGACCCTGTTTCTACAAAAAATAGAAAAATTAGCTGGGCATCATGGTACGCACCTGTAGTTCCAGCTACTTGGGAGGCTGAGGCAAGAGGATCACTTGAGCCCAGGAGTTTGAGGTTGCAGTGAGCTATGATGACACCACTGCACTCAAGCATGGCTGACAGGGTGAGACCCTGTCTAAAAAAAAAAATCTTGCTCAAATAAAAAGTTGATTGTATTGAAGCTGAGCGATGTATACATGGGGGTTTGCAGTAATATTTTCTCTACTTGTGTTTAAAATTTTCCATAATAAAAAGCTTTAAAAAATTCTTGCTCAGAAATCAGCAGGGCACAAGGAATAACAGTAAGTATGGGTTTGGCTGATTATTCCTAAACAGGAATAAATAATATCACCAAAGAAAAATAAGGAAAGTATATAATGGATACTTTTTAAATTATCATCTGAAAGCAGTTTTTGCTACTAATTCTAATATTCTATCAGTTTTCCTTATAGGCATACAAATATCTGTTTTGAAAAACAGCAGGTCATACTAGTATTAATGTAAAAATGCAAGGTAGCATAAGTTAACATTTTTCCTTATAATGAGCTGTCAAAAAAAAGCATTTTTCCCTAATCAGAGCTTTTATGTATATTATTAAAAGTAGCTGCAATATTTATTTGTCAACATATCACAAAGGTGTTTATCATTTACAGTTTTACATATCAATCACCAAGAAGTTTCTTTCACAAATATCAATAGCTATAAAAATTGTTGTCCAAGAGCAGAAGAAAACACATAGCAGTGTTTATAATAGCAAAAATATGTAAATAACTAACATGTTCATCAATACAACAATTTGAATGTATAAATAAATTTTTAAATGAATTAAGTTCTTTAAAAATCTGAGGCAGGCCAGGCACAGTGGCTCACACATATAATCCTAGTACTTTGGGAGGCCAAGGCAGGAGGATCACTGGAGGCCAGTAGTTCAAGACCAGCCTGGGCAAATAGCAAGACCCCATCTCTACAAAAAATAAAAAAGTTAGCTAAGCATGGTGGCACACACCTATAGTCCCAGCTACTCAGGAGGCTCAGGCAGGAGGATCCCTGAAGCCTAGGAGTTTGAGGTTACAGTGAGCTGTGATGACACTACTGCACTCTAGCCTGGGCACCAGAGCGAGACTCTGTCTCAAAAAAAAAAAAAAAAAAAATCTGAGGCAAAAATAACAAAATGCATTTTAACACTTAATAGATCTGGGTGGTGGGCACACAAGTGTTCTGAACTATTATTCTCTGTACTTTCTTCATGTTTGAAATATTTATGGGCTTTTTAGGACACAAGTTCACCTTATCATCCTGTTCTCTTACACCAGAACATCAGGTTCAGCTCAAACTGTTTCAGTACCCAAAAATAAAAAAAGGCAAGGAACTTAGAGAAGAATCACAATGATATTAGAATCTAAAAGAGAACAGTTTACCAAAATAAGACCAAAGAACTAAACAGGCATAGCAGAGTTCCACAAAAAACAACTGGAGAGCAAAAGGAGAGGAAAGAACAGCAACTGTCAGCAAGTATGCAAAGACCAAGGATGGGCGGGAGGTGGGGAGCAGGGGAGACAAAGAGGAACTATTTTGTCAAAATGTAGTAGGACAAAAATGAGAGAAATGAAACTAAATGCCATCATACCATCTACTATAGACTGAATGTTTGTGTCTCCTCCAAATTCATATGTTGAAGCCCTAATCCCCAATGTGATGGTATGTGGAGGTGGAGCCTCTGGAAGGTAATTGGGCTTAGATGAGGCCATGAGAGTGGGGACCACATGATGGGATTAGTGTCCTTATTAAAAGAGGAAGATCTGTCTGTCCAACATGTGAGGACATAACCAGGAAGAGGCCCCTGACCAAGAACCGGACCATGCTGGCACCCTTATCTCTGGAGACTTCCAGCCTCCTGGAACTATGAGAAATGAATGTTTGTTGTTTAAGCTATCCAGTGCATGACAATTTGGAACAGCAGCTGGAACTAAGACGCCATTTAAGGTGAGGAGAGAAGGATGGAGGGGAAATCTACCAATTTAGCAGACAAGTCTCACAAGTGAATAGTTGACAAAATATTAGCACATCTACTTCAGGGAATTTTATCATATTGCTGAGAGCACTTTGGATGCATTTTCTCTACAGTTCCTCTGCAACCAAAGAATTCAATGATCCACCTTTCTGACACTAGATACACATGCTCCAAAGGAGACAGAAGATTCCAGTAAGCAAACTTCTAAAATAGCCCCCAATGATCTCTGACTCTTGGTATTCACACCCTGTGTAATCCTCTCCTCTTGAGTATGTGGTAGGTCCAGTGATTTGCTTATAATGAATAGATCATGGCAAGTGATGTGATATCATTTCTGTGATCAAGTCATGAGAAACTGTCTGCTATCTTGCTGGCTTTCTCTCTTGTCTTCTCACTCTCTTGCTTTGATGAAGGCAGAAGACACGCTGTGAGATGCCCTAGGGAGAGGCGGTGTGCTAAGGAACCAAGGAAGGCCTCTGGCCAGCAGCTCATAAGGAAACGAGTGAGGCCTAAAAAGATCTGAATCCTGCCCAACAGCCATATGAGCAAGCTAGGGATTGGATCCTTCCTAGTCAAGGATGATGAGGGAAGACTGCAGCCATGTGAGAGACCCAAAGCTACACTCCCAACCCATGGAAACAACAAGATAAGAAATGTGTTTTGTTTTGTACTGCCACGTTTTGGGTTCATTTGTTCTGTAGCAATAGTTAACTAATACAGAGATCAAAAACCATCTATCTTTAGTGACTATAATTAAAGTACATCTGAAGACTTGACACAGACTTTGGAAGTACTTTTTTATTGTTGCTCCTCAAAGAATCTATCTGGAAACTGTGCATCTATTCCAGACAGATGAGATGAGAAAGACCATGAATAGAACTTTATGTACCTTCTTCCCAGAAATGAAAAACCAAGAGCGAGACATGGATAAACCTTGGAACCATTATGTTAAGTGAAAGAAATCAGTTACAAAAGACCACTTATTATATGATTGCAGTTACATGGAATGTCCAGAGCAGGCAAATTCATATAGACAGAAAGTAGATTAGTGGTTGCCTAGAGCTGGGTAGAAATGGAGAGTCACTGCTAATGGGGTGATGAAAATATTCTAAGATTGATTCAACCCTGTGAATATCCTAAAAACTATTGAATTGTACACATTAAATGGGTGAACTTATATGGAATATGAGTTGTATCTCGATAAAACTGTTAGTAAAAAATTTTAAACAATAAACAAGAGCTAGAGTGACTAAATACAAAGGAGTCAAAATTTTCCAATGTTTCATCAATAACATAGGTCATTCTCATAACAAGTATCTAACAGGCAAAAAACTTAATATTGATAAAGCAAGTTCTGATAATAGAAATAAAAATTAAATAAAAGAGCAGAGATAGGAGAAGTTACCAATCAATGACCAGTTACTATAATACAATTTCTTCTGAGTCGGTCACTCACTCACAAAAGGGGACAAAGTAAATGAATACCAAGAAGAGTTCTGCCACTGGGTCTGCTTCTTCCTCTTAACAAAGCACAGGAATCCCAGGGCCAGAGAACACTGACAATTTTCCATGTCCCAAAGCATTCACTTGTGGTACAAGGATCTGACATGAGGCCACAGTGAACAAAACTTACTGGACAAATGATCTGGAACCCCAGAAAGAAAATCCTGCTGCATTCTCCACTGAGAGAGTATTAAAAGGACATAAGATGTGTGACCATAAACTTTCCTGACCAGACTCAGAGGTATAGATTTGGCTTATGTTGGAGGTACAACACAGGCACTGTGCTAGGAAAGACATCAGAAGGACCTACATCTGCATCGGGACAAAGGTGAGCCTCAAAGAACTCCACTGACAGGCTACAGTCTATCCTGTCACCAGGGAGGTGGGCCTGCTTGGTGACAGGGACAAACCAAGAGATCCCTCTTGCAGGTGAAGCGATTCTAAGTCTTGAACCAAGAGCAAGAAAGCAGAGAGAAGGCTGAGAACCACCTGTCATCACCTTCACAGATGGCACAAGCAAAATTTCTCAATCAAAGGAAATGAGATGCTATAAAACAGAAGTAATCATCTGGAAAACCTTTAGAAAAACATATCATTACCCTCCAGGTCTCGCATGAACAAATAGGGACTGGTTCTCATTGCACCAAAAACAAATTACATATCGTAGGTCAGCAGCCTGCCCTACAGAAAGGGTCTCCGACAGGGAGGCAAGAGGTTTGCTACCTAATTCTGAAAAGCTGTGTGAACTCTAGACCTCTATTCTTCCACTACAAAATTACAGAAGACTACCCAGTTCAAAGGAATACTGTGATAAATGTAATACAACTTGGAGGGGGAAACGTTCCGATTGCTTGATGGAAAAGCCATTAAAAGTGTAATAATTTTTTTAATCTCTACTTCTTTTTCAATTCAAAGTAATTGTGGAAAGCAAATATTGCCTGTGTAACATTTTTCCTGCCTTTACCTGAAGAGCCACCATTAAAAACTAAAAACCACAAAATATATGCCCCAATTCAATAGCTGTGCAGAATTTAAGAATATTATCCACTATTCTGACCAATCAGTACCACTGATTCTGTAATAGTCATGCTTATCTCTACAACTGGATAGGCTGAAATGTACACAGAGTACAAAAAGTCCATCTTACCCAAAACATTATTTCTTCCTTGATCTTTTTATCAGAGCCTCAAAGTGATTTCATTTCTCCTAGGCCCTATCCATCTCCATAACAGTTTATAACATCTTTTTAAAACAATGAGATATGGTGCCTGTCCTAACTAAGCCCCTCAAAACAATTACCAAGGACTGAAACAAAGAAAATCAAAAAGATACATTTCAAAAATAATGAGTTTAACCACACAGTGGCTTACGCCTGTAATTCCAGCACTTTGGGAAGCCGAGGTGGGAGGGTAGCTTGACGCCAGGGGTTTGAGATCAACCTGAGCAATACAGCCAGACCCCATCTCCACAAAAAATAGAAAAATCATTCGGACATGGTGATGAACACCTGTATTCCCAGATGCTTGGGAGGCTGAGGCAGGAGGATCCCTTGAGCCCAGCCCAGGAGTTTGAGGCTCTGTGGTGAACTATGATGACACCACTGCACTCTAGCCTGGGCAACAAGAATGAGACTCTGTCTCAAAAACAAAAAGTAAAAAGTAAAAGAGAAAAAAGGGATAAATGATGAAGGAAAAAGGACGGACTGGTATTACGATTAAAAATAGCAGGCTTAGCATTGGAGAGGAGGAGAAACAACTCTTTCTGGGATAAAAGAAGACAGATTAAGTAGCAGTGTTTTTAATAGGAAGAAAAGTACCCATACACAGCCTGATTTTCCCAGTGAAGTATGAAGCAATATCTTCAGGATTTGAACAGATACATGGAGACTCATATACAATAAGTTAGAAATTTCTTTTTAAATTCCAAGAGGTTCATAAGAATGTAGGAAGGCAAACTTTAACCCTAAACTTCCTATTTAAGAGAAACAGAAAAAAAAAAAAAAAAAAACACTAAGAATGTGACTCAGTTAAAGAAATACTGATGTTAAAGTTTTTAAAAAGCAAAAATAAAATAGGCAAAAGGAAGACATTCAGTCAAATACCCTTCAGATAGTTTGGATTTTTGATCATAGGTAGGTATTACTTATTCAAAAAACTATGTACGTTTTTAATTTTAAAAGGATGTGATTTTAAAGCACTTTAAACTTTAAGTTCCATGGGAGTAGAGACCCCATCTGGTTTTATTTATCAGCACATAGGCATAAGTTAGATCCTCCATAAATATTTGTTAAGTGTCAGTTGATGTTTTATACAGTTTCCACAGAAGCTTCAGGAGCAGAAAGGCAGAGCAAAGAATAAGCATGCAAGATACTAGAGTTCCACAGGGCGTTGAATAGTGGCTCCCGCAAGAGATACATCCACATCCTCATTCCAAAACCTGCAAAGGTATCTTATTTGGAAAATGAATTTTTTGCAGATATAATTAAGTTAAGGATCTTAAGATGAGATCATCCTAGATTACCTGATTGGGCCCTAAATCCAATGACAATCGCCCCCATAAGAGAGAGAAAAGAGAAGCCCCAGATACACAGAGAAGAAGGCCATGTGCAGACAATGGCAGAGAATGGGGTGATGCAGCCATAAGCCAAGAAAACATTTACAGCTACTGAAAGCTAGAAGAAGCAAGGAACATAATTTCCCCTGGAAGTGTAGCCCTGCCACCATCTTGATTGCAGGGTTCTGACCTTCAGAACTTAAAAGAATAAATTTCTGTTCTTTTAAACCACCCAATGTGTGGTCATTTGTTATGGAAGCCCTAGAAAACTAACACGAGGTCAGCTATATGAATTATAATACCAGATTAAATCAGCTAATTTCCCCCTATAAAATGAAACATCACAATAAGAATTTCATACAGGATAATGAAAGAGCCATCTATGCAAAAGTAAGCAAAGCTGAAGTTTCTATTTAGATAAAGCATAGAAGTAGGCAAGGTCTTGCGTAACAGTAAAATATATAATAAATAACCACAACTGACTATATTGATAAAAAAGCAAAAAGAGATACAATAATTGCAAGTAAAGACTAATTAATCTGAATATTAATAAAACATTACAAATTTAAGAAATCCAATAAGGAAACAGAAACCAAGAAGTAGCATCAATATTATGAAGTATTTCAGCTATGCAAAAAATATTAGAGAATAATAAACATCCATTCACCTACACCCAGTCTTAATAAATCTTGACATTTGGACAAATTTACTTCAGATCATTTTTTTAAAGGAGTAAAATATTTCAAATATAGTCAATATCCTTTATATACCTCCTACCTGATCCCTTTCTCCTTTCTCCCACCTCAGAGGCAACCACTGTTCTGAAGTTGAATGTATCGGCCGGGCGTGGTGGCTCACGCCTGTAATCTTAGCACTCTGGGAGGCCTAGGCAGGAGGATTGCTCAAGGTCAGGATTTCAAAACCAGCCTGAGCAAGAGCGAGACCCTGTCTCTACTAAAAATAGAAAGAAATTAATTGGCCAACTAAAAATATATAGAAAAAATTAGCCAGGCATGGTGGCACATGCCTGTAGTCCCAGCGACTTGGGAGGCTGCAGCAGAAGGATCGCTTGAGCCCAGGAGTTTGAGGCTGCTGTGAGCTAGGCTGACGCCATGGCACTCTAGCCTGGACAACAAAGTGAGACTCTGTCTCAAAAAAATAAAATACAATAAAATAAAATAAAGTTGAACATATCATTCCCAAGTGTTATGTTTATACACAAATAATATACAATATAATTTGATATACTTAACCTTTATATACATTGTAACTGGCTATACATTTAGTCTATTATTTTTTTTACTCAATATATTTTTGAGACTTATTTATGTTGACAAATGACAAATACAATTTTAGTTTATTTATTTTAACAGCTAAAATTTGTATTATTAATCTCCATCAATGGACATTTAGGTTATTCTCTAACTTTTGCTTTAACAAACAATGCTACAATGAACTCTTCTTGCATTTTCTCATACACACACTAGAGATTCCCCATAGTATAGCAACTAGAAAATGAATTACTGATACCCTTTCTTTTTAAAACCTGTTTTCCTTAGGTAAATAACCTTTATTACAGTATAGTATTCCTTTAATTCCAAAGGTTCTAATTGGAGACAACCTTGAGATATTTTTTGTGGAAAAAGATTAAATTCTGTTTTATTTTTAAGCCATCCTAGAATATCTAATTAGCAAAGATACTTAGAGTAAAAAGCAATACCGTACCCCTATTAATAAAATATTACCTGTGTAATATTTTTAGAAGACATATTTGCTTGATTATAGAATATACGGCCAAAGTGATCTCGATCTGGAAATACATCTGCTTGTCGAGGTAAATTTGCCCCTCCTGAATCAACTGAAGACAAGGAAAATAAGAAAAATACGCACATCACTATCAACAAAATATGCTATGCACAGGAGACTTGTATCAATGACAGCATCAGTTCTTAATCACAATTACAAAAAATTTGTCCTGTCTTTCTAAACTATTCTAGATCCTCTTTCTCCAGTCCCCCAATGTAGCCAAAAGGACTCACTGTTTTCCCCAAATCCATTAAGCTTTCCTGCCTCTACATAATTCTCCTTGAAGTGTTTAGGACACTGTCTCCTTTGAGGATTAGCAAAAGCCCCCAAAACAGGATAAATTCTTAACTAGGTAAGCCAAAAAAGTATCTTTCCCTCTTCTAAACCAATACAAAAACTAATACAGAATTCATGTGACAATTTATACATATGGCCTTCTGATACCGTTTTTACTGCAGATTAGAGTGGTGGATACATATGTCAGCTGAGCTCAAAGAATTTCTTACTTCATAGCTGTGTGATTACAGGCATGTTTCCTAGCCCTTCTATGCCTCAGTTTCCTTACCCATGAAATGAAGATACCAATAGTAGTCATCCCAATAACAACAAAAGATAATTGTTATTAGGATGACATGAAATAATCTATGTAAGGCATTTAGTTCAGCACATACTGAGTGCACACAATGTTAAAAAAGATTAGCTAGTACTATACCTATTATTATCACCTACCATTATATCTTTTATTATCTTTTATATCACCATTATATCTTTTATTGTTAACACATTATATCTTGTCTCCAATTCATTACAAACTCAGTGAAGACAGAGACAACATATTCCTCTTCACTGTGTCCCCTAGAGAGTTTGGCACAGCACCTGCAAGAAGATGGGCCTCAGCCGGGTGTGGTGGCTCATGCCTGTAATCCTAGCTCTCTGGGAGGCCAAGGCGGGTGGATTGCTCCAGGTCAGGAGTTCGAAACCAGCCTGAGCAAGAGGGAGACCCCGTCTCTACTATAAATAGAAAGAAATTAATTGGCCAAATAATATATATAGAAAAAATTAGCCGGGCATGGTGGCACATGCCTGTAGTCCCAGCTACTCAGGAGGCTGAGGCAGGAGGATCGCTGGAGCCCAGGAGTTTGAGGTTGCTATGAGCTAGGCTGACACTACGGCGCTCACTCTAGCCTGGGCAACAAAGCGATACTGTCTCAAAAAAAAAAAAAAAAAAGAAGATGGGCCTCATTTGCTATTTTCTGTATGTGCAAAGCAGTTAACATTGTGTGTCAACCAGGTAAATACACTTTCCCACAGGGGGCAAAAAAGATCTCTTTATCAGTACCTGCTCAAATACCTGCATAAATGAACAATATATGTCGGCGTTTTACCAGAGTAACTCGATACTCACAAAGTGCTCATTTTAAATTGCTTTGCATTTAGGTTCTTTCTGAAATATCCTTTGATTTAAATGTATTTTAGTTTCAAATATAAATTTACTTTTATTGGAAATTAAATTTACTTTAAATTATATCTGTTCAAATTATATAATACTCAAGCATTTAACACAATACCTGGCGCTCAAGAGATCTATAAATATTAGCTATTATTTTTTCAGATGTTGAACCCATTATGGTTAACAGAAAAATAAAATATATAGAAGAAAAAAATCCACAAACCTGTAGTAAAAAAAATTGGCATGCACCAAAATATTATCGGGGTTATTCCTCAATGATATTATTATATATAGTTCTTATTTACTTTTTTCCCCCCAGAATTTTTAGCAAACATACATTTTCTTTGTAATTATGGGAGAAATCAATAGTTTTTTAAAATACCCACTAATAATATCATACATATAGCTTTCTAAACACCCTCGCATTTTAGCAGCTAATAATAGTTTATTTTACAGCTCTTATGACTTGCCCAAGTAGATGCAGGGGAGCCTGTTCTGCATTGCAATTTCTTGTGCCCGTAAATGTTTTTTCACAGTCACTGGGTAGTAGGTGCCTCCTTTGACAGTAGCATCATTGGCAATAATCATACATTCTACTCTGAAAGGCAGAAATTTCATTGGAAAGAGAATATGAGATCTTTCTTCAAAATTAAAGGCCAATTACACTCAATACAAGACATGTCAATATGACCTTCAACTTCTAGTACCTATCACCAATGACACTCATTAGTAGACAACCTTAGGATATAAATGCAAGCTTTAATCACAGCTCACATATTCATTTATATATACAAAATGATCACTTTTAACAAGTTTACAAACTTATATTTGATTTTTAAAGACTCATCAGTCCTATACCAGTAGTGAAAACTAACAACCTACGCCACATTTCTTAGTAGTTCTTTGAATGAAAGGGTCCTAACAAGATAATACTAATACTGCCTTCCCCCAAAATCCAAGTATCAAGGGTAAAGAACTCCCTCATAATAAACCTTCAAAATTCCCCTTTAGGAATGTAATTTGCAAAAATGAAAAATGACCCATCAAGAGTACTGAGGTTTATTTTTGTATTTTCAAAAGTTCTTCAACATTACAGCCATATGATTTCCTGTACACCTAAAAGAAGTAAAAAAATACAACATTTATCTTGCTTAAAGTCACAATGAATAGTATACTGAAAACATATAATAACATAAATATATAAATAATGAGTCAAAACATACATATTGAGTCATCAACAGTGCCCTTTCTCACAAAAACCAGTTTATTGGGTATGAGGACTCACAAGTGACAAAGAGCTAGGTGGCCAAGGAAAGACAGCTGGTCAGGGAAATCGCACAGGGTTGCCAAGAAACCTTAAAATCAGAGGTTCACTTGAAATTTGAGATAACAGTGTGTTTTTTTCAAAATTCAATTTTCTTTATATTTACGATGTTTTTGTTATCTCACTTTATATTGCCTAGAACTCTAAAGAGTAACTCATCAAATTCCTGTTGACAAAAAGCGGAGAACAACTGAACATCCAGCATAGGGTAGTGTTGCACTTCCCAGCGGGGCTCACTACAACACAAACAGGACTCTCCTCTGAGCATCGGTTTTATACACTAGGTCATATAAAACCTTTTTCTACATTACAATGAACATTTTATCAGGTGGAATAAACATTTTTAATGACTTTCATGTTAAACAAACTAAGACTTCAAAGGAAATTTCGGCTTATGGCAGGCTGCTGTGCTATAACCCCACACCTCCAGAGCGTGTATTCACGCCTCCCTAACCCTGGAAGTGCCGCACTAGAAAGCTTAAGAAGCTCTGGTACTGGAAGGAGGCCAGGTTGTGAAGTTAGGCAAAGCTAGGCTGAAATTCCAGCTCTGCCACTTGCTTGGTATGTGACTTTGGACAAGAGACATAATCACGTTTGCTCATCTACTAAAAGGTCACAGACATGTTACAGAATGAGAAATAAACTGGCCCACAAAATGCTATATTGCACATCTATTGGTTTTGCCTACCTAGCATCTATTATATTATTGTGGCAACAGAATTAAAAAGTTTCTTTCAGAACTGCCCCTTTATCCTTACTCCATGTGGTTCAAGTGGGACTTTGCCCAGGGCCACCTTTGGAGGTGGGTGCATCAACCAGGCCTGTCCTTCGGAGTTCCCACTGCAGCTCAGCAACAGGATGCCCGAGCCTAAGCCCCAAGGACCTCTGCTTACACTGCAGCTGCTAAACACACAGAATATAAACCAGGAACTCCTGTGCCATGGCTGCCTACCAATTTAGAGCACCTGCCAAGGAAAAAGAGCTGATGAAGAGCAGGGCAGGGCCAGGTGCAGAAAACAACCTGTGACCTGATAATACTGTTTGAGCTCCTAGATCCAGCTATGCCCAAACCTATCAGATGAGTCAATAAATTATGTTTTTTGTTTAAATTAGTTTGAACAAACCCAGCTCATCCTGTCACTTGTCAGAGAAAGAGTACTGACAATATAAAGTGCTCAACCATACTTTTTATGTTGGAAAGATATATTTAAATTATAATAAAGTACTACTTTACAACTATTAAATGAGTGAATTCTTTTTTTTTTTTTTTTTTTTTTTTGAGACAGAGTCTCACTCTGTTGCCTGGGCTAGAGTGCCATGGCTTCAGCCTAGCTCACAGCAACCTCAAACTCCTGGGCTCAAACAATCCTTCTGCCTCAGCCTCCCAAGTAGCTAGGACTACAGGCAGGTGCCACCATGCCTGGCTAACTTTTTCTATATATTTTTAGTTGTCCAGTTAATTTCTTTCTAACCTTAGTAGAGATGGGGTCTCACTCTTGCTCAGGCTGGTCTCGAACTCCTGAGCTCAAACGATCCTCCCGCCTTGGCCTCCCAGAGTGCTAGGATTACAGTGAATTCTTTCTCAGTTATAATATCCAACATTAAAGCAGCTCTAGTGAAAAGATAAAATCAAGCCCTTGCCTCCGTGGAAAGAAATCATTGATGGGCTAAAACACATTTGCCCAACACAGACCCCTGGTTAGTGGTGTTCACAGAGAACAATTTGAGAGTCTGTGAAAAGATTTTTGATTATATAGTTTAAAATGTGCAGTAGTTTTTTAAAAGGCTATGTTCTGATACCTCTTTATTTGCTATCATTATGGGGTAAAGAAAGTTCCACCTCCAACCAGAGAAAACAAAAATACAGTATTTTCATATAAGCATGATATATTTTCATTATCCCATTCTGTATGCACAGATAACTTGGCCTATTAATTCCTGTCATCATTCATTTATTCAACAAATATTTTTTATATGCCTTCTATGTGCCATGTCCCGTTCTAGGTACTAACAGCACACTGGTGAACAAGACAGGCAAAATTCCTGATTTCACAGAGCTTCCATTCCATGTCTGTCTTTTCTTTTTTCCGCTGCCGAAAAACCTTACACCGTGGACTTGCAGAGGAACACACATCATAAACCAGCATCTGGGCCAAAAGCAGTCCTGACAGGCTCAGTCAGGCTCAGATCAAAGCTGAGCTTCACAGGTGGCTTGATCTTGGGCAAGGTATTCAACTCTCTAAGGCTGTTTCCTTATCTGCAGAATGGTGATGACTATAATAGTACCCATTCTTACAAAGCTGTAATAAGGATTAAGACAAGTGCCCAGGCACTGTGGCTCATGCCTATAATCCTAGCACTTTGGGAAACTGAAGCCAGAGAATCACTTGAGGCCAAGAGTTTAAGACCAGCCTGGGTAACATAGCAACATCGATACAAAAATTAAAAAATTAGCCAGGTGTGGTGGTGAGCACCTACTTCCAGATACTCAGGAGGCTGAAGGCAGGATTGCTTGAGCCCAGGAGTTCAAAGTTGCAGTGAACTATGATCATGCACCTGAACTCCAATCTGGGCAACAGAGCAAAACTCAGTTTCCACACCCCAACAAAAAGAAAAAGACAAGTAATCAATGGGAGGTGTTTACAATAGTGCCTGGCATGGTAACTACATGGTAAATGGGAGATCATACATAAATATATATAAATAAATTTAACCTCTGGCAATCTAGATTCCCTAAGTCTACAGTGGTTCACAAACTTTAGCAACAAAGAAACTGGAGGGGCCGGGCGCTGTGGCTCACGCCTGTAATCCTAGCTCTTGGGAGGCCGAGGCGGGCGGATTGCTCAAGGTCAGGAGTTCAAAACCAGCCTGAGCAAGAGCGAGACCCCGTCTCTACTATAAATAGAAAGAAATTAATTGGCCAACTGATATATATATAAAAAATTAGCCGGGCATGGTGGCACATGCCTGTAGTCCCAGCTACTCGGGAGGCTGAGGCAGAAGGATCACTCAAGCCCAGGAGTTTGAGGTTGCTGTGAGCTAGGCTGACGCCACGGCACTCACTCTAGCCTGGACAACAAAGTGAGACTCTGTCTCAAAAAAAAAAAAAGAAACTGGAGGGCTTATTAAAACACAGACTGTAGGGCCCCACACCCTGCATTTCTCATTTAGTATTTCTGGGGAAGACCTGAGAATCTGCATTTCTAACAAGTTCCTAGGTGATGCTCATGCTACCTGGGGACCACACATGAAGAACCACTCCTCTAAGACAGTGGTTTTCACCCTGCATGTACAAGAGATCACCTATGGAGCCTTTGAAACCTATACAAGCCAAGCCCATGCCTAAAGATTCTGATTAAGTAAAGAGGTCTGGACTGGATCCCAAGGACCTTTGCTAGGTTTTTTCCCTTCAATTTTTGTCTCTAAAGCTCCACAAATGAATCTAATACAGGTCTGAGGAGGATGCCTCAGTCTTAAATAATATAAGTAGCATAAAACTTATATTGCCTATATGCAAAGAGAGTGCTGGATGCCTGCACCTCATCAGGGTCTTCTTCCTGACCCACATTATGGAGCACAGGTAGAATACTCACCCTGATACTCTTCCAATGCCTGTAATAATGCCACCTGCAGGGACCTCCTCATTGTCATATAACTGATAACCGGCAAATTGGGATAATTCTAGAAACGGAGACCTGATGGGAAGAAAGAATGTTGCTTGAATTAATGTCATTAAAAAATACACAGGCATTTCAATTGTTACACATGGAAAAGGAAAAGATTTTTCTTTACTGGGACAATGTTTCGAATATGCATTTGTATATCAAATCTAAAATTTAAAAATCTAAAACAAAAATATGATGTGAATATTTTAAGGATTTATATGGTATATCCATATAATAGAATGGTAAGTGCTTATTTTAGAAGATGTACAAATGTGTTTATGAATACAGAAACAGAATAACAGCTAACATTTATGCAGCACTTACCATGTGCCAGGCTCCCTCCTGAGGGCTTTAGAAAAACTAAATCATTTACTCCTTAGAATACCTTCTAAGATGCTTTCTATTATGACCCTCATTTACTGATGAGGAAATTCAAAAACACAGTGATTAAGTCACACAACTTTAGTAAGTTGCACAGCTGGGATTTTAATAAGCAATCTAGGCCCTTGGACCAGCCTCTTAACCACTGTATTAGACTACCTCTCACTTGCACGTTTAAGATACATTAAATGCGAAAAAAAGGAGCTATGAAACACATTTAGTATGATTTCATTTTTGTTTTTAGAAAAACGTAGGCATCTGGTACATATATGCACAGAAATGGTCCAGAAGAATATATACCAGGTGTTAATTGTGTTTGTCTCCAGGTTGAATGTGTGTGCGTATATTATAAGAAAAAAATACTTCTCGAGTTTTCACTTACTTCTCTTTCCCCTTCTCACTCCATATCCAATCCTTCTGGAAATCCTGTTGGGCTGGCTCTGTCTTCACAACATATCTAGAACCTGAACTCCTGCCACCTCCACTACCAACACCATCCAAGTCCCTGTCACGTCTCCTTTGAATCCTTGCAATCGTCCTTCAACTGATCTCAGGGCTTCTACCCCTGCTGTCCATAGTCTGCTCACGACCCAGCAGCCGTAAGTCAGATAGATTACAGGTCTCCTGTTCAAAGCCCTACAATACCTCCCCCATGGTAAAAACTAAAACTTGTATAATGGCCCAAAAGGCCTTAGGGGATCTGACCTATCTCCTACTACTCTCCCCTCCTTTCTCCCCATTCCAACCACATGGCCTCCTGGCTACTCCTGGAGCATATCAGCATAACTGGCAGACTCACACCCCAGCGTCTTTGCACTGGCTGTTCCCTCTGCCTGCAACACTCTTTCCCGAGATATTTGCAGGGCTTTCTCATGTCCCATCTTGTTCAAACGTCACCTTCTCCATGATGCCTACCCCCCATCCCACTTATAAATGCAACTTCCCCCCCATCTTCCTTTCCATTACCCTTGTCTACCTTTTCTTTTTCCTATGACATTTACCACCTTCCAACTTACTACATAATTTATGATGTTTATTGTTTATTTTCCATCTCCCCAGTTCCAGTAAGCCAAAGTTCTTTATCTATTTTGTTCAAAGATGTATCGCAAGTGCATGAACAGTGCCTGACACATGGTAGGCTCTCAATAAACGTATGCTGTTGAATCTTACAATAAGAACCAGAATTCAAAATAATTTATTTACAAAATATAGTACCATGGAATAGAGAACACCCAGAGTTAGGACTTAGGCATGTACCAACCCGGGGTCTATAAGATTGTCAATTCTTTCTCTGGGTAACAGTTTTCCTCTTGATATATGCCGCGCTCGGGCTTTCTCATCACCTCCTATGATAAAAGCATCATTAGTTTAGAATAGATTGACATGATATAAGGTCTCTAAGTTGATGCCAGAAAAACATAATACTTAATCCAAAATATGGTGCTTTTTAAAAGTTCAACATGTTGTTTGATAAAGGCTAATTTTTCAGATCATTCATTCACCTTACAAGTTGCTAATTTTCTGAAGTAAATAAAGAAACTGGCATTTAAAAAAGAAATCAGTCTATCCCTGATCCTAGAATATATCATACACATTTTGAATTCACTAGTGATTATTTAAAGAAATTACATAGTATTTTCTCTGCAATTCACGCATTGCAAATACTGCCTCATCTTCACATTTATTAAATACCTACTATATATAACTAGCATTGCACTATATTTTCTATCTTCGTTTGTACTAGGTAAAAGCATAATTTTAGAAATTAATTCCATGATAAGCACAGCAAAATTTTCACAAAAGTGCCATTAGTGACCTATAACTTTTTAGGCCTGCAAATGGCAGAGTCGAACACCTCCAACAGCAATTAAAATGTCCCCTTTTGATAGTATCTTGACTCAGAGATTGTCTTAAGTGCTTCCCAACATTGCTCACCTCATGACAAAGAAAACAAAAAAACTGAAGAGTTCACTGAGGTATTCTTGGTATTCTTGGGAATGAATATCTATAACCCGCTCTCAGTTAAGCCAAGGTAATAGAGCAGGAACAGAAGTATCAAATAATTAATATATTAGTTTATTTTCATTGGTGGCCAAGAAATTCATCCTAATAAAGTCTTTGTCTAGTGAAATGTTCAGATATTTAAGAAAGCCATTTCTTTATGTAGGTGAGAAAATAAGGTCATATCTATTTCAAACAAGCTTCCAAATATGACCTTCAGGACTCTTGGTTGTACCTAAGGGGATTTTTTATTTTCTGAAGAGGCACATAGCATGTATTTATAAGATTAAATCTGCCTTAAGGTTGCCAAGAAAATTATATCACACATCTAATCTTTTAAAATGAAAACAATTCTGGGAAGGAAAGAAAGACTTGATTACAAGATAGTGTAACTTAAGTCAAATTGCTTTTCTCTTTCCTTCCAGCCAAGTCCCTCCTGAGCTGTGTTCAGGGGTAGGGGAGGAAGAAACAGAGGGGTTACAAAGGGCAGAGGAAACTTTTGGGAACAATGGACACATTCGTTATCTTGATTGTGGTGACAGTTTCATGGTGTCTACATATGTCTAAACTCATGAAATTGCATACTTTAAATAATACAATTTATTGTATGTCAATTATGCTTCATTAAAGCTATTTAAAAATACATGTCAAAAGAAAAGATGAACTAAGGCACCACAAGGAAATCCAGGCCTAGGTGAAGGTCTCTGGAGAGTCAGGTGATACAGGTGCCCCTTAAGGGGCTGGCAGGAGAGGGGACAGAAGGAGAGGGTGGGGTGACAAAAAGGTGATTAAGAGATATATATATATATATATATATATATATATATATATATATATATATATATATATAAAAAGTGCTTCAGACAACATCATTCTTTCTTAAGTCTGCCTAGAGGTGGACCTTACAATTTGGAGCAGCTGGTGAATTCTAGTTTTATTAGGAAGAGCCAGAAAGTGGGTTATCCTTGATGCAGACTCAAAGAGCACAGAATTTGGATTTCTGTGACTTGAAACCAAAAAATATCAAATACAGGCCATTTTCAAAATATTTTAAATATATTATAAGTACCTAAGTTAGGAGGAGGTGTAGGGAGTTTATAGGCTTTTTTTTTTAATTCTCCCCAGATAGAATGAGAGTAATTATTATTGCCGTGTGAATGAGGTCTTTGCTTCAACTGATCCCACTCTGAGTTTCCTAATCTGTTTGTGTCTTGGCAACTGTTAGGGGATTTAACTGAATTTGATACAACTGCTATAGTAAAAAGACTGCCAGGTGCAGTGGTATATGCTTTCAGGAGGTTGAGGCAGGAGTTCAAGGCTGTAGTGCACCATGATTATACCTGTGAATGACCACTGCACTCCAGCCTGGGCAATATAGCAAGACCCTTAAAAACACAAGACAGAGACCAAGATATTCCAATAAGTCTATTTTTTGTTCTTTTCTATTAATTTTGATTAATCTATTAAGTCAAAAGAAGACAGAAATGTGTGCTTATAGTGAATAATGCCTATAATTCACAAGTACTGGCAATTTACTAGAGGGATTAAATGACTTGTCCAAAGTTATTTAATTACTAGAATAACAAAGCAGTCCAGCCCACCACTCTCAAAATGCTACAAAGAACCAAAATACTGAATTAATTTCTTTTGTAATACACTATACAAATGAATGGGCAACTATAGATGATCTCCCTGTTCATCTGCCATTAATCGATTTCCTTGCCTCCCTAAAGTCCTCAGAGAAAAAAAGCAATATAAATATTTTTATTTAAACTAAAAAGAAATTCATTAGGCTTTCTCTGAATTATTTCCCTAATTACTTCTACTGGGAGTCTGTCCTCTGGATGTGATAAGATCATACCTAAGAATACAATAATACTTTTTTTTTTTGGAGACAGAGCCTCACTCTATTGCCCAGGCTAGAGTGCCATGGTGTCAGCCTAGCTCACAGCAGCCTCAAACTCCTGGGCTCAAGCAATCCTGCCTCAGCCTCCCGAGTAGCTGGGACTACAGGCACGTGCCACCGTGCCCGGCTAATTTTTTCTATTTTTAGTTGTTTAGCTAATTTCTTTCTATTTATAGTAGAGACAGGGTCTCACCCTTGCTCAGGCTGATCTCAAACTCCTGAGCTCAAGCAATCCTCCCGCCTCGGCCTCCCAAAGTGCTAGGATTACAGGCGGCAATAATACTCTTAAACCATAAGTTTACAAATAGAGAGATAAAACAGATTCTATCTATGAAGATACTGGAGAGAATTATTTTTTTATATGAGGCTATAAAATTCACATAGCTCATTCTAAATGAAGTACTTGTAATTTATTAAGAATCTTATTTTACGCCAGACTTGATGGGTCAAGGCCTGTTATCCCAACACTTTGGGAGGCTGAATCAGTTAGGATCATTTGAACCCACGAGTTTGAGATCAGCTTGGGCAACACTGTGGGTAACACAGTGAGACCCTACTCTCTATGAAAAATTTAAAAATCAGCTGAGTGTGGTGGCACGTGCCTGTAGTCCCAGCTGCTCTGGAGACTAAGCAAGGAGGATCACTTGAGCCCAGGAGTCAGTGGTTGTGGTGAGCTATGATTGCACCTCTGCACACTAGCCTGGGTAACAGAGTGAGACACTGTCTCAAAAAAAAAAAATCTTATTTTGAAAATAATCTTTAATTTCAAGTCACATGACTTCTAAAGTAAAAATGTCATATATATCAATAATAGCAAAACAGAATAATACTATTGATATGCTCCTATGATTCCATTTTTTCTAAGCAAAAGAATGTCATTTATGTCCACAATTTTAAAATAGGAAATAATGACAATTTGCAAAGTTTTTAGGAAATCTCATTTATTTAATTAGCAGTAAGCCCATATGGAAATTATTTCCAAGCCATATATCACAGCATAAAATGTATAATTATGTAAAATTTAGCATGTATATAGTATGTGAATATGCCTAATAAATAGGAAATCTTGTAGTTGCTTAAGGTGGAACAAAAATTTCAGTGTGATACTGTGAGTAAAATAAAACCTTAAGAAAAAATAGTTAAAAATTGAACGTCATAATGTATATCTGTTAAAAAAAAAAGAGAGAGAGAGAATGAAAAGCAAAAATAGTTAAAAATGGAAAATACTGAATCTTTACTTTCCCCCCAAAGTACAGCAGTGCTGTATGAGGAGAAAAACTGGCCAAGTAACAGGAAAAAATCAAATTAAATGTCTGTATACCAACAAATATATAATTAGTCTTAAGAGTCAAAAGCTTAATGCTACTAGTTTTTTCTAAAGCCAATAACTATAAAGGGATATCATCATTAAAAGCATAAACTGAAGAATAAATGATGGGCTTACCTAGCTTTATGTGCTGCACTCGTTCATGGAGTTGATTTACTAGCACTTTCATCTGCTCATAATTCTCCTAAAACAGAAAGGAGAGAAGAATATTATTATAGATATATAATATAATATTATATTATTATAAAAATCAATTACTTTTTTACCAAAATAAGGGCCAAGAAAAACATCAGCCTATGCCCCTCTGTGTGGCCTCTACACTTGGTTGCCCCATCCTACGGATGGAAGTCACCCCTGCCTGCCTTTGCTCAAGCTCTTCCTCTCTACCACCACCCGGTTCATCCCTCTCTCCAAATCCCTCTCTACCACCACCCGGCTCATCCCTCTCTCCAAATCCCTCTCTACCACCACCCGGCTCATCCCTCTCTCCAAATCCCTCTCTACCACCACCCGGTTCATCCCTCTCTCCAAATCTCACCCCTCTTTTAAAGCCTAATTCATGTTTCATTTCATCTCCAATGCCATTTCTGGCTACTCCTACTCAATTTAACATCTTTCTTCCTTAAACAGCCATGGAACTTAACTGATTTCTATTTGTTTTCCTATTTTAAGGAATATAAGCTTTAGATGAATTTACAGTCTTTACAGTATGGCTCCATTATTTCCTTTTTTCTATAGCTCTTGAGATCATGGTTTCTGCCACATTCCCTTGCTCTGAAAAATCCAGAATATAAAAAAGAAAGGAAGTGGCATGGTGTTGGGGAAAGGAACAAACCTGTGCCCTGGGGCAGGGAGGTCCCAAGCCCTGAAGCATCTGTCTGACAGCCCTGTAAGCTACTACCCTTCTCATCTCACCCAGTGCTGCACCCTAAGGAAAAGAACCTGCTGGAAACTTAAAGCTCAAGAATCTGCCTAGAATAGTGTTTCTCGACCTTGGCTTTACATTGGATTCACAGGGGAGCTTTTAAAAAACAAGCAAAAACATATAAAAGCACTAAAGACTGGTCCTACCCTGGGCACTTGCAACCAAATCAGAGAGACACTGGCCTATAATCTCCATTTCTGAGTTTCCACTCAGGGCAAATTGGGAACATACCAAAAAGAAGTTTGTTTGGTAAGAGGCAAATCCCCCTTCTTACCACTGGAACTTTTGTCAGATTATCTTACTGTTTGTATCATGATATGATAACATGAGCTGGGGAAAAACCAGCAACTTTCCTCTATTATCATTATTATTATTTTCTTTTGAGACACAGTCTCACTCTGGGTACCTTTTATCTCAGCAAGGTGTGTGAAAAGTTAACACATTCACTTAAATACAATCCTATGTTCTGTTCAAAATTGATAAGATCAAGGAAAGGTTTTTTTCCAGCAACATATAAACTCCCCTATGATTTGTTGTCCTTAATGTTAACTTTGTTTCACAAAAATTTTCAGATATATACAAAAGTAAAAAGACAAGTACAATGAACCAAATGTAGCCAATGTATGTCAACAATTAACCATACACAACCAAGGTTGTTTCCTTCATGGCCCTCATCCTGAATCATTTTGAAGGAAATCCTAGACATAACACTTCATCTATTTTCTACATCTCCACAAGATAAGAACCATTATCACAAATCAATAATCAAATATCCAATTAGTGAAGACATTTCTCCAACTGTCAGATAGATTTGTTTTTTATAGTTTATTAAATAGGATCCTATATAGTAAGGTCTACACACCCACAATGGGCCAATGTGTTACTTAACTCTTTTCTAAGATATAAGTTTTCCCATCTTTCTTTCCTTGAAAGGTTCTGTTTGTCCTATAAATGGTTCCCACAGTACTAAATGCCTCCCACAGTGTCCTTTAACCAGTTTTTCTTCCCTCATAGATCTAGAGGCTGATGAGATTCTGCTGTACTTTTAGTTATTTTTTTTTCTCCCCATCTCATCAAGATTTACTGACCTCCCCTCCACCTACATCCTACCTCATGGTCTCCTACCAACTTTGCAAACCACAGATACCAATGTTCAAAGCTGATGAAAAACAGTTCACATGTGCACGGAGAAAACAAGTAACCCTCTTTCGGAGTATCCAAACCTTAAGGTGCAATCACTGCAGCCAATGACATTGCCCAATTTAGAACAGCATGAACCAAAACTAAAGCTAGTTATACAAGCAGCCCTTACTCTAGCAAAACCAGCCTCCCAGTTAAGAAATAAAGGAAAGAATCACTAATTGCCAAGATTTTCGGAGGTGCACAGTAGTGGGAGAAGTGAGAGCAGGCAGTACCCACTACTGTTCTAATGTGAGAGACTAGGAAAACCTGGCAGAGAGAAACTGAACTGTAGCCAGGGCACCAGGAAATAGAACCTCTATGAGCCATCTCTCATCCATGGCATGGCTTTACCTTTTCTTCCCCATTGTCTGCATCAAATTCAACTGCTTGTAACTGGAAGTTCCAGAAGATAACAGTACTTTCGTGCCCCACATTGGGTGTTCTTTGGCTGGCCCAGTGGCTCATGCCTATAATCCTAGCACTCTGGGAGGCCAAGTGGGAGGATCACTTGAGGTCAGAAGTTTGAGACCAGCCTGAGCAAGAGTAAGACCCAATCTCTACTAAAAATAGAAAAAAATCAGCTAGCATGGTAGTGTGTGCCTGCAGTCCTCCCTACTCAGGAGGCTGAAGCAGGAAAATTGCTTGAGCCCAGGAGTTTGAGGTTGCTGTGGAGCTAGGATGATGGCACTGCACTCCAGCCCAGTGACAGAGTGAGATGGGACTCTGTCTCAAAAAAAAAAAAAAAAGGTACACCTAAGTGAGATCTTTTAACATCCAACATAATACATTGATTGCCACACTGGATAAAAACTTTTTTTTCCTTGGAGCCATGATGTTTTATTATGAAAATAGAATAAAAACTTCAAAAATAAAACGATCCTTTCTAATTTAATGAAAAATTTAATGAAAAATGCAATTTATTGACTTCTATTCATTTAATCCATGATTTTAGAATCTGTCAATATTAATTATAACAATAAGAACATCAACAATTGAGATTTTCACGAACCAACTGCAAGGTTTTGCTTCCCAAGGCCCAGGCTCAAAACTTACTCACCTAGTAAGATTCTTATGAAACTGATTAACCACAGGGCTTAGTGCCCGACAGTCATAATGAATTTGAGCTGAGCCATTGGCCAGTTCCTACCCAGTCTTTTCAACCATAGAACCCACCTAGGAATGGCTGGATGAGAAGCATTATAAAGCAACAATCAAGACACCAAGGTCAATAGTTAAGAGCCAGACTTTCTCGCTTTAAATTCAGACTCTGCCACTTAATAGCTATGTTATCTTAGACAACTTACTTGACCTCTAGGTTTACCATAGTTTTCCTATCTTATAAAATAGAGATAACAATAGTACCAACCACCCAGGGTTGTTATGATAAATACACGACTAAATCCATATTAAGACTTCAGAAAAATGGTTGGCATGCTATATAATTTCTGCTATCATTATTATTACTTGTTATAGTTACTATTTATAATCAATAAACACAGGACACTGGGTCATTCACTTTATACCCCCTGTCCTTATGGAAGTTGGGCTTAGCCATATGACTTGCTTTGTCTAATGGAATATGAGCACATAGGAGTTTCATCACATCCCAGTAGAACTTTCTTTTTTTTTCTTTTTTTTGAGACAGAGTCTTGCTTTGTTGTCCAGGCTAGAGTGAGTGCCGTGGTGTCAGCCTAGCTCCCAGCAACCTCAAACTCCTGGGCTCAAGCAATCCTCCTGCCTCAGCCTCCTGAATAGCTGGGACTACGGGCATGCACCACCATGCCCGGCTAATTTTTTCTATATATATCAGTTGGCCAATTAATTTCTATTTATGGTAGAGACGGGGTCTTGCTCTTGCTCAGGCTGGTTTCAAACTCCTGACCGAGAGCAATCTGCCCTCCTCGGCCTCCCAGAGTGCTAGGATTACAGGCGTGAGCCACCACGCCCAGCCCCCAGCAGAACTTTAAATCCAATTTGTATTTGGCTTCTTTCTCCTGTGCCTTCTTCCATGAGAAGAGCATGTCTAAACAGGGCGGCTCCTTCAGCCTCAATCCGGGAATGAGAAGAAACATGGAGCAGACCTGGACCCACCTTGCAGTGGAACAATCACAGCAGCTGACTCAAAGCCACCAACACATAAGGTGAGTGAGAAATTAGTATCTGCCCTTGTGAGCTACTGAGATTTTTAGAATGTTATGAAGCACAACCTAGCAAAAGGTGATTCATATAAAACCCATCACCAAATATCCTGTCTCTGATCTGTCAAGCCCACTACTGGTCCTATAGCCTTCCTTGTAGTAAGGGCATTACCACCCACCTAAATATCCTGCCCAGTTAGAAACTCCAAAATCACCCATGACTCCTCACCCATTTCCTCCCTTTTCACTCAGTTATTAACTCTATAATCTTCTTTGCTCCTCAGTATCTATCCCCACATCCTATATACAACCATAACTCTGACCCCATCATCTCAAGACTCAACTCTTGGCTGGGCGAGGTGGCTCAAGCCTATAATCCTAGCTCTCTGGGAGGCCGAGGCGGGCGGATTGCTCGAGGTCAGGAGTTCGAAACCAGCCTGAGCAAGAGCGAGACCCCCGTCTCTACTATAAATAGAAAGAAATTAATTGGCCAACTAATATATATAGAAAAAATTAGCCGGGCATGGTGGCGCATGCCTGTAGTCCCAGCTACTTGGGAGGCTGAGGCAGAAGGATTGCTTGAGCCAGGAGTTTGAGGTTGCTGTGAGCTAGGCTGACGCCATGGCACTCACTCTAGCCTAGGCAACGAAGTGAGACTCTGTCTCAAAAAAAAAAAAAAAAAAAAGACTCAACTCTTCCAGCTATCACCTAACTCTACTTTTTCCCTACACTAGTCCATCCTCCACACTGCCCTGACACTGATGATTCTGCCATATCCATAGGACCATGCCACTTCTCTACTTAAATATTTTAGTGGACAGCATGCAAAATGAAATCTAAACGTGACTTTTGCATATAAGGTCCTCCTCTATCTGGCCCCAAAATCAGTCTCACCTCTAGACAATATTCCATGAATTCCATGCCCTTAGCCATGACTTCCAAGTTCTCATACCAAAAATACACTTTCGTAACTCAGTACCTATGTTCTTATAATTCTTTTGGGTTGATAGTCTCACCTCCCATCATCCACCATGAACCTGGCCAGTTCTTACCCAATAAAGATCCATGTCACTCATATGTCCTATCTGTGACCAACCTTTTCAAGTTTTAGATGCCTTTTTATCACACTGCACTGAAGTTAACTGCTTTCTTGTTCATCTTTCCTACAAAATCAAGAGTTCCAGTCTTAACACATCTATACCAAAAACCTAAAATAGTACCTAGACCACAGTAACCACTTAAATGTTTCTGAATTAAACATTCTTTCCTGACAAATAATTGCGCATTGTTTGTATGATTTAAATGTTATCTGTATAGACTTAAAAATCATGGATGGGAACAGATTAAAATTTTATAGCTCTGGTATTTCACAAGCCATGAGTTGTTTTTTTGACCTTGTAATGCCTCCCAATTCCAAGAAAAACCACTCAAAAGATACTAGAGAATAAGGATTCTCTATTAATATAACCAACTATTTAGGCTGTGGTAGGCCAATGGCTCCCAGAGCTGGCTGTTACCAGTGCCCTGAGGACTTCATTAACAATGCAAACACCAGGACTCAGACCGAGACCCAGAAGGTCCAGAGTGAGCCTCAGGCCGCTGTATGTTAAACAAGCTCCCCTGGTGACAATGCTAAGCCATGTTTTGAGAACCACCGATTTCAAAGACACAATGTACAGTGCCAGCTCTCAAAGTGAAGTACAATTTACTTGATCTGGAATGATTTTCTTTTTCAAACTTCACGATACCCTAGTACGTCCCAGAATCATGACTAGGGTATCGGGAGATAACAACCGCTGTTTAAGTGCGCCCACCCTCTGCTTGCTCCTAGTCGCGGCCAGAGCCTGGTCCCAGCGGTCCCGCGCTGCTGACAGGCCACGGGGCGCTCAGGCAGCCTACCTGGTAGATGGCAGAGCTTGAGTCCGGTGCGGTGCCCAGAGAGGCCACGGAGTCCCCATGATAAGCGCGCAGCCCGGGCACAGCGGCGCGTGCGCTGGGCCGCAGGGCTAACCTCAGGGCAGCCCACATGGCGGCGGGCACAGAGCGTGGGAGGAGAGCGAGAGAGCGGCCGCGGGCCGGTGCTTTCCCCCGCGGCTCCCCAGTGCAGGGCCGCGGCTCTGGTAGCGCCCTGCAAGCCTCAGCCCAGGCCGCTGGGACTCTCAGGCGGGACCCCGCACGTGTCTGAGCGCGCCGCTCAGGATTGGTCGGCGCCGGCACCACACCCCCTAGCCCGACCAATAAGGGACAGAGGCGCAGCCCCGCGAGGCCCCGTCCCATCGCGAGCCCAGGATCGCCAGGCTCTGCCGAGGCTGCCCGCTCCTCCGCGGCGCTCTGCTGGATGAGTGAGCTGCTGCGGCGTTTGTATTGGTGTTGTACCGCCACACCAATCAGTCCCGCCACGGTAGTGACTGTATCACAACACGAGTGAATCTCATCTGTCACATGAGTGCGTACGGTATGACAAGCTTTTAGTCCTTTCACTGGCGATCTTAAAACACTCTCCTAATTATTTTCGCTATTGGACTGATACAAGGTTGTGGGCATTAGCGCTGTGAACTTAAATAAAGGACTCTAAATGCACCCATAAAAATTAAAAACGATCTATACAAAACTCTCCAACTTTTTCGTTCAAATATTTATTGAACACTACTAATTACCACTGCTTCAATTTCTCATTCAAGTATTTATTTCAGGGCAGGTGCAGTGGCTCAGCACGTTGGGAGGCCGAGGCGGGAGGATAGATTGAACCCAGGAGTTCAAGACAAGGTTGGGCAAAACCATAGTGAGACCCCTATCTTCACCAAAAAAAAAAAAAAAAGTCAAAATTGAGAAAAACCTCCTCTACCCCCCCCCAAAAGTGGAATAAACACCACCAAAAGGAAAGAAGGAGACAGGAAGAAATGGAAAACAGCAGGCAAAAGACAACATAAAACCCAGTAAAGAGGTACAAAACCTAATTAATAGAAATTATAGATATGAGAACAGAATGGAAGAAAGGAAATTATCAAAGAAATAATACAAGAATGTTTCCCAGAAAGGAAGGAAATGACTTTCCATATTGAGAAGGCCCATGAAGTACCCAACCACATGAATGAGAGGACAGAAAAGAGGAACAGGTTTACACTAAAGCTCATTATAGTGCAGAATACCAGAGTCAAAAAATACATAAATAATAGGCCACAAAGGATACAGAATCAGAATGGCACCAAACCTCTGAACACTGAAAACTGGAAGACAATGGCACATGCATTAGAAATTAAGTGAAAATTATTTCCAAGTCATTCAAGAATTCTATTCATAGCCCATTTACTGAGAGTAAATTAACTTTCAGACACGAAAAGCCTCAAGCAATTTTATCATCCATGCACCCTTTTGCAGTAAATGAGTGGAAAATGTACTTCTCCAAAACAAAAACCATGAAAGACAATGACATGGGCTGCAGAAACAGGGAATTCAAACCAGGAAAATGAGAAATTCACAGGATAATGGCAAAGAGAAGTCCCAGGATGACAGCTATAAGACACATGAAGACCTATGAAGCCACTAGTCCATATTTAAGCAGTAAGCAAGAGCTCCAGGAAGTTTCCTGGAATGAAAAGAAAAATTGTCAATTTATTTGACAGTGTGACCAAGTAGAAAGCAAGGGCACTTAGTAGACTTACTAGAGGGTGTGAAAAGTCACTGTTTAAAAAAAAAAAAAAAAACCTCCTCTCTTTGAAAAAAATAAAACAAACACAAAACAATGGAAGAAGTGAGGCAATCATTAACTCCAAGAAAAACAATTAAGTTGTACCAGAAAGGAAATGTCATTCTAGTACATTATGTGGTGCAGCAATGATCACAATACAATGAAAATACTGAATATGGACTAATCCTAAATTGTGACTAACATATTTGGAGAAAACAGGAAGGAAGCAGGAAGGAGAAAAGTCATAAAGAAAGACAAAATTCTTGCCAAGTGTGGTGGCTCACACCTGTAATCTCAGCACTTTGGGAGGCTAAAGTAGGAGGACTGCTTGAGGCCAAGGAGTTCAAGACCAGCCTGAGCAAGAATGAGACTATCTCTACAAAAAAATAGAAAAATTAGCCAGGCATGGTGGTGCACACCTGTAGTCCCAGCTACTCAGGAGGCTGACGCAGGAGGATCACTTGAGCCCAGGAATTCCGGGTTGCAGTGAGCTGTGACACCACTGCACTCTAGCCAAGGGAATAGAGCAATACTGTGTCTCAAAAAAAAAAAAAAAACAACATAAAACAGTGCATATGAAGAGGTTAGCACAGTGCCTGGCATAATATATGGTAGCTTGTTATTTTGAAAAAGTGACACATTTAAAAAAATCTAGGCAGGGGTAAATTAACATATATAAATAAATAAAGTCAGAGTGAGTTTAGCGCACAAAATGCATGACATTTACCTTGCTACAAGTTGGCCCCAAATTTGGCTTTGAATTGCAAAAGAACACAAAGCCTATACAACAACAACAAAAAAAGACCAGTTGAATAGAAGCACAATTATTCCTTATATTGAGGCCAAAGATATAAATATCTCTTAGGTAGGATATTGGATGTTATAGTAAACAAATTCTATGTCATTGTAGTAAAAATAACTTCTTCAGGCTTCTGTACTATTTCACAATGTCCCTAAACATAAGCAAACAGAACTATGTAGACCATGTATTTAGCTCTTTAATGGTCTGACAAAATCTAAGACAAAAAAATTGTTATCTGAAGAAAAGGCTAGACTACCTACCCTTTAGGAAAGTTTCCATGGATATTTCTCTCAAGCTAAATTTTTTGGACAACAAGATTTTGCCAATATGCACTTCAAAAATCCAGGTTTAAATTATATCCAAGACTAAGTTTTCCCATTTGTCTTTCTCTACAGACAAAAAAGTGAGAAGAAAAACAAGAGTAAAAGAGATTGGGTTCTTATATCCTAAAACTCATAAGGAGTAAATGAACAAAAAAGTAAGCAACACTTCCTATGTCCCAAATGTGGGGGAAACTCTATTCTTTATTCTTACAAGATCAAAATAACATTCTTCTTAGCAAGTATATAAGAATAAAGATTAATTCTTCCACTTATACTATATTGTTATGGAAGGAAAAAAGTAGAGACTACTAGTTTTGGTTAACTGAACATAAATATCTTTAGTCATCTGAAAAGGAGACAACAGAAATGGTATAAAATAACTTTTATTTACATAATTTATATATAGAACATAACTGCTTTCTTTAGAACAAGAAAATTTACAAATAACAGATATTGCTTTTTTTTGTCAAAGACTTCTTCAAGCAAGATAGTATACATGGTCACTTCCATTTCAAATAACATGATGGTAAACAGTGGATATTAATATTTTTATCTGTGCCTCAATCATTTACCAACAATTAGGCTTTTAAACCAACATGTTGATCACTTGCTAAGATGTAAGTGTTCAGGAGGAAAAGTCAAGAAAAGATAAAAATTTTTAATCATATCTCCTTTAAGGTTTATAAATAAATCCTTTGTAACATATTCTTTACATGAATCAGACTTAACATAGGTCATTCCACCTTATAAGGTAAATACACTGATTAAATTTCTTTTTCCAAGATTAGTTTTAAGGATATAACAGTAAGATAATTTAGCCAGCTGACTTGATTCTCTAATATAATGAATGCCCCTGTATTCTTTATACAGTAAAAAAATTACATCTTCCATAAAATTAATTTATTATAGATGAAAAAGAGACAGATGTTAACAAAGTTAAAAAATAAATATTACACAGGGATAAATAATAGTTTAGTCATGGCAATCTAACACCCAAACTAATACTAATTAAGAGAAAGAAACTTTTTCAGAATGAAAATTTTAAAAATTTACAAAAACAGGGTATTAAAACAGCAATGTGACTTACTACCATGATTTTTGTGATGTTAATCATATAAAATAAATAAATGCCTACTTCAGAGAATTTCCACTCAGAATTTTAGATTCTCTTTTAAAATTTTTTTTCTATTTGTTATCTACCCAAGATAGTACTTCAGATAGATCCTCCTTTATGACAAAAAGTTAAGTTGTAAATTTCACTAAAAGGCAATGAGTAAGTGCTCTAATAGCAGTAGTTTCAATAAATTAGCATTACTGTTAAACTTGTTTACTAAGGAACTTGAAAACTTGCCACCATGTTTTCAATATACAAATACAATTAACTAGACTTTAAAATATTTTCTCAATTGCAATACTGATCATTACATAATGCTATAAACACAGTTTTAACTTTTAGGCACAACTCATAACTTCAATGACAATTCATACATACAGACATCAGCACCTTAAGTTAAGAAAATTGCTGTCTAATGTAGGGACCAATCCAGCCACTGTCCTTCTTTCAAGTACTGACTGTGGCTGCTTTCACACAAAAGTGGCAGAGTTGAGTAGGTGCCACAGAGACCCTCTGGCCTGCAAACTCAAACTTGCAGAAAAAGTTTCCAACCTCTGAACTAATGTATTATCAACACAGGAGGCTTTTCAAATAAAATCAGAATAAATATGCTCTTTGAGAAGTTTAATTTGAACTATAAAAGATTTTGCTTGGGTAGATAGAAGTACATATGCAAATTATCAAATCTTGAAATTAAAAACAAAACTTAAATTCCTATTGTTAATAATCACTGACTTTATAAAGTCTCACTTTTTGTTTTGAACATCAGAATTATGCTCTGTGCTTAAATGACTAAGTGTTCCTTAGCAGAATTTAATGGGAAAAAAATTATTAAGAAATTAGCTTTTTAAAAAGGAATGTGTGTGTGCATATACAGAAAGAAGATTGAGTTTTGTATGGAAATTTGCCTCATAAATGAAGTAAAGAGTATTCCCCCCATGAAAATCCTGAGATTATCTAAGAAATAAGAAAAACAAAACAATTCACAGTACAAAGTCAATATACTAAACAATGAGAAAAAAATGTTTTCAAAACATGAACTGTCCAAGCATTTTTAGTTATATCATTTTAAATATCTTTAAAATTGAAGAGGGAAAGGAGACAAACATAAATTTGTTAATGCCTTCTTTACCCACAATCTGAGGGGTCAAAATAACTAAAACTGAATATCCTTTTAAATAAAAATTTTAAATATAAATAAGCTCTTTGATGTCTCATCTTTATAAATAATAAGGTTAAATACTAGTTCTTCAATTAGGGCTAATGTTACATCACCATGAATTAGAAAAATAAATATTCTCCAGTCAGCCAACCAGCGGATAAAAAGTTTTTTAACATTTACCATACTAAAGTAGAATTTGACGCTTTGTTTTCATATACAGTCATATGTCATTTAATGATATGTTCTGTGAAATGAGTTCTTAGGGCATTTCATGTCGTAAGAACATCACATAGTGTACTTACATAAACCTAGATGGTATAGCCTACTACATACCTAGGCTACATGACATAGCCTATTGCTCCTAGGCTACGAACCTGTTCAACACGTTGCTGTATTGAACTGTAGGCAACTGTAACACAGTAAATATTTATGTATCTAAACACAGAAAAGGCAAATATGTTGTGTTACAATGGCTTCAATGTCACTGGGCAATTATATCCATTATAATCCAATCCAATTATAATCTTATGGGACCACCTTCATATATGTGGTCTCTCCGTCAACTGAAACATTATGTGGCACATGACTGTACTTAGAGGCAACTGAAAAGGTCTTCATCATCCCCCCCAAAAAACAAAACAAAACAAAACACCTTCACAAATGAAATTCCTAAATGTTAAATACAATACAATCAACCTCCAAATACATCGGCACTATGATTGATACAGCAAAATTTATCCACAACATTCCTGAATGTCCATGTGTGCTCAGCACAGGAAGAGTCAAAATGTAAACAAGAGTTGCTATTTCTGAGAAAGCAGTCTTAATTGCTTGGAATTTCCAAAATGCTGAATCATCAGAATGAAAGGAACCTCAGAAATGTTTTCCACTGATTATAAAAGCTTCAAATCAAGCTCATTATATACTCAAAATCAACCTGAAAAAAAAAACAGACAGTGATGCTTTTCTCTAAATACTGCTTTGTTTTTGTAATTGACTCTGGAAATTCCAGGCTTCAAAAAAAGAAAGAAAGAAAGAAAAGAAAAAGTAAGAGACTCTTTTATTCTGTTTCATCCACTTCAATGAAGATATCACTGAAGAAATATTCAGAGACTGTGGTTGGCTCTTCTTCGGGTGCCCGGTTTTGGCCACTTTTACGTCCTTCTTTCAGTGAAGGCTGGTCAAAAAAAAAAAACAAAAAAACAAAAACCACACAATACAACATATAGTGGTAGTCTAAATTGACATAATGTTTGAAAAGGAATGTGGCAATAAATATTGAGTTCTACATATATTCCATACTTACTGACCCAACAATTTCATTTCTATGCTATTATATTAAGTAAATAATCCTAAACATATTAAGAGTTTTACGAATAACCTTTACAGCATTAATTATAAAGTTAAAAACACCTAATATATAACACTAGACATAATTAGATAAATTATAATGGACCTATGATCCATTACTTTACTCTAATTTCCATAAAAAATTTAATAGGCCGGGCGTGGTGGCTCACGCCTGTAATCCTAGCACTTTGGGAGGCCGAGGCGGGCGGATTGCTCAAGGTCAGGAGTTCGAAACCAGCCTGAGCGAGACCCCGTCTCTACCAAAAATAGAAAGAAATTAATTGACCAACTAAAAATATATATACAAAAAATTAGCCGGGCATGGTGGCACATGCCTGTAGTCCCAGCTACTCAGGAGGCTGAGGCAGTAGGATCCCTGAGCCCCGGAGATTGAGGTTGCTGTGAGCCAGGCTGACGCCACGGCACTCACTCTAGCCTGGGCAACAAAGTGAGACTCTGTCTCAAAAAAAAAAAAAAAATTTAATAATAAAAATAACATTGTTAAATCTGTAATAAAAATACTTTAATTACTGGCATAAGAATAGACAGACCCATGAAATAGAACAGCACTTAAAGGAAACATCACAAATCAAAGACAACCTTCTCAAGCACTTACAAATCGATAAAAAAAAAAACAAAGACAGTATGGTATTGGCACAGAAACAATATCAATGATACAGAGACTAGAAATAACCCCAATATATATGGAAATTTAGTATCCGATTAAAGTGATATTTTTTAAAAAAACTGAAAAAAGTTGGATTATTCAAACATGATGTTGAAACTATATAATCATCCCAGAGTTTAAAAAAAAAAAAACACAAGTCAGAGCTATGACTCAGCAAAATTAATTCTAGGTGGATCAAAAGATTTAAATGTAGAAGCATTTTTTTAAAAAAAAACCTCATGTAAAAACACTTTTATAATTGCAAATTTAGGGGGAGGAGATAGGGTACCTTTTTAAACTACCTGAAAGCCAGAAGTCATATAAGAAAGATTAATAAATTCATCTACAGAAAAATAAAAATGTCTGTATAGCAAAAAGCACCATATACAAAATCAAAAGACAAATGACATACAGAGGGAAAAAAACTTTGAAACCTCTAACACAAAGAGGTTTTTTTTCCTCAATGTAACAAGAACTTCTACAAAAATCAGTATGAAAAAAGTCAATATTCTATCTTTTTAAAAAAGCCAAATGCTATCAACAGATGTTTCACAGAAAACAAAGGATAAACAACTCAAACACACAGAGATGCTCTACCTCATTCAATAAATTTGTATGCTCATTAAATCTACAAAGAAATGACATAAGTGAAAGTATTTAATAATTAACAACATACTAGTGTGGGGGGAAAGGCCCTCCCATACACTGCTACAAAGAGCAGAAATTGACATAATACCTATGGAGGATAATCAGGGAGAACAATTAGTCAGAAGAGTTCTATTTGTAGGAATTAAACCTACGGATAAATGTGCAAAATGATCCATTTATAAGTTAGCTATTACCATGTTGTCTGAAATAGCAAATTTTTAAGAACAACCTAATGTCTACCACTGTGAGACTAGTTATTACTCTACGATACAAATACACTACATACTCATTAAAAACAATAAGGATATTCTTTGGCACTTATTCCTAAAAAAGATCTGTACATCAATGTTCATAGCAGCTTTATTCATAATAGCCAAAAACTAAAAACAAACCGGTAAACAGATAAATAAAACTGCTGGCCAGGCACAGTGGCTTATGCCTATAATCCCAACACTTTGAGAGGCTGAGGCAGCAGTATCCCTTGGGCCCAGGAGCTCGAGACCAGCCTGGGCAACACAGCAAGAACTCATTTCTAAAAATAATTTTAACAATAGCTGGGTGTGGTGGTATACACCTGTAGTCCTGGCGACTTGGGAAAAGGAGACAGGAGGATTGCTCAAGCCCAGGAGTTCAAGGCTAGTCAGCTATGATTAGGCCACTGTACTCTAGCCTGGATAACAGAGTAAGATCCTGTCTTTAAAAAAGAAAAAAAAAAAAAAATTAAGAAAAAACCCCACAAAACTGTGGTACAGCCATATCATGGAATACTATTCAGCAATAAAAAGAAACTAACTACTGATACACAGCCATCTAGACGAATCTCCAGGAAACTATGTTAAGAGAAAAAGCCAATTCTAAATGTATGATTTCATTTTTATAACTACATGTAAGATTCCACTGACATAATACTCTTGAATTACAAATTAATTGTTTCTTTTTTCGAAGACAGGGTCTTACTGTGTCTCCCAAGCTGGAGTGCAGTGGCGCCATCATAGCTCACTGAAGTCTTGAACACCTGGGCTCTAGTGATCCTCATACCTCAGCCTCCCAAGTAACCGGGACTATAGGCTTGCACCACTACATCCAGCTAGTTTTTAAAAAGCTTTTATAGAGGCAGGGATCTCAATATATTGCCTTGGCTAGTCTCGCAACTCCTGGCCTTAAGCAATCCTCCCACCTCAGCCTACCTACCAGTGTGAGCCACTGCACTCAGCCTTGAAATAACAATTTTATTTTCAAGAGAACCCAAGCTGTGAAATGAAGTAACAAATTTAATGGTAAATAGGTTGCCAGATATCAAGGAGTGAAAGTGGGAGAGAAGTAGGTGTGTCTAAAAAAGGGCCGTTCTATGTCTTGAGTGGAGCAATGTCAATACCCTGGTTTCGATGCTGCAACATGTACAAGATGTTACCACTGGGGGATACAGCATAAAGGGTAGGTGGGGTTTCTCTGTATTATTTCTTATAATTGCCTGTGAATCTACAATTATCGTAAAACAATAAGCTTAATTTAAATTAAAAGAGAAACAGAATAAGGAAGCTCTTTACTATTCTGCAGATATCTCTAAGATATATTGTTAGGTTTAAAAAAGGTAGAAAATAATATATTATTTGTATTAAAAAGAAGAAAAAAATGTTTGTATTTGTTTATATCTAAAGTATCTCTGGAAAATTAAACTAGAAACGGATAATACCATATGCCTATGAGAAGGGGAGAATAAGGAGGCTAAAGAACAGATGTGGGAAACTTTTCACTGTAAATCCTTTTTCTGTAGATTGAAAATTTTGAAACATGTAGAAAATATTACTTATTCAAACATAAAATAGAAATTTGAGAATAAAATTTAATTTAGATTCTTCCTTCACACTGTATATCAAAGTCAACAACCATGAATAGAGTTAAAATTTAAAAACTGATTACTGGCCAGACAGGGTGGCTCAGGCCTGTAATCCAAGCACTTTGGAAGGCCCAGGTGGGAGGACTGCTTTGAGGCCAGGAGTTTGAGACCAGCCTGAGCAACAGCAAGATTTCATCTCCACAAAAAATAGGAAAAAAAATTAGCTGGACATGGTGCCATACACCTGTAGTCCCTAGTACTTGTAAGGCTGAGGTAGGAGGATCACTTGACCCCAGGAGTTTGAGGTTGCAGTGAGCTATGATGGCACCACTGCACTCTAGCCTGGGCAACAGCGAGACCCTGTCTCAAAACAAACAAACAAATAAAAAAGAAAAAGACTGATTACTGATAATTTTACACCTCTGGAGAGAAACTTCCTAACCATAAGTTATAAATCAGCAAAAGAGAGAAATAAAAAATTAAACACAAATGAGAAATTCTAGTAAATATATGGGGAAAAAACAGTCACTTGTAAAGAAACGCATATTAAATCAATGAAATGACATTTCTCCTCCACTGCCATTTTATTAAATAGAAAAAAAGAATTAAAAATTTTTAAATGTGGCCGGGCGCGGTGGCTCACGCCTGTAATCCTAGCTCTCTGGGAGGCCAAGGCGGGCGGATTGCTCAAGGTCAGGAGTTCAAAACCAGCCTGAGCAAGAGCGAGACCCCGTCTCTACTACAAATAGAAAGAAATTAATTAGCCAACTGATATATATAAAAAAATTAGCCAGGCATGGTGGCGCATGCCTGTAGTCCCAGCTACTCGGGAGGCTGAGGCAGAAGGATTGCTCAAGCCCAGGAGTTTGAGGTTGCTGTGAGCTAGGCTGACGCCACAGCACTCACTCTAGCCTGGACAACAAAGCGAGACTCTGTCTCAAAAAAAAAAAAAAAAAAATTTTTAAATGTTAGTATCTAATTCTGGCAAGGATGTGAATAACCTGGCACTGCTACACTATTGGTAAACACAACTGTTCCACAAAATAATTTGGCAATGATAATCAAGGCTCATAAAATCTTGGTCTCAGAAAATAATTCTAACCAGCAAACTGGTATTAACTGAGTAGCACCTAAGTGGACACATATGTACTACAGTAATAGGGTATTGGGCAGGGTGGAGGGGGGCGGGCATATACATACATAATGAGTGAGATGTGCACCATCTGGGGGATGGTCATGCTGGAAACTCAGACTTGTGGGGAGAGGGGGAGAAAGGGCATTTATTGAAACCTTAAAATCTGTACCCCCATAATATGCCGAAATAAAAAATATATATATTAAAAAAGAGAGAGAAAATAATTCTAGGAAATCATATTAAGTATTTTTTTTAAAGTTAAAGATGTTCTTTATAAAAGTATAAAGAGGCTCATGCTATCTGACAGATGGTCACCAGCCTTTTCTTTGTTGAGATTTTGTCACCTCAGTAATTTTCCAAAGTCTTTAATACAGGTTTATAGATTTTTTTTATCCCAGTACTTGCCACTGGACAGCTTCAGGACATATAGAAATTAAACATTTAAGCAAACATATTCTAGCTTTGCAGTTTCTTTAGTTCTTGTGGGTGTCCAGACATTTCTCATTTTTTAAAAAATTTATATAGTTTTGCTTTTTTTTTTAACATTCAGTCTACACAGTCTGTCAAAAATAGCCAATGCCAATTATATTTTAAGTCATCACAGTGAGATATTGGTAAAAGTTTTCAATTAGCAATAATCACGCCTCAAATAAATCTCATTAGCTATAATAACACCACTGCACAAAGCTGAGAACTCTTTCCTAAGGCCAATAAAATGCAAGCACTGCTTTGTTTTGCTTCCATAAGTCAGAAGGGTCTTTGGCAGTCAAGTATTCATTTATGGCTAGTTCAACACTCTGTACTAAATTAGTAGTAATTTCCTAATTCCGTACCTTTTCTACTTCCAATACAGAGGGGTAGGGTAGGGAGGAGATGGATGGGATGCTCTAAAATAATCTCTAACATTGAAATAACAATTACCATGTTTTCCCTAGTTGAGTCTGAAATCCAATTCATTTTATTGTTTCAGTTATCACATACCTGTGTTGTTGAACAGCCAATATTTTCAGAATGATTATTAACAACACTTGGAGATGGAAGCAGATCAGAGGACTCTTGATTTTTTTTCTGGCTTTCACTGACTGGATTGGATCTTTTCAAATTCTGTCTTGACACAGGTATAAGAGGTTTTAGGCGCTTCTTATTATGGACCTGAGTAGGTTCATCAGACTCCAAACTATTCTTTGAACAAATTAAAGACAAAAATCCCAAGGGTCTTCTGCCAGGTCTAGAAATGCAAATGTAAAGACATTCAAGAATATCCAGGAAGACACATCCTTAATACCAACTTCTTCCCATTAATGCTAAAATGGCACACTCTACTAAGTATTGATACCACTATGCTACAATTATTTGTGACAAAGGTCGAGGCTTACTCTAAAGTAGTGCATCCCAAGCTTAAAAGTGCACACAATCACCTGAGGATATTATCAAAATGAAGATTAACTGAATTTTGGTAACAGGTGTGGCCTGAATCCTGTATTTCTAAGTCCTCAAATGATGCCCAAGCTGCTGGTCCCAGGGCTATACTTTGAGTAGCAAGGCTCAGGAGATGGGGTCTGCAAACTACAGTTCACAGGCCAAATGTAGTCCACCACCTGATTTTGTGAATATGTTTTACTGGAACACAGCTATGCTCATCTGTTTACATATGGTTTATGGTTGGTATTTGTATTATAACTGCAGAGTTCAATAGTTGCAACAGAGACCCTGTGGCCTGCAAAGCTTAAAATATGTATTATATGCCCTTTTATAAAAAATGTTGGCTTATCTCTATTCAAGAACACTGCTTTTCAACCTATTTTAATCCAAACCCCCATGATTCTATGAAACTTGCCTCATTCTATTTTCTTTCTTTTTTTTGAAGACAGGGTCTTACTGTGTAGCCCAGGCTGGAGTGCAGTGGCTATTCACAGGCATAATCATCACACACTACGGCCTCAAACTCCTGGGCTCAAGTGATCCTCCTGCCTCAGCCTCCTGAGTAGATGGGACTATAGGTACAAATCACTGTGCCTGACTCTCATTCTATTTTCAGCACATCTCTAAGGCCAGAAAACATATTGCTAAACTTTACTTTCTATAATTTAGATAATAAAAACAATAAATGTATTAAATATGCTTTTTTAAGCTACATATGTCCTTTCCTTCCCTTTTCCTCAGTGGAGGCTAGTACATGTCCTGCCCCCACCAAACTCACCAATACCATGTTAAAGTTTTGAATTTTGCTGACAAGCCAATAATTACTGATAACCTAGGAAACTTGCTTCTAGACTATGAAAAAAACAATGTGGGAAAAGTTGGCTTTGGGCTTAAATTCCAACACTTACTCTTATACAGAGAAAGCCTTGTTTACCTCTATGGTATGCCAAAAGGGAAAAGAATGACACAGTATTTGGGACTTCAATAAAACAGCTTCCAAAACTACCTCTGATGTCAGCCCTCTGTCTCATACCATTTACATGCGCATCAGCAGCTACTGTATATAGGAGAATATGTAATGATCAAGGTAACCATGAACAATCTAGAAAAGTAAATGTATGATATATTCTATCCTACATTTGACATACATCAAACTTTGACTATCTAAAATAGTTAAAGTTAAGCTTTCATTGCACAGAATATATATTTACCTTGAACATTACTATATTTCCTTTGCTGAAACTTTCCTTTACATTACTGATGGAGGAATATGTTTATTAAACATCACCCTTAGTATTGGATTTAATCTTTATATATCTGCTGTCAAGGTTATATTTATCCAGAGACAGAGAGAAAGAAAGAGATCTTTTAAAGATTTTTTCAGGATACCTGGATAGTGGGGTTTTTGAAGATGATACTCTGTTTTCCATTTGCTCAGACTTAGAAGCAGCATCAGTTCTTTCCTCCTTATCAGACATAATCATCTCATCCTGAGGTAAATGAGGCATATTCTTTTCTGTATGTGTATCTATTATTTTATCAAGAGATCTTGATCCTATACTCTGAAAAGTTGGTTCAACTTGTGCTTTTTGAGGTTCTGAAGTTGTATGTGTGCTTCCTGAGGTAGAAAAAAGACTTTGTCCCTTGTAAGACTCCCCTTCAAAAAAGAGAGCAAATCGTAAGCACACATATTAAAATTAATATATTCAGTTTAATCACAATATTTGAAACAAAAAAAGCCATGGTATTCTATAATAAACCTACCCTAGTAAGAATAAGCTAAATTGTAACTATTGGTTTTCTTAAACTATTAAGAATATTATAACTGGTTAAAAGGTATAGTAACAACTTCTGCACTCAGATACAAAATAACCATATCAATATATTTTGACCTAGAAAATCTTTTTTCCAGAAATAATTCCTAAATTTATTAATGAAAGGGTTATCATTTCCTAAAAATCTAAGGTTTGTTAAAGCCTAGATGGTAAACCAACCTAAAATATAGGTGGTTAATTCTTGGGTACCACTCAAGTTTAGCTAAAAAGTTATCTTTCCTTCACTAAATAGTAGACAAAAGCCAAATAGAAATTAATTGGGACAAAATCATAAATTTCTTATTAAATAAAAAACCCATTTTCCCTTAGGACACCTATTTCTAAGGCCTTGCTCCCAGTGAGAGCATTATAGTTACGTGAAGTAGAATGAAGTTGTAAGTATACCTGAAGAAATAATCAGATTAAAGTTGGTCCAAAATATCATATTCACTAATATTTCAATAATGCTGTGATTTATTTAATATTTTCACTGGAGAGAACGAGACAGATGAGAGAAATCTTTGGCTGCCTTAGTCACAAGGGAAATAGACCCTAAATGGTTTAATACCCCAGAAAGATTTTAAAATCTTATACAAATAGAAGATCTTTTGAATCTCTTAAGTAACTTAAGCTTGAAAAGATCTCTAGCACTAAACTAATTTTCAGGGTAAAGTTAAGAACTTATTTTTAAAAATGCCTTTATATTTAGCTTTCTTATTCCTAAAATGTAGTTGTTGGACGCCATGTGGTTTTTCTGTTGATGGGGATAGATGAAAGGAGTTGCTTTTACTTATCAAAGTACCAAATGCAAGGCCTTAGCAGGAAAGAGCTATTAAAAATAAAAGTATTATTCCTAGAGAAAAGTGATCATGACTCTGCTCCAACCTCATGTATGAACAAAATGCATCAAAAATAATCAGGGGTACTTAGCAAAATGCAATTGTGTTAAAATTTATTTCACTCACCTGTTTCCTCAAAAACACTTGTTAATTCCTTTGAACACACCTATTTTAAGAAAATTTATACAACAATTTAGAAATACATTCATCAAGTGAAATTAAAATTAATTTCCTTCCTTCCTTTTTTTTAAGTAAAGAAAGCACGTATCTCCCCAGAAAGCTCTAGGGTCAGACATGTCTTATAGGAATTCTACCAAACCTTTATGGAAAACATACTGCTATTATTACATAAACTGTTCCAGAGCCCATTTGCAGAGAAAAAGCTGACAAATGCCTTTTATAAATCAAGTATAATATTAATACCAACTAACCAGTCTCACTTGACATCAGTGCAAAAGTATCAAATGAAATACTACACAAGGAACACATAAAAAGACTAATATATCACAATCAAATAGAGTTTGCTTCGTAAGTGCAAAGTGATTCAACATTATGAAATCTAACATAATTCAACAATCTGAGGAGAAAAATCATCTCTATTTGCAAAAAACATCCAATATTATCCATTCTTTAAAAAAATTAATAAAATGGAATAGACATTTTCTTAATACCATAAAATACAACTATTGCAATCCAAAAGCCAGCAACCCATATAATAAACACTTGACGTACTCCCACTAAAATAAGGAATAAGAAAAAAGATGTGCACTATTGGGACTTTTAACCTTGCTTTTTGAGTTATATCATCCAATATAATTAGAAAAAAAGAAAAATTAGAACTATAAAAAGTATAAGAATTAAAATTATATTTCCAGATGATATTTATTTACCTTCAAAACCTAAGAGAAACCAACTGAAACCAACTGCAGATAATGAGGGAACACGGTAAGCTCTCTAGATAGAATAGAACTGGATGATGGCTGGGTGTGGTGGTTCACGCTTATAATCTCAACACTTTGGGAGGTAAAAGCAGGAGGACCACTTGAGGCGACAAATTTGAGACCAGCCTGAGCAAGAGCAAGACCTCACCTCTACCCAAAATAGAAAACTTAGCCAGGAGTAGTAGCAAGTGGTGGTGTGTGCCTGTAGTCCCAGCTACTTGGGAGGCTGAGGCAGGAAGATCACTTGAGCCCAGGAGTTCGAGGTTGCTGTGAGCTATGATGATGCCTTTGCACTCTAGCCAGGGTGACAGAGCAAGACTCTTGTCTCAAGGGAAAAATAAATAAACAAACAAAAAAACCATTGTGATACTGGCCCCAGAACAAATAGATGAATCAATGTAAAAGAAAGGGAAGTTCAGGAATATATACAAACACATATGAAGATTTTGTATCTCATAGAAGCACAATTTCCTATTTTCAGTAGAAAATAGATTATTCAATAAATGATTAAAAGTATCTGGGGAAGGCCGGGCACGGTGGCTCAGGCCTGTAATCCCAGCACTCTGGGAGACCAAGGCGGGCAGAATGCTCGAGGTCAGGAGTTCGAAACCAGCCTGAGCAAGAGCGAGACTCCGTCTCTACTATAAATAGAAAGAAATTAATTGGCCAACTAACATATATAGAAAAAATTAGCTGGGCATGGTGGCGCATGCCTGTAGTCCCAGCTACTCGGGAGGCTGAAGCAAGAGGATTGCTTGAGCCCAGGAGTTTGAGGTTGCTGTGAGCTAGAGTGACACCACGGCACTCACTCTAGCCTGGGCAACAAAGTGAGACTCTGTCTTTAAAAAAAAAAAGTATCTGGGGAAAACTGGCCCTATTCCTTTCACAAAAATATATTCTAGACAAATCAATAATATTAACTAGAAAGTTTTAATCTCAAAGGACTTTCAATGTATAACATAATCAAGAGAAGCCACACATAAAAGGACTGATAAACCTGATTACAGAAAAATAAAAAATGTTTGCAAGTCTATCTGACTACAGGGTGTGTACATTCTACAATTGTTGTACAGGTTGATGATCCTAAATCCAAAAATCTGCAATCTTAAAATGCTCCAAAATCCAAAACTTTTCGAGCACCAACATGAAACTCAAAGGAAATGCTGACTGGAACATTTCAGAATTTGGATTTTTGGACTTGGGATGCTGAACCAGCAAGTATAATGCAAATATTCCAAAACTTGAAAAAAATCTGAAATCTGAAACACCAAGCTTTTCAGAAAAAGAATACTCAACCTGCACAAGCAATTTTTTTTCTTGTTAAAATGCTAATTAAAAAAAACTTTATAAAATAAAAATCACAAGTAAGTCCAATCAACACTATACTTTTCTTACATATTCACACCCATGGCATATCATTTTTTAAATATCATCATTTAAAGAGCTATCATTTTTTAAATGGCATATTATAATCTGGTGACCTAGTTTTATATTTAGTAAAAGTACTACGGTCTTTTGTCCATGTCATTAAACACACACTTTTTTAGAAAAGAGATGAGATCTCACTATGTCATCCAGGCTGAAGTGCAGTAGCTATTCACAGGTGCAATTACAGCATAAGACAACCTCAAACTCCTAGATTGAAGCAATCCTCCCGTTTAGGCCTCTGAAGTCCAGGGACTACAAACATACATACATCCCCATGCCCAGCTTAAACATACTTTTAAAATAAAACATGGTATTGTCCACATGGAATGCTGATAAAGTGTTAAAACTGGGTGACTGGTACATCAGGGTAACATTATACTAGTCTATCTTTTAATATGTTTGAAATTTTTCATATTAAAAAGTTAATCCAAAAATATCTGCATGAGAAAACAAAAAAAAAAAAAATGACACGCTGGGAAAAAAATATCTGCAGCTCATTATCATAGACATATATGTCAGATCTATAAGAAAAATATCAACCAAAAATGAAAAATGGGTAAAGAATATAAAAAGTCATTTCACAGAAAAGGAAATATACATGGCTCTTAAGCATACAAAAATGTTTAATGTAGGCCAGGCATGGTAGCTCACGCCTGTAATCCTAGCACTCTGGGAGGCTGAGCCGGGCGGATCGCTCGAGGTCAGGAGTTCAAAACCAGCCTGAGTGAGACCCCGTCTTTACTAAAAATAGAAAGAAATTAATTGGCCAGCTAAATATATATAGAAAAAATTAGCCGGGTATGGTGGCACATGCCTGTAGTCCCAGCTACTTGGGAGGCTAAGGCAGTAGGATTGCTTGAGCCCAGGAGATTGAGGTTGTTGTGAGCTAGGTGATGCCACGGAACTCACTCTAGCCTGGGCAACAAAGTGAGACTCTGTCTCAATAAATAAATAAATAATGTTTAATCTGATTCATAAGTAGATAAATTAAAACTATTCTTGTATATACTATTTTTTATCTACCAAATATATAAAAGTATACTTGCTCTGTATCTACTATCACTCAAAAACTACTTTTCCTTTGAGAACATAGATTTTAAATTGACTTTTTCATAGTGTAGTAATAAATTATGGTAAGCACCAGAAACCAAAACAAGAGAGTGCTAGGAACCCTACAATACAGTGGCTGGAAACTAATTCTTCATGGTCTGGGCAGACTTCCCTGAGGCAGTGATGTTTGAGCTAAAGAAGTCTGTGTTTTGCAAGGGAATGCTTCACTCAGAAGGGACAGCAACTGAAATGCCTGGGACATGAAGGATTACAGTGCATTCAAGAAACTGAAAGATGGCCAATGTGGCTAGAAAGTAAGACAGAAACTAGCATAAAATGAGACAAGACACAGAAATGGGCCCAACCATACAGGGCTTTCGAGGCTCTGGCTTTATTCCTAAGAGCAACAGGAAGCTTTAAGCATTAGAATGATAATATTACTATTATCTTTGAAACATTAGGAAACCTGTTCAGATAGGTAAAGTATCTTAACCATTATCTCATAGCTACTAGGTGGTACAACCAAGATCCAGATCTGTATAATGTTTGTTTTTTTTTGGAGACAGAGTCTCGCTTTGTTGCCCAGGCTAGAGTGAGTGCAGTGGCATCAGCCTAGCTCACAGCAACCTCAATCTCTTGGGCTCAAGCAATCCTGCTGCCTCAGCCTCCCAAGTAGCTGGACTATGGGCATGCGCCACCATGCCCGGCCAATTTTTTCTATGTATATTAGTTGGCCAATTAATTTCTTTCTATTTATAGTAGAGACGGGGTCTCGCCTCAGTTGGCTCTAGGACTCGCGTTTCGCAACTCCTGACCTCAGCAATCGCCGCCTCGGCCTCCCAGTGCTAGGATTACAGGCGTGAGCCACAGCGCCCGCCCTGTATTAATGTTTTTGGCCTTGTTTTTAGCCACTGCCAGAGAACTGGGTTTCTGATTAATGTTCATCAATTTCCACCTAGAACTGGCTGAAAGTGAAAATCCAAAACTTGTTTTACCTAGCTCACTTATAATGAAATGTGTCAGAACTATCTGAATGTATATAAAAGTTGGAAGAATCTAAAGGAAAAAATAGGACCAGGTCTGTTTCAATATGGCCATCTTATTTACTTAATGATTCTATCTTACCTCAGAGGTATATTCTTGACAATCATCTTTTGAAGTGAGTGAAGTTTTTTTGGCAGGAGGAACATCATCACTTTCAAGACTGCAATGAAATCTCTTCTTGGATGTAAGATCCAAATTAGCAGGAGGCTTTTCAGAACCATCTTTTCCAGAATTAGATAAAACACATGGCATCTTGACCAACTGAAGTTACTGGTAAACAAATACTGCATAAAGTAAATACACATTAAATCAGTACAATCAGTCCAATAAAAAAATTCCCATAAAACCAAAAAATTCCAATAAAACAAAAAAACTCCAAGCTAACTTATACATGGACATGGTCATAAAAATTGTAGTTTTGAGCTCCATTCATACTTAAAAGGCTCACAGCTTAAATTCCATAATATTGAATTAAATCTGAGTTATATAAAGTGTTTTCTTTGTCTGTAAAGTTAAGCTTTTAATCTAAAATGTCCCCTCCTAATATAAAAGGCTCCAATTTCTCAATGATATAGACAATTAAGTGCCTGAAGCAATGGAAGTTGAAATACAATTAACCTTTCTACAATAAAGAATTAAAATAGGAGTATCAAGAATACATAAAAATGTATCTCTTGTACTATTTTTTGCAAATTTCTGTGAACATATATAGTCAGTCTTTTTGTGTGTTTATATGTATATATGTTTACAAAGTAACCATACATTTTACAGATGCCATTTTATTTCCAGACTGCTATTTTTTTTCTGTGACAGGGTCTTGCTCTGTCACCCAGGCTAAAGTGCAGTGACCAGACCACAGCTCACTGCAGCCTCGAACTCCTGAACTCAAGCCATCCTCCTGCCTCAGCCTCCTATGTACCTGGAACTACAGGCAGATGCCACCACACTTCAGCGGTTTTTCCTCCCCCCCCCAGATAAGGTCTCACTCTGTCATTGGGGCTAGAGTGCAGTGGCGTCATCACAGCTCACTGCAACCTCCAACTCCTGGGCTCTAGTGATTCTCCTGCCTCATCTCCCGCAATACCATGCCCAGCTAATTTTTGTAGAAATGTGGGTCTCACTCTTGCTCAGGCTACTCCAGTACTCCTGGCCTCAAGCAGTCCTCCTGCCTTTGCCTCCTCCCAAAGTGCTGGAATTACAGGTATGAGCCACTATACCTGGCCCAGACTGCTAAATAATTTTAGCTTTAAAAATAAAATATCAAAGAAGTTTCATACAGAAGCCATATTATATTAAACATTTTTTTAAGAGACAGGGTCTTGCTCTGTCACTCAGTCTGAAGTACAAGTGGCATGATCATAGCTCACTATATCCTCAAATTCCTGGCCTCTCATGTAGCTACGACTACAGGCACTTGCCACCACATTGGCAATTTTTTTAAATTTTTGTAGACACGGGGTCTCACTATGTTGCCAGCTGGTCTCAAACTCCAGGCTTCAAGCAATCTTCCTGCCTGGCCTCACACAGTGCTAGGATTACAGGTGTGAGCCACCATGCCCAGACATACTGACCATTTAAATAGCACCTTTATCAAACACAAAAATCAACCACATTACATTTCTTCTCTAAGTTACCACATAAATACTAAATAAGATCTCCACAACAATTACAAATAATGTTGGTGAATGGGTTGCTCTATTAACACTACTCAATTCATCAAGCACCTTTCCTTCTAGGAAAAACAGTTTAACTCATTCATTACCTCATGTCACCCCTTTCTTCGGTATTCACTGATTTGACCAATATGGGTGCTGGCAGTAAAGGGTTTGGCATTAACTGTGCAGTGGCATCTGTAAATTCTTCTACTGCATTAGTTGGTATTTCCACCAGAGTTAAAATGAATGCTTGTTCATCCTCTCCTTCTTGATGTACATTAGCAACTAGATTCACTATCAAAGTTTAAAAATTAGTAATGAAAAGCTGAACCATAAAATTAAAAAATCACTGATTTATTTCATTTCTAAACACTGTCAGAATTTATCACTTAGATTAAATTATACCCCAAAAAAAGTAATTTCATAAAGGATAAAGATGATCTACTATGGGGAGGATTTATACCTCTGAATAACAAAACTGGTACACAAAATATTTAAAGATTTTTTAAAATTTAAGGCCACCGTAGACTAAAAAACTGCTTTGTGCTTTTCCATAGTTAAATGGGAGGTAAAAATCATACTATCAGGTTCTATGACACTTCACTGAAGCAGATTATCATACCTGTTAGGTCTTGAGGATTGATTACATTCTCTTCTTGGACTTCTGGAATACTAGTTGGTATGCACTGCCATAAAAAATCAAAATGAAAGTGAGGTTGGCCAGATCTCAATTTTAAAAAGTCTTCCTGACAACATGATATAGGGAAGTGATCTTATTTCAAAATCATAGACTTATCTAACCATATATAATTGTCAAGTGTTTTGAAACTTTTAGCCATGCCAATAAACTTTTGATTCATTTAAATAAACATAAATACAAAGAATTCTCACTACATCGTTAAATATGTGTATTCTGTGAAATGATTTTTTTTTTTGAGACAGATGTTGCCTGGGCTAGAGTGCCATAGCGTCAGCCTACCTCAAAGCAACCTCAAACTCCTGGGCTCAAGCGATCCTCCTGCCTCAGCCTCCCAAGTAGCTGGGACTACAGCCATGCACCACCATGCCTGGCTAATTTTTTTTTCCTATATATTTTTAGTTGTCCAGCTAATGTCTATTTTTTCAGTAGAGACGGGGTCTCGCTCTTGCTCAGGCTGGTCTCGAACTCTTAAGCTCAAACAATCTACCCGCCTTGGCCTCCCAGAGTGCTAGCAATATAGGCATGAGCCATCTCCCCCAGCCTATGAAATGATTTTTGAAGTGACAGAATAAAGAGATCCAACTCCTCAACCTTCTCTCTGGGCCAGGTGCAGTAGCTCACGCCTGTAATCCTAGCACTCTGGGAGGCCAAGGCGGGCGGATTACTCAAGGTCAGGAGTTCGAAACCAGCCTGAGCAAGAGCAAGACCCTGTCTCTACTATAAACAGAAAGAAATTAATTGGCCAACTAATATATATAGAAAAAATTAGCAGGGCATGGTGGCACATGCCTGTAGTCCCAGCTACTCAGGAAGCTGAAGCAGAAGGACTGCCTGAGCCCAGGAGTTTGAGGTTGCTGTGAGCTAGGCTGATGCCACAGCACTCACTCTTAGACTGGGCAACAAAGTGTGACTTTGTCTCAAAAAAAAAAAAAAAGTAACCTTCTCTCTGCTCCTATCACACCAGTCATTGTACCATTAGTAGGTGACATTTCAGTGGAGGCAAACCACTCTCCTTGCCTTGAGTATGGTTCCTTCCAATCTGTTTTCCACAAAACTACAAACACTGTTTTTTCTAAAATGCAATCCTGATGGTAATTCTCTACTACTTAAAAACTTAAAACTTTCATTTTGCAACCAAAATGTCAACGTCAATAATTGATTCAAGCAAGAATCACCAATGGATACTATAACTATTGGGTGACAGGTTGCTGGGTCTCATTTGACAAATTACTTACTAATACAAAGTGCCATTACAATGGAGAAATACGGCAGGCACCATTCTGGCCAACTGATCAGTCAGCATTACCAGTAATGGGAAAAACTGATATATGTATCTCCTGATGAGATGTAAAAACAAAGACCACATCATTACCTATGTAGTAATTGTGAATCCAGTAATGAGGAAGCAAGAAAAAGAGCTCTAGACCTGCTTAGACTCATCTAAAATATCAAATTCACAAAGTAAGAAAAAAGGCAAGAGAAATATTCTAGATTGAAGGAAAATAAAGAGAAATGACAACTAAATGCAATGTGGTAAACTTGACTGGATCCTGAATTTAAAAAACCTATAACAGACATGATTGGGCCAACTATGGAAATTTGAATGGGAACTGTATATTATGTATTATTATTGAAACAACGTTAATAATATGGTAACACTTATTGTGACAATAGTATTGTTACTTCTCTGTAAGAGAATGTCCTTTTTCTTTTTAGATACAAGATGATGGAGTATTTAGAAATAGAAGGCTCAGGTTTGCAACTTACTTTCGAATGGTTCAGTTTTTAAATCTATCCATCCATCCATCCATCCATCCATCCATCCATCCATCCATCCATCCATCCATCCATCCATAGAGATGGAGAACAAAATGGGGAAAGAAAGGAAATAAATCACAAAAAGTATTAACAATCAATGAGTTCAAGTAAAGGGTATGGGAGAATTCTTTAAAAGAGTCTTGTAACTTTTCTCTAAGTTTGAAATTATTTCAAAATAAAAGTAAAAATTAAAAAGATAGGCGGGGTGGGAATTGTATACCATTAGATGCAACCAAACTCTTTAGCATGTCATAAAAATCCTTTTATAATCTGTCTACAAGCTACCTTTCTAACTTCTACTCTAATGTATTCTACTTATAACTACTTATAGTCACTGAACATGTCATGCTATTCTTTACCCATGTTCCTCTCTCCCTTTAACTTGCTAATTTATACTTGTTCTTCAAGTTTAAGAATTCTTTCTTGGCCAGGCACAGTGGCTCCCGCCTGTAATCATCGCACTCTGGGAGGCTGAGGCGGGCGGATTGCTCTAGGTCAGGAGTTCAAAACCAGCCTGAGCAAGAGCGAGACCCCGTCTCTACTATAAATAGAAAGAAATTAATTGGCCTACTAATATATATAGAAAAAACTAGCTGGGTATGGTGGCATATGCCTGTAGTCCCAGCTACTCGGGAGGCTGAGGCAGAAGGATTGCTTGAGCCCAGGAGTTTGAGGTTGCTGTGAGTTAGGGTGACCCCACAGCACTCACTACTCTAGCCTGGGCAACAAAGCAAGACTCTGTCTCAAAAAAAAAAAAAAAAATTCTCTCACCTGAAGAATTTTTTTTAAAGAAAATGCTAATGCCTAGGCCCCATTCCTAGAGATTCATTTAATTAGATCAGATCTTCTGCTACAGAGTCTTGTGCAAATCTAACAAGCACGTATCAAATTTAACCATTCATTTACTCATCTGTCTCCCACAAATTTGTATCCTCGCTACCTAACATAGTGTCAGATACACTACAGTATCATCTCCATAAACACATTCTGTGAATGAACTCCTCAGATCCAAAATTCACTAAGAAGTGAATTTTTTGTGTATAAAACACTTCCTTTTTCAAAACTTTTACAACAAAGCTGGGTATTAGCTATGCTATCTCCATGTTCTAGAGACTGAAAACACACACTCAGTTAAAATTCTATCACAATATATTCTTGCAAAGTAAAACTATAGAGAAAGAAAGCAGAGCCATGGTTGTTAGGGATGAGAGTAGGGAGAGAGGGTTTAAGTAAGAAAGGGCACCAGGGAATTTCAGGGTGATGTAACAGTATGTATCTGGTTACATAACTGTATTGGTTATATAATTGTATATATTTGTAATAACTTATAGAACTGTACACTAAAAAGGGTGAAGGTTATTTTACACAAATTTATACCTTAATTTTTTTAAATGGAGAAACAATGCCTTACTGGCCCTTGTTATGTTTTACATTCTTTTACCTCTGATACACTGTCTCCTTTAGAGTCCTTTCTCAGAGGCTCTTCAACAGAACTCTCACCAAGAACCACATCCAAACCAAGTATGTGAGGCCTTATCTCAGAGGAAACAACCGGAGCAACTGACAATACCTGAACCTCTTGAGATCTTTCTTCTTGATCTTCATTTCTGAAAAAGAATTTTAGCATGTTATTTGAAATCAGGCTAACAACACAGAATGATTTTTATAGCTAGGTATTTCAAAGATCATCTAATTTGATAGTTTTTAAACTTCTAAAATATATTTAATGCAACAGTACTACTCCCTTTTTCAAGCAAATTATTACATCTACAGCTTATGGCTATAGCTGAAACAGAATATAAAATGAATTTCAGAATCTCTCCCCTCTTTTACCTTTCAGTTAGGTTTACTTCTTGAGAAATACTGGTCCCTTTGATACCATGCATACATGCCAATTTGCTCTGCTCCTTACTCTCTGCTGTTGTAACTGGTCCAAGGTTTTTATCTTCCAATTCTGTTGCTTCAGAAGCATTTTTCTCAGTTTCTTAAATAAAAAACACTTAAGATATATAGTCCAAAATAATACAGCTAAAATGTCCATATTAGAAACATATTCTCTCTTAAAATATAAATCATTAGATAGTGACTCATCCAAACTTCTCTAAATCCAAAAATCAAGTTTATTCATCACATGGCAGAAGGTGGTCCTGGCCAATGATAATTTCGAACAGTAAAACAGATGATCCTCTACTGTAGATATTTCACTCCTGTCTGCCATCGCAATTGTATCCCCACATTATGGTGATAGCACTAATAATCAGAAACTCACGTAGAAAAGAAATTTAGAAGTAGATACACACAAGGTCTGGCTAGTTCCACCTTAGGGGACATCTTGGGGAGGGGAGCTGTGTGGCAAAGAATAATGTCACAGGGAGAAGAAAAAGACTTCCATATAAAAGAAATTTGAGTCCGCAGACTGAGAGAGCTTATGAAAAAAGTGATCTCTCACAGTTCTTGTATATTTTTTGTGTTTACTGCAATGCCATAAACCTTAAATACCACACAAAGTACCACTAATAATGCTGGAAACTCCCCCAAGAAGCAGAGAGAAGTCATGACATTATAAATTAAATAACAGAATTGCTTGATACATACTGCAGATGGAGGTCTGCAGCTGCAGTTGCCTACCATTGATCTTATTCATCTTATAAACTGACAACATAAACTTTAGGTATCAATAAATACAATATAACACAGATTTGTAAATGTATTTTCTTTATGATTTTCTTAATAATGTTCTTTTCTCTAGCTTACTTTACTGTATAAATACAGTATATAATACATATAACATACAAAATATGTATTAATCAACTATTTATCTTATCAGTAAGGCCACTGGTTAACAGTAGGATATCAGTATTTAAGTTTTTGAGGAATCAAAAATTATATACAGATTTTTGACTACACAAGGGGTCAGCACCCCTAGTTCAAGGGTTAACTATATATGGTATGTGTATAAAAAAAGAGAAACCATTTGATCAACTATAGCAAAACTGTACTAGTACTTAAACTAGTTGGTGGATTTATGAATATTTATAGCTCATTTTACTATTTTGTATGTCTGAAATTTATTTATAGTAAGTTAAAACAATTTTAATGACTGAATATCCTTTGAAATGCTATGGAACTTTTTGTGTCAAAGGAATTTTGTAACTTGCAAGAGAAGAATAAAATTTACCTCTTTGAGTGTCTACTTCTTCCTCTTTGGTTGCACACAAACTGGGAACTTCCTGATGAATATCAAAGCTGTTGGTCCCTAAAATCTTCTCAAGATTTGGTTTAGGCTTAGCAAATCTACTTCTCATTTTCAAATTGTTGGTTACGTTAGAAGCTTTACTCCTAGAAATGGAGAGATGGGGAGAGAAATTTATCAACCATGTAAGATCTTGCTCTCTCACATTGATACAGTCTGTCTAGCACTGATACAGTTAACACCCTGTCAGGTGCCACATTGTCTAAAAGTGTTCATTTCTTTTTTTTTTTATTTATTTTTTTTTTTGAGACAGGATCTTGCTCTTCTGCCCAGCTGGAGTGCGGTAGCATCATCATAGCTCATTGCAGCCTCAGACTCCTGGGCTCAAGTGATCCTCCCACCTCAGCCTCCTAAATAGCTGGGACTACAGGTACATGCCACCACTCAGCTAAATGTTTTTATTTTTTGTAAAAATGGGTCCTGCTAGCCGGGCACAGAGGCTCACACCAATATACCTAGCACTCTGGAAGGCTGAGGCGGACAGATTACTCAAGGTCAGGAGTTCAAAACCAGCCTGAGCGAGACCCCGTCTCTACTATAAAAATAGAAAGAAATTAATTGGCCAACTAATATATATATATAAAAAAAAAATTAGCCGGGCATGGTGGCCCATGCCTGTAGTCCCAGCTACTCGGGAGGCTGAGGCAGGAGTATTGCTTGAACCCGGGAGTTTGAGGTTGCTGTGAGCTAGGCTGATGCCACGGCACTCACTCTAGCCTGGGCAACAAAGCAAGACTCTGTCTCAAAAAAAAAAAAAAAAAAAAATGGGTCTTGCTATGTTACTCAGGCTGGTCTCAAATTCCTGGGCTCAAGTGACCCTCCGGACTTCGCCTCCCATAGTGCTGGGATTACAGGTATGAGCCACCACACCCAGACTAAAAGTGCTCATTTCTTAACGCTAAAATTATAAAGTAGTAACTTTACTAGAGGTCTTAAGAAGAGAATCCAGACCATGTTTGTAAAAGAGAGAATATATTTTATTTAATACACAAACCTATTTCATTACAGCTTCAAAGATATACAACCTATACTGTTATAATTTTAACATGCAAACCATTAAACTAAAACCAAAATCAACCAACCTTTACTTTAAAGGGTAAGAAATTAGCATTGCCTACTTTACATTTACATACGCATTTTTCAAAGCTATTAACTAAATTGATGGTAGGTTTAATTATATTTATTAATTGAATACAAAAATAAACCTGGTTGATGTAGTATTCTCCTTTACTCCCTCCATTAAACCACTTTCTTCTCTAGTAATTTGTTCCTCCAATATAATCTTGTTTTCTTCAAATGATGCAGGAAATGTACTAACAACAGGTGAAGAAAGCTCCTGACATTCGTGAACAATTTCATGATTTACATTATCTGGGCTGAAAGGAATATGGCTTTTATCCTTCGAATGAGCATGAGGAAGTACACATATTCCTACTGCAGGAAAAGAAACAAAATTAAATTTACCCAAAATAAATAGATATTCAAATGAAATAAATTCTCTAACATTCAATAACTATAAAATTCTATATTATAGTTAAAGTTTTCTTGTATGGCTCCAAATTTAAATTTATGATCTATATTTCACACCAGTGATAAATTTAACAATTCTTATAGACTGAAACTTTATGCTAAAAATGAGTTATTGTGTTACTTGAGTGGCTACATAATCTCTGACCACTTGCCAGATAGGATTGCCTTCATTTATAATTTATTAAAACCTATATTTTATGTTGTAGAAATTTATGATAGGCTCCACTGCAATACTGTGCCATTGAGAAAGAAGCCCTATATGGAACACAAAATCAGAGACTTTCCTGGTAAAGTTATGGTTATAAGCCTAGAAATCTAACAGCTAAAACGAATGGCAAGTCATGTAGCACCAGTCAAAATAAGTACCAATAAATAATTAGCATAACTATCTATGTAATGTAGTTAAAAGATACTAAAATAGTAAAGATCATAGCTTCTCTGTAAATTCAGCCTAATATATATTAAAAATCTGGGTTAACATATCTTGTGGTTCTGTCCAAACTGTCAAAACAGTTTAAATTCTCAATAACTACTATTGCCTTTTTATACTGTATTTGTCATCTAATTGTAAAGACCATCCCAAGCAGCAACTCCTTTGGTAAAGAAACACATATAAAATGATCTGCGATCAGTTAGCTCAGTTAACCAATGATGTTCACAATGATAAAGATAGAGGACTCACTAGATACACTATTCCATGAATATAAATTATTCTTAATAAATAAAGCATATTATCTTGAATTAGCTGTCACTCCACCTAAGGAGGTTAAGTAAAATAGTGGATGAATACACACATATTACCTGTTCTAGAAAAAAAAAGTGATGACAACTGCAAATGTGAAAAGCTTATTACTCAAATGTAGGTATAATTTCTTAGAAGTTAGATTTTAAATTTCTATTTTTTGGTAGGACTTAATCTTTCATTCTTACCATCACCCTGTTCAGGAGTGATCTCTGACTGCAATACTAGATCTCCCATAGTAAGTAAAGTTATGGCAGCTTCAGTGCTTCCATCATTGGTACCTTGTGAGGAAATACAGCAATATTAAAACAGAAGAACAGGGAAATTTTTTTATTTAAAAAAGATTTTTAATTCAAGTGTTTATCTTGTAGTAACAGGTTTCAATATCCTCTGTACCATTTTATTATCTTACTAGGGTAGTGTTTTGTTCTGGTTACACACTGCATATAAAGAAATCATCAGTGGTGGCTTTTTTTACTCACTTTAAACACCAAACTCCCATTAAATAATACCTTCCAAAAAATGCTCTCATCTATGCAGATCCAGAGGAAACACTTAACAAATACTTCTTTATCAAACATTTAACTTACCTTCTAACGTAACATTCCTAGAGTCCAAGTTTTAAATACAGATGAACTATTCAATAGCTGAATCTTTTTGTTCACCTCTCCAGTAAACTGACTCATTTACTATCACCACTACTAAGTCACTGTACTAGTGTTAATTAAGCAGCTTTAGCAGTTTCCTAGTTAAGTTACCTGCCTCCTCTTGAGTATGTTCACCTGTGGTCATTTCCTAAAGGAAGAAAAGAGAAGTAACATCTTAAGTTATTTCCCTAAACACACATTCTTTCTCAAAAAGCACTACATTTTACAGGTTTTTCTATATTTTTAGTCATAATAGAGGAAATGGGTTTTTTCTTAATTGATAATTATTTATAAAATTTGATAAGAACAGGAATAACCTAAAAGCCAAATTCCTTTGTCTCTTGCCCCCGATTTTACTTTTATTATATGCAAATTTTAACTCTGATCATATTGCTATGTACATCTATCAAAATCCCTCAACTTCATAGTCATATCTGCTGCAAGTTTGTACTCAATGGAAACCAAGGTCTGGAGGGTATTGCAAGTTTTATATACACTACTAGGTGGCTGAAAACTTAAATGAATTTTAACAAATTAAGAAGTTACAGGTGCACACTACCACCAGGGTTTTGGGGTGGCGAGCATTGTGGAGGGGAAGGGAATACCTCTAACCCTTCTTAGGGAGAGGCAAAGAAATACAATGTAACCAAAATGTCAAAAAAAAAGAAACCTTTTATCACATGGGGGGCAAGTGGGAGGAGGGGAAGGGGGTATACTTACATACTTACATAATGGGTGTGGTGTGCACCAACTGGGGGTGGGACACGCTTGAAGCACTGGCACAGAGGGGAGGAGGAGTGGCAGGGGGAATATATGTAACCCCAACAATATTTATACCCCCATAATATAATGAAATAAAAAGAGGAAAAAAAATTAATTCATTTAAAAAAATTTGAAAAAAACAAAAAAACAAAAAAAAACGGCTGGGCACGGTGGCTCACGCCTGTAATCCTAGCACTCTGGGAGGCCGAGGCAGGCGGATTGCTCGAGGTCAGGAAGTTCAAAACCAGCCTGAGCAAGAGCGAGACCCCGTCTCTACTACAAATAGAAATAAATTAATTGGCCAACTAATATATATAGAAAAAATTAGCCAGGCATGGTGGTGCATGCCTGTAGTCCCAGCTACTTAGGAGGCTGAGGCAGGAGGATTGCTTGAGCCCAGGAGTTTAAGGTTGCTGTGAGCTAGGCTGACGCCATGGCACTCACTCTAGCCTGGGCAACAAAGCAAGACTCTGTCTCAAAAAAAAAAAAAAAAAAAAAAAAAGAAGTTACAGGGTTGGTGTCCAAAGTGACAGCTTGAGGAGCTCCACTGTCTCACTAGCAGTGAAACTGATTTAAAAAAACAAAATAAAACATTTAAAGCTTCTGGAAATGGTCCTAAGAATGAAAAGCAAATGAAGAAACATCTATTTAAGAAAATCTATGAAAATTTGCTAATAACAGTCTATATAAATCAAGACTGTTATTTCTCCTTCCTTTCTCCCAGCTCAGCATGGCAGAGACTCAGACTGCTGTAGATAAGAAAACAGGGCCCCCATTTCCTAGAGGTCCCAGCTAGAAAGGATTCTTCCCCATGGGAGCGGGACTTTAGCTGCTGACATCACAAGAAAACTACAGACCAGTATCTACTATAAATATGGAAATAAAAATCATCAATAAAATACTAGCAAACTAAAGCCAACAACATATTATATAAAAATTACATATCATGACCAAGTAGGATTTAACCCAGGCATTCAAGCTTAGTTTAATATGCAAAAATCAATATAATAAAAAAAAATCACATGAACATCTCAATAGATGCAGAAACAGCATAAGACAAATTCTAATACCCTTTCATGATAAAAACACTCAACAAACTAGGAACAGATGACAACTTCAACATGACAAAGAGCATCTATATAAAACCCACTGCTAACATCACACTTAAGGAATAAAACAAAAATGTTCACTCTCACCACTTCTATTAAGCATTGAACTGGAGGTTCTAGGCAGGGCAATTAGGCAAGAAAAAGAAAGATAAGGCATCCATATCAGAAGTGCTACAGATTGAATTGTGTCCCCCAGAAAGATATGTTATAGTCCAAATCCCCAATACTGTGAATGTGACTTTATTTGGAAATGGGGTCTTCACATATGTAATCAAGTTTAGATGAAGTCATACCAGATTAGGGTTAGGATTAACCCTAATACAATATGACTGGTGGTCTTATAAGAAGAGGCGGCAACATAGACAAACACAAAGGAAAAATGTCATGTAGCAAAGGAGGCAAAAGTTGGAATTATGCTGCCATATGCCAAGGAATAACAAGGACTGCCGGCAACCACAAGAAGGCAGGAGGAAAGGCATGGGATGGTTCTTCCTCAGATCCTCCACAAGGAATCAACACTGGTTAGCACCTTGATTTTGGACTTCTAGACTCTGGAACTGTGAAAGAATAAATTTTTGTGCTTTTTTGTTGTGAGACTGAGCCTTGCTCTGTCACCACGGATAGAGTACAATGGCATGATCATAGATCACTGCAACCTCAAACTCCCAGGCTCAAGTGATCCTCCTGCCTCAGCCTCTCCAGTAGTTGGGACTACAGGCATGTGACAGGAGTTTTTTTTCTATTTTTAGTAGAGACAGGGTCTTGCTCTTGCCCAGGCTGGTCTCAAACTCTAGGCCTCAAGTGATCCTCCTGCCTCGGCCTCCCAGAGTACTAGAATTCCAGGCATGAGTCACGGAGCCTGGCTTTGATTCATGCACTTTAAATGCGTGAATTTTATGGCTGTATGAACGTATCTCAATAAAGCTGTTTTAAAAAGTTACAATGCCAGCTCTTCATTTGCAAAAACAAAATAAATACCAAATATCGAAGAATGCAAACAAAAGCAACTAAAATCTTTTAAGTAATTTATATTAATACAAATTTAATGCACAGAATTTTAATGTAAAAGTCTATGTGGTCCCAGCTTTTGGGAGGACCAAGGTGAGAAAAATCACCTGAGGCCAGGAGTTGGAGACCAGCCTGGGCGATATAGCAAGACTCATCTGTACAGAAAGCATTTTTTAAAAATTAGCTGGGTGTAGTGGTGCACACCTATAGTCCTAGCTACTAAGGAGGTGAGGTGGGAGGATTACTTGAGCCAGAGTTTGAAGCTGCAGTAAACTATGAACCAGCACATGTACTCTTGCCTGTGACAAGCAAGATGCTGTCTCACAAAAAGAAAAAAATCTATAAGTATATTAAAGCTTTACCCACATACAAAAAAAAAAAAAAAAAAAAAATCAATGCTTCAAGTCAAATATAAAATCTACAGATTATTCACTAGTTTTTACTAGTCATTAGCTCCTACATAAGAAAAATAGCTAAGAAATTTATAAACCTAAAGGTTCAAAATAAACCTCCTGTTTTTTAAAGTAAACGAAGAATATAAAGCCAAAAAATTAAAATATATGCTACAAATGACGATGCATTCAAATTTCTTCTGTTTCATTTCCTGAGTAGTTACATCTGTGTTTGAGAGCTGATGCTGAACAACAGCTATGCATCCTATATCTGGGACATTTACAGTTATTTCAAGCTGTCAAAATAAAGTTTTATTATTTAATTTTGGCATACTATAAACAGCAAAACAAAACTTCATTTTCCACATGAATAAGAAAATGAAATGTTAAAATGAAGAAATAATCCATATTCACACACGACTTTTTTTTTTTGAGACAGAGTCTCACACTGTTGCCCAGACTAGAGGTCCATGGTGTCAGCCTAGCTCACAGCAACCTCAAACTCCTGAGCTCAAGCAATCCTTCTGCCTCAGCTTCCCTAGTAGCTGGGACTACAGGAACATGCCACCGCACCTGGCTAATTTCTTCCTATTTATAGTAGAGACAGGGTCTTGCTCTTGCTCAGGCTGGTCTTGAACTCCTGAGCTCAAGCAATCCTACCACCTCGGCCTCCCAAAGTGTTAGGATTACAGGCGTGGGCCACCGCGCCCGGCCCCTCATGCACAATTAAGAAAACTAAAATAGGCCTGGCTCATGCCTATAATCCCAGCACTTGGGGGAGACCAAGTGGGGAGATTCCTTGAGACCAGGAGTTCAAGACCAGTCTGGGCAACACAGCAAGATTTCCTCTCTACAAAAAACAAAAAAATTAGCCAGGTATGGTGGCATGTGCCTGTAGTCCCAGCTACTCTAGAGGTTGAGGTAGGAGGATTGCATGAGCCTAGGAGCTTGTGGTTGCAGTGAGCTATGATGAATGCCACTGCACTCTAGCCCAGGAAATCAAGAGAAAACTTGTCTCAAAAAAAAAAAAAAAAGATGAAGAGAAGAAACTGAAATGTAGTCATTCTTTTTTTTATTACAGACACAGTCTCATTCTGTTGCCCAGGCTGGAGTACTGTGGCATGATCACAGGTCACTGCTACCTCAAATTCCTGGGCTTAAACAATTCTCCTGCCTTAGCCTCCTCAACAGCTAGGGACTACAGGTACATGCCACTACATTCAGCTAATTTTAACTTTTTAATTTTTATTTTATTTGTTTTAGAGATGGGGTCTTGTTACATTGCCCAGGCTGATCTCGAACTCCTGGGTTCAAGTGATACTTCTGCTTTGGTCTCCCAAAGTGCTGGGATTACAAGTAGGAGCCAATTTGCCCAGCCTGAAATTCAGTAATTCTTAAACTGATTGACAACAACTTGATAAAAGTAAAACATTTAAGGTTTTTCAGGGAGTCTATGACTAATATAACCAGTAAGCAAAATTTCTAAGGCTAATCTTCTTAGTGCCTGACATTTCATTTACCATTTTCCCTACTTTGCCCTAACTTTCCCGATTTCTCTCATCAGTCTGTTAACATCTATGGAGTACTTCCTAAAAACTAGAGGGATACAAGGTCAAATAAGACAAGTTTGGTTCCTGCCCTCAATGAACTCACAATCTAAGAGATCAGACATGTAATCAACTAACTATACATTGTCATAAACGCTATAATAGAGATGAGTTGAAGATTTCTTATCCCATCTCCCTGCCACAACTACCCTGTCCTACAGCCCCAAATAAAAATAATTACTGTATGATTATATAAGGTTCCTAGAGTAGTCAAATTCATAGAGACAAAAAGTAGAATGGTGGCTACCAAAGGCAGGGGGCAGGGGTGACGTGGAAGGGTTTAATGGGTGCAGAACTTGTTTTACAAGATGAAAATAGTTTTGTGGATAGATGTTGGTGATGGCAATACAACATGTACATATGAATGTACTTAATGCCACTGAACTGTACACCTAAAAATATTAAGATGGTAAATTTATCATAATTTTTAAAAAAAGAATGAAAAAAAAATTTTTTCCTTTTTCCTTTTTTTCCCACCCGGAGTTCGGCTTGGGTTTTTTTTAAGGGTTTATTAAAAAAAATGTTTTAAAAATTAACCAGAAAATAGATTAAGCAGCTCCCAAATATAAGTGCAAGCAGATTTCTATTGTTATTGTTATACTGGTTCCCTTACTGGACTTGGGCCACAGGGCCTGAGTAATCACAAGAAGTCACACAAGCCTACTTCTATTGATTCTTTAAGCTATTCACTAGTCCCTAAACAAATTATTTTTGGTAGAGGTTATTTAGAGAATGAACTCTTTAAATCACTAATAATCACTAAGAGATTAAATAATCACTAAGAGAATAAATAATGATCCACTAAAGGAAAAAGGAGAGAAAGAACCAAGTAAGATAAAAATGCCAAGGATTCAAAAAAACAAACTACCTCTTCCATTGTTTCCTCAATCTGAGCAGAAACAGGTTCAGGAGATCTGAGACCAATAGGTACAAACACTGGAGCTTTGTTTACTTCTTCTGGAGCAAGATGATAGCTTTCTTCTTCATAGTCAGACTCAAAATCCTCAGCATCATCATCTTCTTCCTGGGAAGCCCGAAGAGTCACCAGCATGGCCTTAGAAGCCCTAGGTTCCTTCTTAGAGGTCTTACCCCGAATACGTTTTGATCCACGCCCTTTGGTGACATTTGGTTTAATCTTTCTATGCATTCTCCTTTCACTATGATCTATCTCACACTCAGATGCCAAAGAGATAGATCTTCGATCAGGAGCAATTTTGGAGGAATTTGATTCTTTTAATAGTTGTGGACCCCTGGATGTTTAAGCAAAATAAGAATTTTGGTCATATATGCACAAGGATAATTTTAATAAAAACCAAATAACAGTGAAATCCCAGTTCCAGTCATTAAAATGAGAACTACCACCATCTGTTCTTTTAAAACCTTACACTGTGAAAATAAGAAAGGAATTAACTGCTACTTAGTTTCTCGTTCAGAGTTAATTCTTAGTTATCTAACTATAAATTTTTAATAGTAAGTTTTCAATACTGGGCTGTTTTTTCCCATTATATGAATGTAGAGATGAAATAAATACAAAACTAAAAATTATTAGAAGAAAAAGGGATAAAAGACACAGAACCAAGACAGAATAGGGGATTGAAAAGTGATACTGATTTATCCTCCTGGGTAAACAGATTAGGTTAAAAGGGAGGAGGCAGAAATCCATCAAAGCAATGCTGCTTTTTAGGACTTAGGTTCCCTTCTACTTTCTTTGAAAACTATAGAAGTAGGGTACTCTTCATTTGTGTCTGTGATCCCATTTGAATTAGCATCCTAATTACTTAGGTGATACACACTACCTCTTTGTTCAGGCTTCTATTCATGTCTAATAGACTCAATACCAAAAAATTCTAAACTTGAGAAAAGAAAAATCCTCCTAAGATCATAAAAAAGTAAATTGTAGTAAATAAAAAATCAAACATGGGGGACAAACACACTTATCAATAAAAACAGGCTCTACTTCTATTAACAAGCCACCTTTTTGTTCTATCCGTAAGTTAAGGGAGGACATTTACGAACAGTAAGTGATTTTTATTTCCTACTCTGAAAGTATTTGTTAAATAAAACGTTACCTTGTTATTTTACCGGGATACTGCTCTTCAGTGATTGAAGACATAGAATTATCTCCTACAATTTCCTCTCCAATCCTTCCCAACGGTCCAACTTCTAATTCAGTACATTTCTGGGCCAAATCAGACTCTTTGAAACCTATGCAATCTTTTCTTGCTGAAACCTCCAGAGATGTCAGAAATTCAGCCTTTTCCTTAAATTTAAGAAGAAATTAGCTAATATTACTCCAGAAATAATCTTTATGTTAATTTCATTTTGTGTTTTGGCCTACACCTCAAAGCTTACATATACATACAAGTGATGAGTTGCTAAATTTTTATAATACTGGAAAGTCACTCACTTTTCATGAAAATAGTTACAGCACAAAAGTTTTAAAAATTTTTTTTCCCACACTTACTTTTAGAAGGAGCTGGGTGTCAGAATCTCCTTGCTGCAGTAAATTATCTTCTGGCTTGCTTGCTTCACTCTGATCTGCTGTGCCTTTTTCTACATCTGGATCCTCTTTCTTACCATGTGCTCTTCCCAAATTTGGCTTAGCCTTTTGGAATTTCCTTCTTATCATTTGTGCTTGACTGGGAACATATGGTTTATTTTCATGCCTAGAATGAAGTACAAATCACGTTGAAGAACAAAACTAGAATTCCTTGTTGATGTAACAGCTGTTAAATCAAACAATTTTGGATAGAAACTAATTCTATGTTCAAAGGCTGTAAAACCAAGCATGTAAAATAAAACTACACATTGCTGATAAGAAAAGAAAAACATAAAAGCTTTAAAGCTTCCATTTTCTGTATGGCCTGGGGAATATTACAATAATATTAGTCTTTTTTCTTATTCATTGATTCTAGTATGTAATTTTATGCTGCTTCAAAAGTAGTATTAGGAGAAATAACTAGATACCAAAAAAATGTCAGTATCTGAAGATGGATTTCATAATGGCACTTTAAACAAATGCCTTCACTGGTCTCCAAAGTATGAACAAATATACAATAATCATAACCACCTTGGTCCTTCTGGATCAAGAGCAGGCTTGAGGGCTAAAATCTATTCTGCCACTACATCCCTGAAAGATCACTGAAAAGGGTTTATTGACAGCCAATGTCATAAGGTTTTCAATATAACCCATCAGACAAAGACAAGGTTTTAACAGTCAATAGAGCAGCCACAGCTCCTAAGGCAAAACAAATAGCTATCTTAAGGTTTACTGGAAAATATTTAAGTAACTGACAAGGATCCAAATTAAGAAGTTTAAAAACTAACATAAACCAGGATTTTTATAAAGAATGATGGGGTATGTAAATATCTATAATGAGTCCTCTGAAAGATCTATATTAAAAACTAATCGTAAGTAATATTTCTAAATAAATTAGCTAGAAGAGAAAGTAGTTCCCACATTTCCAAATGTACCAACTTTACTAAGCTCTGGCAGTGAAACATCAAGGAGGTTTGAAAGAATTTCTCACAAGGTTATGATGTTGGCTAATACATGTCAGTGTTGGCTAATGTATTTGGAAAAACATATTTAACTTAAGTATAAGCTATTTATAATCACGTGTGATTATGTAAAGCTATTTAAGAATAAAATATACATAAGCCCAATGTGCTGAGGTCAAAATGGATACAGAAGTCTGGACATAAGAATAAGCTAATTTAGGCCGGGCGTGGTAGCTCACGCCTGTAATCCTAGCACTTTGGGAGGCCGAGGCGGGCTGATTGCTCAAGGTCAGGAGTTCGAAACCAGCCTGAGCGAGACCCCGTCTCTACCAAAAATAGAAATAAATTAATTGACCAACTAAAAATATATATATACAAAAAATTAGCCTGGCATGGTGGTGCATGCCTATAGTCCCAGCTACTCGGGAGGCTGAGGCAGTAGGATCGCTGAGCCCTGGAGATTGAGGTTGCTGTGAGCCAGGCTGACGCCACGGCACTCACTCTAGCCTGGGCAACAAAGTGAGACTCTGTCTCAAAAAAAAAAAAAAAAAAAAAGAATAAGCTAATTTAAAAACTATACAGAGATAGATACTCTTAGTTACAGCACAGCTAACAGCTGGAATAAATGTCAAGAACTAAAAAAGTTAAAAAAGTGGGAGGCGATGGATTTCCATCTAAGAAATGTAAAATTAGATCTTTCTCATTAAGAAATCCAAAGGCTAAGCACAGAAGAATTTGAAATATATTAATAAAAAGTTTCTTTTAGGAAACACTGTCTATATAAATGAAGGAATACGCTAGTCTAAAGTCATAAATCCTAAAAACTAAACTGCCAATGTTACTTCAAATAAGTTATTTAAATCCTCTAGGTCCATTTAGCCAATTATAAATGAGAACATTAGGAGCCAGCCACTGACCTCAGAAGGTCACTAGTATTTTAAAGGCTCATTTAGGGTAAAAATCAAAATGCTTACAATAGCCTTACATAACCTATCCTTCTTCTCCCTCAGCTTTTACCTCCCATACATCTACCATTCTTCCTCTCTGTCCCACATTGGCCTCTTTACTGTTCCTCAAGCAAGCCAGGCATATTCTTGCCTTGGTGTTTTTTTAATTATTATTCCCTCTTCCTGGACATCTGCTTGACATGCTCCTTCCTTCCTTTCAGGTCTTTTCTCCAATGGTGCTCTCTCAATAAAGCATTCTCTGGTCACTGCTAATTAAAAATTGAATTCCCAATCATGATACTCTCTACTTCCCCCCACTTTATTTATCTCTACTCATTTATTCAAGTTATTTCTTGCTTATAATTGTGTTCCCACAATTAGAATATAACCTCCACAATAACAGGATTTTGTTCATTCCTATATTATCAGCACCTAGAACAATGATGCCCAGCACACAGGAGACACTAAAATGCTTGTGGAATAAATGAATGTACAAGGTTCTTTTCAGTGGCAAATTCTATAATTCTGTAAGACCAAAAAGGGATTAAATTATACATGGAAAATAACCTAAAATTACTAATTAGAAGAAGTCAATGATGTAAACAGGTTCATCTTTAACACATTAAATTGCCATGTGAGTTATATTTAACTTACACTAGTTTTGAGCCCAGGGCCTCATGAAGCATAACTGACACCTCTATTTACCTTGGGAACTGCATGTCGCACAGGCAACTCACACTGCAATGCTGTAGCATACATGTTATGTGATGGGTGTCCCCCTGGGCAAAACCCTTCAATTGGTTTGTGAAAATCTTACTCGTTCATGTTCTTATTGTTACAATTAATACTGACAATTTAACTGCTTATAACTCACACATAGAAAACAATAAAAAATAACAAATTTTTCATTAAATTAGAAAGGTTTGTTTTGTTTTTGAAGTTTTTAATTCTATTTTTATAATAAAACACCATAGCCCCAAGGAAAAAAATTTTTTTTCTGGTGTGGCAGTCAATATGTTAATGTTTGGAGAAAGTGTTCCCTATAATCATTATCAGAGATGACTTTCTCCACGAGATCAATCATCAATTTATTCCAATATAGTCTCTGTACTATAAGTGTATTTGCAATGCACTTTAGTGAAAAACATTTCTCAACACCAATCATGTCACTTAAACATTCAGTTTTAAAAAACAAAGAAATGGCTTGGTGAGGGAACTTGAGATTAATGCAAACTAAATTTGGCCTTAATCTAGAAATGAAGGCAATATAAAAAAGCTTTTCAATGCACAGCAAAGGAAACATAAAGTAAAAAGACAACCTATATAATGGGAGAAAATATTTGCAAACTATCCATTTGACAAAGGATTAATAATGAGAATATATAAGGAACTCAAACAATAGCAAAAAAAATTCTGATTAAAAAATGGGCAAAAGACTTGAATAGACATTTCTCAAATGAAGGCATACGAACAGTCAACAGGTATATGAAAACATGCTCAACATCATTAATCATCAGGGAGATGCAAATCAAAACCAACTGAGATATCATCTCAATCTACTTAATATGGCTATTATCAAAAGGATAAAAAATAACAAATACTGGGAAGGGTAGAGTAGCTCATGCCTGTAATCCCAGCACTTTGGAGGCTGAGGCAGAAGATCGCTTGAGGCCAAGCATTCCAGACCAGCCTGGGCAACACAACAAGACCTCATCTCCACAAAAAAGAAAAATAATAAATATTGGCAAGGATGTGGAAGAGAGGGGAATGCTTGTGTACACTGTTGGTGAGAAAGTGAAGTAGTACAGTCATCATGAAAAACAGTACAGAGGTTCCTCAAAAAACTAAAAATAGAACTACCATAGGATCCAACAATCCGCAATGTTAGGTATATATCCAAAAGAAAGGAAATCAATATATCAAAAAGACTGTGGTCCCCAACCCCCAGGCCTTGCACTGGTACAAGTCAGTGGCATATTAGGGACTGGGCCACAGAGTTCTGCAGCCATCCATTCCACCCCCTTCTGTCTAGGGAAAAACTGTCTTCGATGAAGCTGGTCCCTGGTGCCAAAAAGGTTGGGGACCTCTCAAAAAGGTATCTGCACTCCCATGTTTATTATAGTACTATTCACAATAGACAAGATATGGAATCAACCTAAGTGTCCAGCAACAGATAAAGAAAATGTGGTGTGTGTACACACACACACACACACACACACACACACATATATATAATAAAATATTATTCAGCCATAAAAAAATGACAGCCTGTCATTCGCAGCAACATGGATGGAGCTGGAGGTCATTATGTTAAGTGAAATAAGCCAGGCACAGAAAGACAAATATGACATGTTCTCACTCATATGTGGAAGCTAAAAAAGTAAATCTCATCTACAGAGTAGAATGGTGCTTACCAAAGGCTCGGAAGGAAAGAGGTGAGGAAGAATGATGTGAAGTTGGTTAATGGGTACGAAAATGCAGTTAGATTGAAGGAATAAGTTCTAATATTCAATAGTACAGTATGGAAATTATAATTGACAATAATTTATTATATATTTCAAAATAGGTATAAGAGTTGTAATGTTCCCAACAAAAAGAAAAAGATAATGTCTGAGATGATGGATATCCCAATTAGCCTGATTTGATCATTACATATTGCAAGAATGTATCAAAATATCACATGTAGTCTAAAAATATGTACAATTATATATCAATTAAAAAATGTTTAAAAGGCTTTTCAAGACCACAACAAAGGAAACAAAAGAAATCCATATTTTAAAAAAAACTTCACTTTAGAAATCCATCTAAATGAAAACAAATTATTTAAAGCCATCTAAAATCCATAGCACCACATGTTCAGACAGACGATGTAATAGCCCAAATTCTATTTCTTCACTTAACCAGAGAGAGGTTAAAAAGAAGACTATAATACTTTTGGCATTTCTTCAAAAAGGTAATGTCATTCTATATAATAAAAGGAAGCTGGAATATTCAAAGTAAACTCATAAGTGCTGAAGACATTCTAAAGGAAAAGTAATAAATACTTCACTAAAAAACATGTTCTACTTACAAGGACAGGAAATTAGATGGACCATGAATTATATACAGAAAGGAAAGGTGTTTTTAACTAAAGAAACACAGCCTGCTTTAATATCAATAATAATAAAGCATCATATGTCTCAGTGGTGGATAATAAAAATAATAATAAAGCAGACTACAAGTAATAAAAGTGGTAATGCTAAAATTTCTTCACCCTACTAGCTCATCTCATTTAAAAGATGTCATTCTTACCATGTGGCTTGGATGTATTACCTCTAAAAATAGTATATACTACGTACTTCATATCATTTCCTATTTATGAGTTTTACTCAGTAGCAATAAATTTCTAAAAAAGATACAAAGAACTTAAGAACTTTTGTCTACTAAAATAGTTTACTTTTAATACAAAAAATGAGGATGCTTTCCAAACTTTTAAGAGAAATTACAAATTAAGAAGACATCAGCTATGCAATTCTTATAGTATTTCAGAAGCAGATTTAAAATACTGTAGTTGCATAAGTAATCATTACTTTATACTTTCATAAAATTTTTAGCATGCAAAAGTATATAAAATCAATTATCTAAAAATTCAACCTCTAACTTTGAAAAGTTTTATGCTTTTTCATTAATAGCAAACTCACCTCGTGTTTTCATCTAAAACATTTATTTTGTTATCATGAAGGTTTTCAACAAGAACCACATGACTTTGATTTTCATACATTCCACACTCTGAAACTTTAGAAGAGATAACTTCAATCTCAGTTCCAATTTGAGAATTTGGCTGAAAAGACAAAAATCACATGAGAATAGTTTTTTAATAGCAGAACATACCTCCTAAAATATTTTAATAATTAAGAAATATATTTTGTTTTTTAAAATTAAGATTCAGATTGAGGCCCCAGGTGGCGACTCACGCCTGTAATCCTATCACATTCTTACAGGCTGTGGCAGGAGGATCACTTGAAATGAGGAGTTCAAGGCCAGGTTGAGAAAGAGTAAGATCAATCTCCACCAAAAATAGAAAAAATTAGCTGGGCATGGTGGCTTATGCCTGTAGCCCTGGCTACTAGGGGGCGGGGGGGGGGGGGTAGGGGACTGAAGCAGGAGGATTGCTCAAGCCCAGGAGTTTGAGGCTGCAGTGAGCTATGATGATGTCACTGCACTCCAGTCTGGGTAACAGTCTGTCTCAGAAAAAAAAGAAGATTCAGACTGGGTATATAATATTCATGTTTTGCTGCCAAAACAAGAATGTCTAGCTCAGAGAGAACATTTCAAAGATTTTTATTGCAGTAATATGTTTATAAAATGTTTTAAAAGCTACAACAGCCATCTGCTGTGAATTAAAAAATAAAAAATAGTTGGGCTTAGTGGCTCATGTCTGCAACCCCAGCAACTGGGAGGCTGACATGGAGTTTGAGACAAGACTGGGCAAAACAGTGAGAGACCCCCAGCTCTAAAAAAAAATAATAAGAAGAAAAATGATTGAACCACTGCACTCTAGCTTAGGTTAGACACTGTCTCTAAAATACTACTACTACTAATAATAATAACAGTAATACTAATAGTTTAATTGTTTTTGATTTTTTTTAAGAAGAACTTTTGGTTGAAACAAGGATTACAATCACTTTAAATCTAAATTTTGTCTTGGTAGACAGAAAAAAGGACAGAAAAATAAGAACTACCTAAAATGGACATTTTTAGGCATTATACTACTTAGACTATTTTTCTAGTATCAAAAGATCCATCAATAAAAGACTGATTAAACGGTCGTTTAAAACAGTATAATGTTACGCAGCAAATGAGGTGTTTATTTCCTGATACAGAAAGCCACTCCCAAAGTATGAAGTGAATAACAGAAAGGTGAAAAATAACATGTATACAATGATTTTATGTGCCCATATATGTGCATGGAAATAGATCCAGTAAGACATGTCAAAGGTTTTCAGGGTGGAGAGATTTGAGGTATTTATTATATCATTTTGTAGTAATTGAATATTTCACAATTAATAGCTTTATTACTTAAAAAAAATCTATTTTCACTTTTTAAAAAATATCCAGAATAGTAAATCCTAAACAAAACTGGATACTGTATTCATTGCGTAGAATAAGTGTCAAATGCCTATATTCTGAGCCAAGTCTGAGCTATATCATCTGATATTTTAATATGTATTAAAAAGGCTCAATTTAATTACATAATAAGAACTCACCATAGTCAAGACTTTGTTTTTAATTTCATCTTTCTGTACTATTGTTCTTTCTTCCTTAATTATGCCTTTCATTTCACCTTTTCCTACCATTTGCCTCTGTCCAGCCTTTCTAACGTTTGGTCTGGGTCTCTGAAGTCGGCCCCTTATTGGTTGAGCACTTTGGATAACGCTTTCCTTCAGTTCTTGTTGGAAAATACTTATATTATGAGTCCTAGAAAAGGGAACAAGGAGAAAGAGAATGAGAAAGAGAAGGAGTTTGACAGTAAAAAGTTGAAAGCTACTATAAAAATATAAAATTTGAATCTCTAATAAACTCTCTATAAAAATATTTTTGTACCATTAAAAGAAAATTACATTCTGGTCATAAACATTTTATTTTATAAAAGAAATTAGTTATTTCAATTCTCAAAAGGTAATAAACTTTTATTATTATGTACCTAGAGTAGCCAAATCTATACACAGAAACTAGAATGATAGTTGCCAGGAACTGGAAAAAGGGGAATGGAGAATTAATATTTAATGAGTATGGAGTTTCAGTTTGAGAAGATAAAATACCTCTGGAGATGGATAGTAGTGGTGATTGCACTACAATGTAAATGGACTTAATGCTACTGGACTGTACCTTAAAAGGGTTAAAATCATAAATTTTATGTACATATTTTGTCAATTTTTTAAAAAATAATGAATATATAGCTTATATACATACAGGTTAAGTATCCCTTACCCATAATGCTTAGGACCAGAAGTGTTTCCAATTTTGGATTTTTTTCAAATTTTGGGATATTTGCATTTATACTTACTGGTTGAGCATCTCTAATTTGAAAATCTGAAATGTTCCAATGAACAGTTCCTTTATGTTACAATGTTAGCTCTCAAAAAGTTTTGACTTTTGGAACATTAGATGTTCAGATTAGGGATGCTCAACCTGTATTTTTTTTTTTTTTTTTTTGAGACAGAGTCTCACTTTGTTGCCAGGCTAAAGTGAGTGCCGTGGCATCAGCGTAGCTTACAGCAACCTCAAACTCCTGGGCTCAAGTGATCCTCCTGCCTCAGCCTCCCTAGTAGCTGGGACTACAGGCATGCACCACCATGCCTGGCTAATTTTTTCTATGTATATTAGTTGGCCAATTAATTTCATTTTTATTTATAGTAGAGACAAGGTCTTGCTCTTGCTCAGACTGGTTTCGAACTCCTGACCTTGAGCAATCCGCCCGCCTCAGCCTCCCAGAGTGCTAGGATTACAGGCGTGAGCCACCACGCCCGGCTGTATTTTTTTTTTTAACACATTGCTCTGTATAGTATCTTAAGCAGCTAACAATAAAGATAAACAGAGGCAAGCATTTAAAGTTACTGGATTCGATCTGATTGTCTATTCTAAGCAGTCTGCTATATCAATAAAATCAAACCAAGTATTCTTTATATTCACTTTTAAAATACATTAACATATCTTAATTTAAAAAATGAAAAAAATGTTTGAAAGAAGTCTCTCTCTTATTTTAGATTTTCAAAAAAAAAAAAAAATCACTGTTTACCCCATAGAAACAACTAAATCATTTTTCTTGGGTCGTGTTGACTGAGGCTCCTCTTCAGGTTCATAAGGATTTGAAGATGGACCCTTTTCTGTCTGTGTACATGATAATATCACAGCCTCCTCCTCCTTGTGACCTAGTTTGTCTTTTTGTCTTGATGTCATTAGGGAAGGATCATCCTAGAAAACAGAAAAAAAATAACTTCATTCATTTACTTCATTGGTAAAAAGTATAGGGAAATAAGAACTTTCATATACTATTAAAACAATAAATAGCTACAGTCTTTGGAGAGGACAAATAGAGTAGCATCTATCAAAATTTAAAATTTCCAACAATTTCACTTCTAGAAATTTATCTTATAAAGGTACTCAAACAAGTATCTAGAAAGGCATATATACTCCTTAACTGTTAAAAAAACAAAAACAAAAACTCCTTAACTGTTAAAATAACTCCTTAACTGTTATCACTGCTCCAGGCAAGAAAACTTAAAAAAAAGAAATAAGAATGAATTAAAATTATAATTAAAAAAATTTAAAAATTAAAAAAAAATAGAAAGGCATATACAAAGATATTTATTGTAGCAATTTAAGAGCTTCCCCCCTCAACAAAAGAAAACAAAAAATAAAAAAAACTTAAAAAGTTAGAAATAAGACAAAGCAGTAGGGGACTGAATAAATAAATTTTAATTTATTTACAGTACAATAGTATACAGCCATTTAAAGGAACATAAGTTTATTTGTACTGATCCAAAAAAGATGTTCACAATACTGTGTTAAGTAGAAAAAACAGAAGGCCATTTTTGGAAAATAATTTTAAAAACTTACACATTTTATGATTTTATAATAAGTATCTATACAAAAAAAAGTCTATGTGGATATATTCAGAATTACTATATGATTTAATTTGGGAAGAAGGGATGGAACATTATAAAGAACTCTCAATTTTAAGGATATATTTTTTCAAAATTGAAATTTTTATAATCAGAAAATATAATAGCAATTTATCTTTTATAAATATAAAGTTAGATGTACAAATGTTGATGCACAGTAAAAGAACTATGCTATTTTAAGATGTCAAATAAGAATTTTAACTCCAGAAAGTACTTTTATGTGGAAAACACATAATTTATGAGTATTAAGATTTCACATCAAGGCCAGGCGCGATGGCTCACGCCTGTAATGCTAACACTCTGGGAGGCCAAGGCGGGCGGATTTCTTGAGGTCAGGAGTTCGAAACCAGTCTGAGCAAGAGCGAGACCCCGTCTCTACTATAAATAGAAAGAAATTAATTGGCCAACTAATATAGCTAGAAAATATTAGCCAGGCATAGTGGTGCGTGCCTGTAGTCGAGGCTGAGGCAGGAAGATTGCTTGAGCCCAGGAGTCTGAGGTTGCTGTGAGCTAGGCTGACACCATGGCACTCACTCTAGTCTGGGCAACAAAGTGAGACTCTGTCTCAAAAAAAAAAAAAAAAAGATTTCACATCAAAGTTTCTGATGTCATATCATACAATTTTAAACTGTTATGAACCAAGGTGATGAAATAAATATATCTTTTAACTCTTATCAAGTTTTTAAGTTTTCACTTCACCTTCACAACAGATTTAAATAAATGACTATTATTGCCATTTTTCTTATTAAGACACTTGTCACATCATTTGGCTATTGTCACATAGCCAGAATTTGAACTAGAGCCCAGACCTCCTAAATGCTTTCCTCTGACATACTTGCCCATCATCAGATATCTGAGATTATTACAAAACTACATGGAACAATGAGGCACATTAAGCACAGGAACCATATCACACATGGTAAAAGTTACATAAAGAAAATATTTGTAAAATTTTAAATTTTTAGTAATCATGACAATGAAAAAAAACTGCACATACAGAACCTACAGCTTACATATCACTCACATGTTGAGAAGGGAGAGTATCAGCTTTTTCACTGTTCTGTTGTATCACTACAGTCTCCATTGTATCAGTTTCTGATTTCTTCCCAGATACGTATTTTTCTGCTTCGGTAGTCTCCCTCTTTAAAGCTGCTCTTGCTAAGTTTGGTCTTGGTCTTTTAAATCGACTTCTCATAAAAGGTGATGGTTTAACTTCAAGTGGCTTCTGTTCTTGAGGAAGAGATTTGCTTTTGGAACAAGGATTATCAAACTTTAGAATGAACTGGAGGTGCAGTGAGAACAACGGAGTCTTATTAGGACAAACTTAGAGTAAACATTTAATTCTCTTTTTTTGAGACAGGATCTCACTCTGTTGCCTGGGCTAAAGTGCAATGGCATCATCAGAGCTCACTGCAACCTCAAACTCCTAGGCTCTAGTAATCCTCCTGCCTCAGCCTCCCCAGTAGCTGGGACTACAGGAGCATGCCACCACACCCAGCTAATTTTTCTATTTTTAATAGAGATGAGGCCTTGCTCTTGCTCAGGCTGGTCTCAAAGTCCCGGCCTCAAGCAATACTCCCAACTCTGCCTCCCAGAGTGCTAGGGTTACAGGCGTGAGCCACATGCCCAGCCTTAATTCTAATACTTAACAAGAAAACAAAATTAACTATTTGGTAAATACTGAAAAACATAAGTAGTACAATCCAGGTATAAGTCAAGGAACTATATCACCATTGAATGAAGAAAACATGAGTCTTTCAAACCTGTGCTAATTTAGAAATATTACATAAAATTTTGTATATGTTAGTATTTTTCACAATCAACTGTCAGAATGACCTCAATCCTCTCTCCCAGTCTTGCCAAAACTGTCTTAAAATCCCTATCTGCATATTATACCTTGAAACCTTACCTAGTTTAAAATAATCTGCAAATTTAACTTTACTAGCTTTTTCTTTAAAAGCACACTGTACCTTAAATTAACATCTGAAAACTGCTCTGGGACATCTGGAAGTCGAGTTCCCAGGTCTTCTGTTTTACCAAATTCAGAAGTCTGTGAAGAAGTCTTGAAGTGACTTGGTACTTCCTTTTCAGAATTTCTTTTTTCTTCTACAGATATATGCATCACCGACAGTACTTCACTGCTAATATTCTGGAGGAATAGTCACAGTGAACCAGCACATATAAAGTACCCCTTAAATAGTTCATACATTTCAAACAAAATAAAAGCCTATATTCTAAACACTTTCCATTAAAAATTTAGAAGTCCATTTTCAATCTTTAAATAAAATTACTAACAAATGTTAAAACCTAGAATCCAGGAAACTCTTTTATATTGTATATTATGACTTTCCCAAACTACAAATGCCATTTCCTGTTAGAAAAAAAGTCCTTGAAAATGTTACAAGAGAACTTCAAATAACTGGAAATATTTAATGAAAAGAACTTTTAGAAGTGGAGTGGGGCAGGAAATAAAAAGAGAAACAGATACAGATGTGGCCAAAAGAAATAATTCAAATGCATGTTCATACTAAGGTTAGTACAAATTCAGTCCAATTTCATACACTCCTTTTACCTAAAAGAGTTACTTCAAACTGACATTAAGAATAGTAACTTCGCCCCCACTGCTAAATTTTACTGGCTTTAAAAAAAAAGGGGGGGGGGGAATAATAACTTCTCAGACCAGGCGCAGTGGCTCACACCTGTAATCCTAGCACTTTGGGAGGCTGAGGCAAGAGGATTGTTTAAAGTTAGGAGTTTGAGACCAGCCTGAGCAAGAGAGATCCCGTCTCTACAAAAAAAATAGAAAAATTAGACAGGTGTGGTGGCACATGCCTTAGTCCCAGCTACTGGGGAGACTGAGGCAAGAGGATTGCTTGAGCCAGGAGTATGAGGTTGCAGTGAGCTACGACAATGCAACTACACTCTAGCCCAAGTGGCGGAGTGAGATCCTGTCTCAAAAATAAAAAAGAATAGTAACTTCTGATCCTTTTATAGTTCATACACCTAATAATGACTGGGTTTTTAAACTCATGTATGAGATGGACCTCCCTCAAACCCTGTTACATTGTTGGCACATTAACCGTCTGACTTGGAAAAGGAAAAAAACAAAAGATTTTTTTTCATGATTAGAAATTTTAAAAAGATTTAAAAAAAAGAATAGGCTGGGCATGGTGGCTCCCATCTATAATCCTAGCACTCTGGAAGGCAGAAGTAGGAGCACTGTGTGAGGTCAGGAGTTTGAGACCAGCCTGAGCAAGAGCAAGACCCCATCTCTACTAAAGTAGAAAGAAATGATCTGGACAACTAAAAATATATAGAAAAAATTAGCCAGGCATGGTGGTGCATGCCTGTAGTCCCAGCCATTTGGGAGGCTAAAGCAGAAGGATTGCTTGAGCCCAGGAGTTTGAGGTTGCTGTGAGCTAGGCTGACACCAAGGCACTCTAGCCTAGGAAACAGAGCAAGACTCTGTCTCCAGAAATAGATAGATAGATGATTGATTGATTGATAGATAGATAGATAGATAGATAGATAGATAGATAGATAGATAGATAGATTCATTCTTCAAGGCCCTGAAACATACAAATTTAGGACTAAAAAAACTTCAGACTTTTAGACATTTTAAGTGTTTTTTGGACTTAAGGGCAATAATATGGAATTACTTGGGTAACTTTTCTCTGAAAAATACATTCGAAAAATTTTTACACGACAGAAAAATACGTACTTTTATATCTAGTGAAGGTGTAGGGGTGCAGTCACCACTTCCACTCGGCATTAAATTTCTCTCAGTTTGTCTTGAGATACCAGTTTCTTCTCGTTCATTTTCTCCTGGAGAAATATCTATTTTTTCATTTTTTTCCAAATCTGCCACCATTTCCTTATTAACACAGATCTCTTCAGATCCTCTCTCCCTCAAGGAAATTTCTCTTCCAGTTTCTTCCAAATCTGCCTCCATTTCTTCAATGGCAGTCATACTTCCTGATGGCATCTCCATCATGGAAACGTCTCTTTTTCCAGTTTCCTTCAAATCAATTTCCCTGTTCCCTACGGCACTGACCTCCACTATTACCTCTTCCCTTTGGGAAATTTCTCCTCCAATTTCTTTCAAATCTGCTTCCATTTTACCTATCGTTTTGATCTCCTCTGGGGCCTTTACCCATGCAGTTATTTCTCTTCTTTCAGTTTCTTCCAAATTTGTCTCTCTTTCTTCAGTGACGTCAATCATCTCTGGTATCATCTCTCTTGTGGGCATCTCTCTTCCAGTTTCTTTCAAACCTGTCTCCGTTTCACATTCAGGTTTGGCCTCCTTGGGGCCATTTTCTTGTGGGAATATTTCTCTTCTTCCAGTTTCTTCCAAAGCTGTATCTATTTCTTCAGTGGCATCAATCACCTCTGGTATCCTCTCCCTTATGGAAATCTCTCTTCCAGTTACTTTCAAACCTGTCTCCATTTCCATGATGACATCTATCACTTCTGATATCTTCTCCCTGGAAGAAACGTCTCTTCTTCCAGTTTCTTTTAAATCTGACTCCATTTTCTTAGCAGTATTAATCTCCACTAGTCCCATTTCCGTTGGGGAGGTGTCTGATCTTATAGTTTCTCTCAAAGCTGCTGTCATTTCTCCAGAGACAAGAATCTCCTCTGGTATCTCCTCCTTTGAGGAAATTTCTCTTCTTTTCGTTCCTCTTCCTATGTTTGGCTTTGGTTTCTGAAATCGAGGCCTTAAAATTGGGGCTTGTTTGAGTATAGGTGCTTTCTTATCCTCTTGAATGCTGTAAAAAAAAAAGACACACAATCAAGTTTTAAACCAGACTGCCGGCCGGGCGCGGTGGCTCACGCCTGTAATCCTAGCTCTCTGGGAGGCTGAGGCGGGTGGATTGCTCGAGGTCAGGAGTTCGAAACCAGCCTGAGCAAGAGCGAGACCCCGTCTCTACTATAAATAGAAAGAAACTAATAGGCCAACTAATATATATAAAAAAAATTTGCCGGGCATGGTGGCTCATGCCTGTAGTCCCAGCTACTTGGGAGGCTGAGACAGAAGGATCGCTTGAGCCCGGGAGTTTGAGGTTGCTGTGAGCTAGGCTGACACCATGGCACTCACTCTAGCCTAGGCAACAAAGCGAGACTCTGTCTCAAAAAAAAATAAAAAATAAAAAATAAATAAACCAGACTGCCAGTTGGAGATGATGGTTGAAAATTATGAGAGAAACACCAGAAACTCTCAAAGAACATTAAGGAAGACCTAGGAATCACTGAGTAAAATTTTAAAATTAAGAGAAAGAAAAAAACTCCATTTTTTGAAATTATAGTAAAAAAATTAAAAAATTAAATATATCTTCTTCTGTATAGACATATGTAGAGATAACTATTAATAACGTTCATCCGTGTGGAAATAGAAACTATTTGGCCCTAAATAGTCCCTTTTCAATTGTCCATGCCATAGTAAGCAAATAATGGCTGGGAAACACTCTTCAGTCCTCTACATTGGAGGTATATCAAGGTGTTTCCGCTATTTCTACCTCTTTGCCCCTATTATCTTTTACCCAGATACATAATTTGCCATAAAAGACCTGACCATCTCAAAAAGCTGGATAAAAGTATGACCTGAATATGATGAAGTCTATGACTAAGAACTAGTCTGCCCTTCCCACTTTTTAAAAACCATTAAAAATTGGGATTTGCTGTACAGGTATTCTCTGTGACTTTCATAATACAAACTGGGAATAAAAAGACAGATTAAATATACAACATTTTGCTTAATGGTATTGGGCATAAAATCACTATCCAAACTAAGCATCTGGCTCTACAAAAAACCAGCAGCACTCTTTGCTTTGCATTCTGTTTATGACAATAGATGGTAAAACCATCAAAAATATAAAATGAATAAAAGAGCTCTTAATGACTCATTAGGAAAGGTTATTAATTTTGGGCGAAAGCTACATCAAATGAAACACTAGATTTATTCAGCCAAGTCTGGCTGAACAAGTATATAATTATATAGTTAACAGCTTTACAGAAAGATTTACTAGAAAGTATGCTACTGTTTGCTTGAATTTCTCTAGGTCCTAGCCTATCTTTTGTCACTGAAATAACTTTTTTTTTTTAGAGACAGGGTCTCGCTCTGTCACCCAGGCTGCAGTGCAGTGGCATCAGCATAGCTCACTGCAGCCTCGAACTCCTAGGCTCAAATGATTCTCCTGCCTCAGCCTCTCGGGAAGCAGGGACTATACGGCACACACTACCACAACCAGCTAATTTTCCTATTTTTATATGGAGATGGGGTCTTGCTCTTGGTCAGGCTCATCTCGAACTCTGCGCCTCAAGCAATCCTCCCACCTTGGCCTCCTAAAGTCCTAGGATTATAGGTGTGAGCTGCCACATCCAGCTGAAATAACTATTTTATATAATGCAATTTTTGATAACACAAAGCAGGTCCTTAGGAACAAGACCACTTTTCAAATTGCATTTGTTTATATCTATCATTAACTTTAGTAACCGATAACATTAAATACAAAATTAATAGCCATCAACAAAGAAAATTTAATTTCATTTGTCCTGCATGGATTTCATTCCATTCTTTCATTTATGATACTTTTTGTCTTCATCCAGAAATATCTTAGCAAGATTGCTGTGCTAGTAATCTTGATTTGGGTATCATAGGAAAAGATAAACTATGAAGCCACATTTTGAAAACTGACATATTCTTTACACATGTAAATCCTTTAGGCAAAGACTTTACTAATAATTTAATTACTTTAACATCAGTTCAGATTATAAGTTACAAATATGCAATGTTATGTTCTATGGGCTTAAATTGTTTCTAAGTAACAAAAGGACTTTAATAAGCTTTTTTTTATGGATAAAAATAAATAAATGTCACACCTCCTAGAGTTTATGAACAATAAGACACCAAATATTTCTAAGCACCTACCATAGGCCAAGAAGGCAAGTGCTAAGAACTGAGGATACAATGTTAAACAAGATAGACTTTGTCTCACAAAGCTTATATCAGGTGCATAATTAACTGAAGGGCAGTATCTGAGATTGGAAATCAGATATGTAGTTGAAATAGATTACTCCTCAACTCAGAACATATAGTAGAGCCACAAATTTTCTCCTCAGATCACAAAATTGAAAGAGAAAAGCAATGAAAGAAAGATGCTCAAACCTGGAGAAAATAAGAGAAGGAATGGGCACAAAACTATAGATCTGCTTCAAGGTCTACAAATGTGTTTTACTAAAATAGAATTTAAGAATTTACAAGATACTTATAAACCTCCATAAGATAAATCACCAATCATGATACAAATCTCAAAATATTTATACGAAGTGAATGGGATACAAAAATTAGCCTAGACAATTAAGTTTCAAAGAAATATTCATTAATTTGTCTAATAAAATAGAATTTTTAGTGCATTCTTCATTGGAGAAACTATCCTTCCTTATTATCTCTTTCTTTTACATAGAATCTTAAACATAGCATCTTAGGCCATGCTTGTAATCCTAGAGATCTGGGAGGCCAAGGAGGGGAGATTGCTCAAGGTCAGGAGTTGGAAACCAGCCTGAGCAAGAGTGAGACTCAGTCTCTATTAAAAATATAAAGAAATTGATTGGCCAATTAAAAGTATATACAAAAATTTAGCCAGGCATGGTGGCACTGCCTGTAGTCCCAGCTACTGGGGAGGCTGAGGCAGAAGAATCCCTTGAGCCCAGGAGTTTGAGGTTGCTGTGAAATAGGCTGACACCATGGCACTCTAGCTAGGGCAACAGATTGAGACTATGTCTCAAAAAATAAAAAAATAACATCTTAAATAGGCCAAAGAGTTTAGAACAGAGGTGGGAGAAAACTGCCTATTAGATATAGACATATCATTTGATAAAACACAGAATCTTAAAATTATTTTTAAGGATCCTGCAGATTAAAAGGCCAGAGATGTCACATTATAAAGCAGGAAGGACACTGCCCTAGGAAAGAAAAATTGAGATAAGACTGAATATTAGTTTAAACAATATCCACCAGTGTTATAAAATTCAGAGGCCACTAAAGGAAAACAATTTTCTTCTGAATCACTTTAAGTAATAATTAAATCTGGCTTAAATTGAAAAAACATAAATAAAAAAACCATTTTGTCAGCTATCTGTAATTAACACCTACATCAGAGATGTTTAAAAAGTAATGTAGCTGGGCTTCTACCCAGAGATTCTGTGGCACAGTATTAAAACAGCTGGGACATGAGGAGGAATAAGAAAAAAAGGAATAGTGTAGAAAACAAGGAACAAAGGAATTTAAAAAAACCAATAAAGTAGTTCAAGAAACCAAGCTTTCACTCTCAGGTCAGGTACTATTTAAACAGGCTAACACAGCTGCAAGAATAGAATATGCCAACCTTTAAATGTAAAGATTGGTAAAATATTAATTGTTGAAACTGGATTGTAGATATGTGGGCGTCCATTACTATACTTTTGTACACATTTAATATTCCCAAAATGAAACTTTAAAAATACTAATAATTCCATCAATCTGGTGTGGTATCGTCTGAAGAGGAAATAAAACATGAAAGGCTGTGGCTATGAGAATTGTGAATTTGTATAAGTGCGTCTTAAATAAAATAGGAATCTTAAATAAAGGCAGTATGTGATCAATCTAATTCCAAGGAAACAAACATTGAAAAAGTAGCATTTTCACATTTGAACATAAATAAATACATAATTTACTGTGCATGGTAAGTGATAACACTATTCATATTAACTCAAGTTTTAATTTATAATGAGTAGCTTTTCGCAAACCATCCATAACTGAGAAATCAACATAAAGGCTATGACATAAACTTCCTTGAAAAGTGAAGTTAAAGCTTTTTATTTGGTTTTGTTTTTTGAGGCAGTCTTGCTCTGTCGCCCTGGCTAGAGTGCAATGGCATCATCATAGCTCATTGCAACCTCAAACTTCCGGGGTCAAGCAATCCTCCTGCCTCAGCCTCCCCAGTAGCTAAGACTACAGGCATGTGGCAGGGTTTTTTCTTCTATTTTTAGTAGAGACAGGGTCTTGCTCTTACTCAGGCTCTTCTCAAATTCAGGGGCTCATGTGATCCTCCTGCCTTGGCCTTTGAGTGTACTAGGATGACAGGTGTGAGGCACTGTGCCCAACTGAAGTTATGGCTTTAAACATTATGTAACTTGATATACAGATAACAAATTCATCTAATTTGTTTTTACTTTAAAATATAGATTTATTAGTTCTGAAACTTTACCCTAAATTCAAAGGTTTAATAATTAATAAAATGCTTACCTCAGACATTCATTAAGAACCTTGGGCTCATCTGGCTGTATATCTTGAAAAGAATCTTTTTTCGCAGCCTGTGTTGTGATGTCTTCACATTCAAAATTTTTACATGAGTCATCTTCCATTTGCTGGGGAGTCTTGATAACAAGAAAATACAAAATTTTAACAGATTTCATTGAAAATTTTGTTCAATTTGAGTCCATATAAGGAAAATGGTAAAAATGTCAAAATCATAAAATGATATTCAAAGGATATTTTTATTGTTTTCCTTTAGCTATCTTAGAAAATTTCATAAGCCACACCTTTACCATATCTCAAAGCCTTTATTCTTTTTCTCCCAATCAGAAAGCAAGTTGGCCAGGTGCGGTGGCTCACGCCTATAATTCTAGCACTCTGGCAGGCCAAGGCGGGTGGATCGCTCAAGGTCAGGAGTTCAAAACCAGCCTGAGCAAGAGCAAGACCCTGTCTCTACTAAAAATACAAAGAAATTAATTGGCCAACTAAAATATATAGAAAAAATTAGCCAGGCATGGTGGCACATGCCTGTAGTCCCAGCTTCTTGAGAGGCTGAGGCAACAGGATTGCTTGAACCCAGGAGTTTGAGGTTGCTGTGAGCTAGGCTAGCTGACACCACAGCACTACAGCCCAGGCAACAGAGTAAGACTGTCTCAAAAAAAAAAAAAAAAAAGGCCGGGCGTGGTGGCTCATGCTTGTAATCCTAGCACTCTGTGAGGCCAAGGCGGGCGGATTGCTCAAGGTCAGGAGTTCAAAACCAGCCTGAGCGAGACCCCGTCTCTACTATAAAAACAGAAAGAAATTAATTGGCCAACTAATATATATAAATATATATATATATATAAAATTAGCCGGGCATGGTGGCGCGTGCCTGTAGTCCCAGCTACTTATGAGGCTGAGGCAGTAGGATTGCTTAAGCCCAGGAGTTTGAGGTTGCTGTGAGCTAGGCTGACGCCATGGCACTCACTCTAGCCTGGGCAACAAAGCGAGACTCTGTCTCAAAAAAAAGAAAAAAAAAAAAAAAAAATTCATTTATGTAGGTATCTCTTAAAAAGGGAAGGTTAATTCAAATATCTGCTAAGTGACAAGGAAAAGCAAGTCCAAATATGAGGTTAAGATAAAAGCAGATTATTGGCCAGGCGCGGTGGCTCACGCCTATAATCCTAGCACTCTGGGAGACCAAGGTGGACGGATTGCTCAAGATCAGGAGTTCGAAACCAGCCTGAGCAAGAGCAAGACTCCGTCTCTACTATATATAGAAAGAAATTAATTGGCCAACTAATATATATATATAGAAAAATTAGCAAGACTCTGTCCCAGAAAAAAAAAAAGATAAAAGCAGATTATCTATAAAGTAAATGCTCAAATTCTAAAACATTACAATTAGCAAGGCTGCTGGCTATGAAATTTATACCATAAGTTTCATAAATGATGCACACAAATCATGCAGCATTGATGTTTTAATAAGGGAGTGAAGAGATGCTTATGTTAAATTTTATGTACTGTAACAAAACAATGGGGAGAAATCAGACTACTTACATCTCTATCAATCCAGGATTCATTTTTATTCTTTTCTACGTTGGTCCCATTTCTTTCCAGTGATGCAAAAATTTCTTTTCTTTCAGCAGCTTTACCTACATTTGGCTTTGGCCTTTGCAATCGGCCCCTCGTTACTCGTGCAGATCTGAGAGCCTTTGCTTGATCATCTTCCTGTAGACATTTTTTTTCACTAAGACTAGAATGACCATGAAAGAATAAAATCAATATTTATTCTGAAGTCACAAACTCACTGATTTTTGGGTATTCCACTCTCCCTGATATGAATAAGTAAACAATACGGAATATAAAATAATTCACAAGTGTTCTGAAGAGACATAATCCTGGAAGCCTGACTATAAAAAGTACTTTTTTTTTTTTCTGAGACAGAGTCTCGCTTTGTTGCCCAGGATAGAATGAGTGCCATGGCGTCAGCCTAGCTCACAGCAACCTCAAACTCCTGGGCTCAAGTGATCCTCCTGCCTCAGCCCCCTGAGTAGCTGAGACTACAGGCATGCTCCATCATTCCCGGCTCATTTTATCTATATATATTAGTTGGCCAATTAATTTCTTTTCTATTTATAGTAGAGATGGGGTCTCGCTCTTGCTCAGGCTGGTTTTGAATTCCTGACCTCAAGCAATCCACCCGCCTCGGCCTCCCAGAGTGCTAGGATTACAAGAGTGAGCCACTCCTGTAATGGCGCCTGGCCATAAAAAGTACTTTTAAATCAAATTTCACTATAACATCGGAAAAATCTACATCTGACAAAAGCTTATAATACTATTCCTTATTAAAGATATTACTGCATAATGAAAACTCCAGGGGATTAGTCCCAAATTATGGTGTAAATAATATCCCCAGAACAGCCCCAAATCCAATGATCAGATTCACATTAGAGTAAGGCCTGTTCTAGATCTCCATTTCAAGTTAAATATTCCCTTTTGAAATCCTTGATATAAAATTATCCATGAACATATATCTTAATAAAACATCTTTTAATAAGTTGAGGGAGAAATGTAATTCCTAACTCAATGGACTCACCCATAATTTATATCCATACTATCAGCCACAGAGAACATTATTAAAATGTTTCAACACCATCTATAGTTGAAAATGAACTTAAAGGCCAGGCGCAGTGGCTCATGCCTGTAATTCTAGCACTCTGGGAGGCTGAGGCAGACAGAGGCGGATGGATTGCTCGAGGTCAGGAGTTCAAAACCAGCCTGAGCAAGAGCAAGACTCTGTCTCTACTATAAATAGAAAGAAATTAATTGGCCAACTAATATATATAGAAAAAACTAGCTGGGCATGGTGGCACATGCCTGTAGTTCCAGCTACTCGGGAGGCTGAGCCAGGAGGATCGCCTGAGCCCAGGATTTGAGGTTGCTGTGAGCTAGGCTGACGCCACGGCACACACTCTAGCCTGGGCAACAAAGTGAGACTCTGTCTCAAAAAAAAAATAAAAAAGAAAATGGACTTAAAGTACACTAGTTGAAAATAAAATTCAGACATTATCAAGTAGAAAACAAGTTATAACAATCATTCCTAAGAGTTACCATTTTCATACTACTACTTAAATACTTACTTAAATACAGTCTTAGCTTCTGGGTTCTCTCTCTCTGCATTCTCCATTCCAGAAATGTCAAGTATATTCATTTTATCCTTTTCCATGGGATTCTGTAAATTTAAAAGTTTACAGTTAATCTACCTACCATAAAAAAGTTCAAACTTTGTAACAAATGAATTGAAATTAAAACAACGGAATTTCATTTTTTTGTACTTCTAACTAGAAGAGATTTTCTAAAAATCCTAAATGTAGACAACCATATTATAAAACAGATATTCTCAGACATTACTAGAAGGCCTTTTGCCAATGTGAAGCAAGAGTGTTAAAAAATTTCATATTATCTGACCCAGTATTATCATTCTGAAGACTCTATTTTAAGAGAATTATTGGAAAAAAAATTTAACTACTAGAATGTTCACTGGAACATGTAAAATAGCAAACACTGTAAACGGACAAAATATCCAATAATGAATAACTGGTTGAATAAATTCAGTTACACCCCACTGATAAGACTATTATGAACTCACTAAACACCATGCTTTCAAAAGATGTTAAATAACATGGAAATATTTGCAAAATGTTAAATATCAAAGAAGGATATATAAAAGAAAACCTGAAAAAAATCTTAGTGAAAAGACTGGTCACATCTGGATAAAATTACAAGTAATTACAAAAATTACAAGTAATTTTTGTTTTAACTTTTACATGAATCTATATTTTCTGTAATTCAATAAACACCTTTGAGATTAAAATAATATAACTGTACTATAAAAAGCAGGTCTTCAAGTTTTCACTGGACACCTCCCCCCACCAAAAAAAGTAAGCCCTATTTAAAAAATTGTTTTCTTTCTCAGATGACAACTACTTTTTAAAAAAAATGTGTGCTTTTATTTACAAGACTAAAAAAAAGGAAACAACCTAAACGTCCACCATTAGAAGAATAGTTAGGTAAATGAATAATATGTTAACCTACAACATAGTCATTAAAAAGACCAAGAAAGTATAAATGAACAGTCCCAAAGAAAAAGGTTTTAAATGTTATACGCATTATGGTTAAAAGCCATAGAAATGTTTATATACATAAAGAAAGTTTATAAAGGACAAACAGGAATGTGACTGCCCAAGTTTAGATGACAGGGTTATGAGTATAAATTAATGTAATCTGTTTTAAGAAATATTTTGAATGCAAATTTTATATAAGTAAACAAAAGATCCAGAACTGTAGAATTTGTTTTACTTACAGCAAAAAAAGAAAAAAAGATAAAGTAAAATTTTAATTATTTTTTTAAAAAATTTTTAAAAATAAAATTAAAAAGACAGATATATCACTACTGAGGATGTTTAAAATGATATGACCCAGGTTATAAAGAAAATGCATAAACAGAGACTGATAGGTAAAAACCTAATGTTAATGTGTAAGTTCTTATATCTATTTTTATATCAGGAACAATACTTTGTCATTACAAGGTAAAATTTTTTATTCCAGACTACTTAGGGGAAATTTTTACTACGTACCTTATCAACTGAAGTTTCAGAATGTGAATTCTTGCTCTCTGCATCTGTTTTGCCTTGTGAAAGAACTGATTTCTTCCCAACTGCCCTTGATAAATTTGGTTTAGGTCTCTGGAGTCGACCTCTCAACACTGGCTTAACATTTTCCATTTGATCAGTTTCCCTAAAAAATAAACATTATTTAAATTGCATCCAACATGCAGTCACACTGGGCCAGGTGCTGTGGCTCACGCCTGTAATCCTAGCACTCCGGGAGGCCGGGGTGGGCGGATTGCTCGAGGTCAGGAGTTCAAAACCAGCCTGAAGAAGAGCAAGACCCTGTCTGTACTATAAATAGAAAGAAATTAATTGGCCAACTAATATATATAGAAAAAATTAGCTGGCATGGTGGCACATGCCTGTAGTCCCAGCTACTCGGGAGGCTGAGGCAGAAGGATTGCTTGAGCCCAGAAGTTTGAGATTGCTGTGAGCGAGGCTGACGCCATAGCACTCTAGCCCAGGCAACAGAGTGAGACTCTGTCTAAAAACAAAAAAAAGCTTATTTACAGTAAGAATAGAAAAGAAAACTGAAAAAGAAGAGACTAACTTGTTCTATCAAATGTTAAAAATATACTATTCAGGCCAGCCACAGTGGTTCATGCCTATAATCCTAGTACCCTATAATCCTAGTACTCTGGGAGGCTGAGGCAGGAGGATCACTTGAGCTCAGGAGTTAAGAGATCAGCCTGACCAAGACCCTATCTCTACTAAAAATAGAAAAAAAATTAGCTGGGTATGGTGGTGTGGACATGTAGCCCCAGCTACTCAGGAGGCTGTGGCAGGAGGTTCACTTGGGCCCAGGAATTTGAGGTTGTTGAGAGTTAGGCTGACACCATGCCACTCTAGCCCAGGTGACAGAATAAGACTCTGTCTCAAAAAAAACAAAAAACAAAACTGCTTTGGGAGACCAAGGCAGAACTATTGCTTAAGGCCAGGAGTTCAAAACCAGCTGGGGTAACACAGCAAGAACCCATCTTTATGAAATATTAAAAATTAGCTGAGTGTGGTAGCACATGTCTGTAGTCCTAGCTACTTTGGAGGCTGAGGCCAGAGGATCACCTAAGCCTAGGAGTTCGGGGCTACACTGAGCTGTGATCACACCAATGCACTCCAGCCTGGGCTAAAGAGCAAGATCTCATCTCAAAAAACAAATACATAAATACAAGCAAAAAATATATACTACTCATCATTGGTACTTAAAACTGTGGTACTGATATATTAAAAAACAGATGAAAGAAATAGAAATTCCAGAAAATACCTATAAAATACACATGCTTTTAGGATACAATAAAAGTAGCATCTCAAAATAGGAAGGATAAGATGAAATACAATACAGTAAAGATTTAATAAACATTAAATAAGATTAAATAAATAGTGATGGTGAAATGGGATAATGGTGGGGGGAAAAATTAAATTAGCTCCATGTCTTGTAGTTCACTGACAATATATTCAAAGTAGATCAAAGATTTAAATAAAATCATAGAGAAAACATGAATGTGTTATTTGATAAATATGAAGTGTGGCAAGTCTTTCTAAAATATGACAAAAGACACAAAAGAAAAAAAATTGAGAAATCCAATGACATTAAAATCAATACTTTTTACATGACAAAAACATCAAAACCTAAGTTAGAAGCCAAACTACAAATAAGTAACTTATATAACAAGGCTAATCTCCCTAAAATATAAGGCGCTCCTACAAAACAGTATCATCAATAACTCACCAGAAAAACTAGGCAAAGGGACAATTCACAAAAAATAAATAAATAAAAATGGGTTTTAAATATGAAGAAATATTCAATTTCACTCCCAATAAATACAAATTAAAATCGCACTGAGAAAAAGAACACACAAATTTGACAAGATATTAAAAAACAAGGAATCTAAGGGAAATAGCATACAGATGCTCACTATCCTATTCTTTCAACTTCAACTTCTTTCAACTTTTCTTTGGGGTATAAAATTTTAAAATAAGAAACTGCGGTAAGCCAGGCACAGTGGCGAGAGAGCCAGTAGTCCCAGATAATCAGGAAGGTGAGAGTATCTCTTGAGCCCTCAAGGTTCAAGTTCAGCCTAAGAAACATAGCAACTCCATCATCTCTTAAAAATAAACAAACAAACAAACTAACTGGGGGGGGGGGGAGAATTACATATCCCTCCCTGCCCCGAAAAAGAGGAATACTTTTTTTATTTTTTAAAGAGACAGGGTGTCCTTCTGTCACCCAAGCTGGAGTGCAGTGGCCCAATCATAGCTCATCGTAACCTCGAATTCCTGGGCTCAAGCAATCTATCTACCTTAGCCTCCCCAGGATCTGGGACTATAAGCTCATGCCACAACTGTCTATTTTTTGTATTTTTATTTTCCATACAGACACGGTCTCACTATGCTGCCCAGGCTGGTCTCTAACTCCTGGCCACAAGAGATCCTCTTGCCTTGGCCTCCAGCAGTGCTAGGATTACAGGTGTGAGCCACTGCACCTGGCCTGCTCTATACTTTATATTATACTTCTGATGTTTGAACCATATGAATGTACTGTTTATTTCAAAGACTAATTTACCTTTGTATTTTAATTTTTTAAAGAACTTTGATTCCCATTATTACTATGCTTAACTGAAAAACAATTCATAAACTGAATAACTTTTAAGCCCATATGAGATAAAGAGTTATAAGGAAGAAAAAAAGGAAATGTGAAATCTTTACATATCTCTTCAAATGGAGATTCTTTTGTGTGTGTGAAAGAGAGACAGGGTCTTACTCTGTTGATCACAGCTCACTGCAGCCTGGAACTCCTGGGCTCAAAGGATCCTCAGCCTCCTATGCAGCTGGGACTACAGGCACACACCACCATGCTGGCTAACTTGTATTTTTTTACAGACAGGGTTTCCCTGTGTTGTTCAGGCTGGTCTCCAACTCCTAGCCTCAAGCAATCTTCCCACCTCAACCTCCCAAAGTGCTAGGATTAAGGCATGAGCCACCATGCCCGGCCTTAATATTTTTATGTTTTGTAGAGATAGAGTCTGGCTATGTTGCCCAGGCTGGTCTTGAACTCCTGGCCCCACGCAATCCTCCCACCTGGGCCTCCCAAAGTGCTAGGATTAGGAATGAGCCACTGTACCCAGCCTTACATTGACATCTCACTCTTAAGGGACCATAACATACTATAATTACACATTAAATGGTCTACATGTTAATCTTTTCTAATCCCTAAATAAAGCAACATTATCATTTAAGAATGTTGTCAAAATTTTGGAAACAAACAAATCCTACCATGTAAAATACTTACAGTGATTTATTCTTTACATCAACATTTCTTTCTTGTGTACAACTACTGTCAGCATTATTCTCTTCACACAAAGTTCTAATTCCAACTGCTAATGAAGGCAAATCTGAAGTGCCTAATTCTGAAGACTCAGTTGCTACTAACATGGCATCTTGTTGATTACTATGAAAACAAAAATATATAAGGAGGAAAAGAATTCCTTGCAATACATATTTTTATACTAATTATTTAAGAGATTTTTAAATACACAAAACAAAAAAAAATAAATAAATAAATAAATACACAAAACACCACTTTGGAAGACGATGTTTCATACCATGAAATAATCAAAACTGTTATGTTGGCTTCTCTATGACCCTTCTTGTATTACGTTATAAAGAACTATATCCTCAAAGAATGCCAACAGCCGCAATTTAACAGGCTTATGAAAGTGTTTAAGAAGTTTCAAAATGAAAAATTATTGATTAAATGGGGTTCACCAAACAAATACAAGTGTAAAATCACAGTAATATTTAGGAATTAGGTATTATTAAAAAAAAAAATTTTTTTTTTGAGACTGAGTCTTACTCTTTGCCCCGGGGTAGAGTGCCATGGCATCAGCCTAGCTCACAGCAACCTCAAACCTCTGGGCTCAAGCAATCCTTCTGCCTCAGCCTCCCGAGTAGCTGGGACTATAGGCATGCACCACCATGCCCAGCTACTTTTTTCTATATATTTTTAGCTATCCAGCTAATTTCTTTCTATTTTTAGTAGAGACGGGGTCTCGCTCTTGCTCAGGCTGGTTTTGAACTTCTGACCTTGAGTCATCCTCCTGCCTTGGCCTCCCAGAGTGTTAGGATTACAGGCGTGAGCCACCACACCCAGCCGGTATCATTAAAATTTGATATAGGAAGTCCTTGCTTTGCATGGTACTGTGTTAACCAAAAATCATATAAAGTGAGGACACAATTCTAATAAGCTCAAGTTGCAGTTAACACTGTCCTATGCCAACCAAGAAGTACTGTATTATGAAAGACTATAACAACAATATAATTTATATCTATGTACTGACCAGCACTATTCCCATTTAGCCATACTTTCTTTTCCTCATTTTTTCTACTGGGTGTTTGTCTTTTCCTGACTTATCAGAGTTCTCTCTTTCTCTCAATCACACTCTCACTTGCGCTTTCTCTTGCTCACACTCTGTGTATATTTATATGTATATATATTTAAAATATATATATATATATATTTTTTTATATATATATATATATTGAGACAGGGTCTCACTCTGTTGTCCAGACTAGAGTGTGTTGGTTGATCATAGCTCACTGTAGCCTTGACCTCCTGGGCTCCAATGATCCTCTTGCCTCAGCCTCACATAATGCTGGGATTATATGCATGAGCCACCACACCTGGCCTTCCTTTATATATTTTTACTGACTAGATGTTACTCATAACACTTCCCAATTGATAACTTGTCTTTTACTTTTTTATTTATTAAACATTATTATTTTTTTTTTCTTGAGACCGAGTTTTGTTCTGTTGCCCTGGCTAGCGTGCAGTGGAATCATCATAGTTCACTGTAACCTCAAATTCCTGGGCTAAAGTGATCCTCCTCCATCAGCCTCCTCAGTAGCTGGGATTAAAGGCACATGCCACTACTCCCAGCTAAGTTTTCAATGTTTTGTAGAGATAGGTTCTTGCTCTTGGTCATGCTAGTCTGAAACTCCAGGCCTTAAGCAATCCTCCTGCCTTGGCTAGGATCACAGGCGTGAGCCACCTCGCCCAGCCACTTTTTATTTTCTTTATAGAGCCTTTGTTAACAGAAGTATTTAATTTTACTGCAGTCAAATTTATCAATCTTATCTTTTAAAGTCTGTGCTTTCTATGTCTTAAGAAATCTTTGACATCACAAAGATACTTTCTTTAATATTTTTAGGGACAAGATTCTTATTCTGTTGCCCAAGCTGGAGTGCAGCGGTGTAATCATAGCTCATTGCAACTTTTAACTCCTAGGCCAAAGCAATTCTCCAGGTCAGCCACCCAAGTAGCTAGGACTACAGGTATGTGTCACCATGCCCCACAAATTTTTTTCTTGTTTTTTGTAAAGACAGGGTTTGGCTATGTTGAACTCCTGGAATCAAGCAATCCTCAGCTTCCCAAAGCGCCAGGATTATAAGTGTTAGCTACCATGCCTGGTCCACAAAGATATTTTCCTACCTTTCTTCTAAAAGTTTTAAAGGTCTGTTTTATATATGTTGTCTTTAATCCCTTGGTAAGCTAGTGGGGAGGGAAAAATAGGGATCTAACACTATCTCTTTCATATCTCATCATAATCTAATGAATAGTTGGTTTAATCTTTGCCCACTATTTCAAAAAGCTACCTCTACCACATAAAAGATTCCTATAAAACAGCAACTGAAAGTACTTTTATAAAAAAGAAGAAAAGAAAAAAAGATTCCTAAGTTTCTCTTCCTAGACTCTTCCTAGTTCCACTGAGTCAATTTGTCAACCCTTATACCAGTACCCCACTGCTTTAATTACTCTAGAATTTTTTTTTAAGAGACAAGGTCTCACTCTGTCTTCCAGCTCACTGCAGCCTTGAATTTTTGGCCTCAAGCAATCCTCCCACCTTGGCCTCCCAAAGTGCTGGGATTATAGGCATGAGCTATCCAGCCAAAAACAACCAAACAAAAAATTAAAGTGTACACACACAGCAGAATATACCATATTTAAACTAATGAAAACCAAAGATGAAAAGAAAACCTTTATAGAAAATGATAAACGTATGCAAACACTAACCAAAAAAAAAGCTACAGTGACAAACATCAGGGAAAAATACCAAAGGATAATAAACAACAATAAAGGGGATTTCACCAAGAAGACACAACAATCCTAGGTATGTACACACCTAACAATAGAGCTTCAAAATACATGAAGCAAAAACAAATAGAACTGAAAAAAGAAACAGGCAAATACACCATCACAGTTAGAGACTTCAACACATCTCTCTTGCTAATCAATAGATACAGATAAAACAGAAAAAGCCCAGAAGATACCTTGATGAAAGGATGGGGTCAGTTATTTTCTCAACTTTTTCACTGGTGGCTAAATCCACAATGTCATCTATGTTTTGCAAACAGGGAAGCTGTTCCTTATTGTATTCATCTTCATTTACCTCAGGCCTTAAAGACTGACATTTATCTAAAAATACAAAATGTATGTTATTCTAAAATATGACAGCAATAACATCTATCTTTTTAAAGCATAAAGTAATTTATAGAAATTAAACAGCCCATTGTGGGTTCACAGAGGTGCTATGTAGAGGTACAACATGAAAACCTATCATTTATTGACATAAGCAACATACATTTAACTATACACCTGTGATTTCATTGTTAATGGTAATATATACAAGGTGATACGTCTCAGAAACAAACTTTAGAGAAAAATATCCCTGCTTTACTTTGTTTTTTTAATTTGGTTTCTTTACAATATATTTTTTTCTTTTAAATAACAATAAAGGGATTTAACCCAGTACCATGACTACAGAACTAATTAATAAGCATTATTAATTGCTGCTATCTAGAAGGAAAGTATTCTAGTTATATACCATATTACTGTACACATCCTCTCAAGTAACATAGAGGCTATTAAAATATGTGTGACACTTACTCTTATGTTTTTCTCCTTTAGAAGGGCTTGACCGAACAGTGTCATTCCCTACAAGACTGTTTACTTCTGACTCATTAGCTGCTTCTTGATTCTTCCTTTTCCTTTCCTTTTGATTTAGATCTTGTTCTAAAGCAACCTGCTCTGAATCTTGCCTTGATAAAGTCAAAGAATCTTCTTCAACTGTCTGAACATCCTTTGGAGATCTTTCTGTGTCTGAAATATTAGTACTCACAGAAGCATCTGGATCATTATTAACTTCTTCACAGGCAACTTTTTTCACTGAAAACAAGGGAAGTAGTTATAAATATGTAAACAACCTACAGAAAAATTCATAAAGATGGAAAAGATAAATATTAATATTCAAGGATGTCCTCTGTAGTGTTATTGGTAAAAGCAAAAAAATTGAAAACAACCTAAAATGTCCAAGAGAAAATGACCAAATTATAGTACATTCATGCTATAAAAATCCATACAGCCAATAACAATGAGGTAAGTTTATATGTAATAATAAGAAAAATTTCAAAACATGTTGCATTGAAAAATCAAGAGTTAGAACAATATATATGATCTCATTTTTATTAAAAACATTCACATATGTTGATGCCCTACATTTACAATGGGGTTACATCCCAATAAACCTATTGTACGTTGAGGATATTGTAAGTTGAAATACATTTAATTCACCTAACCTACTGAACATCATAGTTTAGCCTCTTTTGTTTTTTTAGAGTCAGAGTTTCACTCTTTACCCCAGCTGAAGTACAGTGGCAGGATCATAGCTCACTGTAGCCTCAAACTCCTGGAAGTCAAAGCTATCCTCCTGCCTCAGCCTCCAGAGAAGCTGGGATTACAGTTGTGGGCTGCCTAGCCTACTTTAAATATGCTCAGAACACATCAGCCTACCGTTGCATAAAATCATCTAACACAAAGCCTACTTTACAATTTCTTTTATAATAAAGTGTTGAATATCTCGTGTAATTACCGAATACTGTACTGAAAGTGAAAAACAGAATGGCTGTATGAGTGATCAAAGTATGGTTTCTACTGAGTGTGTATCATTTTTGCACTATTATGAAGTTGAAAAATCATGAGTTGAACCATGGTAAGTCAGGCACTGTCTGTACTCTAAGGCACAACCCACACATATATATGCACAGAAAAGGGTTTAGATACAATTATCTTAGGAAAACCTGAAGAATTTGCTTTGAGAGACAGGTAGGAGACAGAGTTTTATCTTCTGTATCATTTTATTCAATAAACAATCTTTTTAACAAGTACCATGTTTCCCCGAAAATAAGACAGGGTCTTATATTTATTTTTCCTCAAGAAGACACCCTAGGGCTTATTTTCAGGGGATGTGGTATTTTCCCCTCAAAGCCTCAGCTTGCAGCACAAACAGGATGGCCGAGACCTGACCGGGGGAGACAACCTTATTGGTGGGGCTGCCACACCTTTCTGGTCACCTCTGGGATAGTAGCTGTCACGATGGGGCAGATGAGAAGAGCTGCTCGTCTTCTTTACCGCTCTTTAATGAAATTCATGCGTTGTGCCAGATACGCTGCATAGCCACGTCCATCACTAGGTCTTATTTTCAGGGTGGGGCCTATATTGTGCAAATGCTTAGAAATCCTCTTAGGGCTTATTTTATGGGTAGGTCTTATTTTGGGGGAAACATGGTATTTTAAAATAGTTTCTAGTACCCTTCCTATTAAGGCATATTAATAGTCAACTATATTAAAAGACGAAAATATGAATTAAATAATAAAACAAAAATAATTTAGAGATCACCATGGAAACAGCATCTGCTATGGTTTGAATGTCTGTCCCCTCCAAAACTCATGCTGAAAGTTAATTGTCATTGTAACAATATTAAGAAGTGTGACCTTCAAGACATCATTAAGACGTAAGGGCTCTACTCTCATGATGGAATTAATGCTGTTATAAAAGGACAGGTTTGGCCCCTCCCTTGCTCTCGTTCACTGCACTTCTGCCATGTGATGACATAGCAAGAAGGCCCTTGCCATATGACAATGCCTTGATGTTAGACTTGCCAGCCTCCAAAACTGTTAGAAATAAATTTCAGTTCTCTAAAAATAACCTAGTCTCAAGTATTCTGTTACAGCAGCATGAAACAAACTAAGACAGCATTCAAACCAAAGCAAGCTTAACTTCATAATCATGGCTGATCAGACATCTTCTCTAAAAATATCTAATCTCAAAGAATAATAAAATTCAATGTGATTTACTTTTGTTTTGAAAAAAGTCAAAAGATTTTTTTTTATTTTATTTACATTTTTCTTTCTTTTTTTTTAGTGATCAAACTCACCAGAAGGTCAAAAGATTTTAAAAGTGAGAAAATAACATTTGATTTATTCTGTCAAAATAATTAGAAATTTTTTAAATTCTGAGACTTATAATAATGTAGTTGAAAAGTTCTTACATTAAATAAGATACAGTGAATTACTCAGGCTATCACCTGCAACATGATAATCACAAGAAAAATTCATATATCGAGTTTAATCTTCCAGAATAATATAAAGTAAAAAAAAAAAAAAAACTGTGAAGAATAAAAGTTGCTTCTAGAACCTAAAGAGGCAATAAGGGAAAAAAAAGAGAATAAAAGTTGGACCAGGTGCTCACGCCTATAATCCCAGCACTTTGGGAGGCCAAAGCATGAGGATCACTTGAAGCTAGGAGTTCAAGACCAGCCCAGGCAACATAGCAAGACCCTATTTTTTTTTTTTTAATACAGAATGTATATCTTTTTCTTTCTTTCTTTCTGTCTTTCTCTTATTATCACAAGACTTTCGTGGTACTCAAGCAAGACCCTATTTGACAGAAAAAGGAAAAGAAAAGTTAGTTGGGCATGGTGGTGCGCTCATGTAGTCCTAGAGACTCGGGAGGCTGAGGAAAGACAGTCACTTGAGTCCAGGAATTTGAGGCTGCAGTGAGCTATGATCGTACAACCGCACTCAAGCCAGGGTGACAAAGTGAGACCTTGTCTCAAAAAAAAAAAAAAAAAAAAAAAGAGTAAAAGTAGTTTGTTGTTACTTATTAATACTACTTTTTAAAAGATATAAGCATCATACTCTAGAAGAAGAAATTATAGATTGGCTTTGTACAGAAAAGAGTTAATACACAGGTTTGAATGCTAGCTTTTAAAAAGCTTGCTTATTTACAGAAGTAACTACGGCTAAAAAAAAAAGAAAAAAAAAAAAAGCTTGCTTATAAGGTTGGCCCTTGGGCCAGGTCTGAGAATTTGATTTGATGGAGGGTTCCTACCACCCTAAGTGATAAGAGTGGCCCCTTGTGTCTAAGCTGTTTATACAGATAACATGGTTTATGCTGAACTGCTTTCTTTCTGGAAGTCTAGAATTTTGGTACATGCCAGGCAGAGGGTGCTAAATCCTGTGAGTTCTCTTAGCATATAATGGAACCTGAGGATGGTCTTGGGGACCCCCAATGCAGGCTCTCACAGGCCCAGGTTTGAGTCCTAATTCTGCCCCTTCTAACAGTGTTAAAATCCTGGGGAAAAGTGTCTTCTGGGGCTAGTTCTTAGTGATCAAAACAAATGGAAAGGGGGCTGGAACATTGACTAGCTAACATATAAGGTTCCCTGTAGTTCCAAGATTCTTTAAATTATGTGATCATAGTTGTATATTGTCTTCATAGGATAGAGTTCAAATAGCTAAGAAAATATAAGCCTAAAAATTAAAATACCTTCATATTAACAATTTTTTCTTTTTTTTTTTTTGAGACAGTCTCACTCTGTTGTCTGGGCTAGAGTACTGTGGCGTCAGCCTAGCTCACAGCAACCTCAAACACCTGGGCTCAAGCAATCCTCCTGCCTCAGCTTCCCTAGTAGCTGGGACTACAGGTATGCGCCACCATGCCTGGCTAATTTTTTCTATATATTTTTAATTGGCCAATTAATTTATTTCTATTTATAGTAGAGACAGGCTCTTGCTCTTGCTCAGGCTGGTTTCCAACTCCTGACCTTGAGCGATCCGCCCGCCTCGGGCTCCCAGAGTACTAGGACTACAGGCTTGAGCCACTGCACCCGGCCCATATTAACAATTTTCTACCTGTTACAAGTCAACATTAACCTTCAGAAATAAATTGGGCCCAAACAATGCAATCTAGTCACAACTCCAAAATATTAGGTTTCTATTTATTAAATATTACAATTTTATAGATTTGTTTTACAGAGGAAAATGATAATAAATAACCAAACATAAAACATGACATTTCAAAACTCTGATGCTCTTTGATTAGTGACAACTATGCTCTAGAGACTAGAAAGATAGCCCAGCTCTACCAATTTAAAAATTTAATAGAGGGCGAAGGACAAAAGCTTACCCATAGGGTACAATGAACACTGTTCTGGTGACAAGCACACTAAAAACCCTGAGTTCAGCATTATATATTCATCATGTAAACAAACTGTTACCCCTAATATTTTGAAATTTTTTTTTTTTTTAAGTTAAAAGCAAGTTGCTGTTTTGGCCCAGATAACTGGTAGAATGAAGAAAAACCAATTCCTATCCATTGGATGCACTGATGATCTTAACCACTTGAATAATTAATACATACACATGAGCTCTAAAAGATCTAAGTGGCTGGGCGCGGTGGCTCACGCCTGTAATCCTAGCACTCTGGGAGGCCAAGGCGGGTGGATTGTTCGAGGTCAGGAGTTCGAGACCAGCCTGAGCAAGATCAAGACCCCGTCTCTACTATAAAAATAGAAAGAAATTAATTGGCAACAATATATATGAAAAAACTAGCCAGGCATGGTGGCGCATGCTGTAGTCCAGCTACTTGGGAGGCTGAGGCAGGAGGATCCCTTGAGCCCAGGAGTTTGAGGTTGTGTGAGCGAGGCTGACGCCACGCACTCACTCTAGCCTGGGCACAAAGCGAGACTCTGTCTCAAAAAAAAAAAATAAAAAAAAAATAAAAGATCTAAGAGACAATATTGCAAGTCTATTATTACCAAGTAAAATAGCACACTTTCTTTTAAAATCAATACCTTTTACATTTTTCCGTGATTTGGAGGATTTCTTCTCCTTTAAACTGTGATTTTTAACAGACTTTTGTTTTCTTTTCTCTTCTTCAGCAAGAACTTTCTGAAGCAAATGAGCAAAAAAATCGAAGTCAAAAGGACGCTTTTCCTCTGTTTAAAAAAAAGGAAAAGAACTTTCAAGTTTTTATTCTTAAAAAAAACTATTTCTAGTTTTTTTTTAAAGTATCATAATATTATAAACAAATAGGCTTATCTATCAGCAGAATGGATGTAAGTATGCAACAGAACACCACTCAGCAATAAAAGGACTAGTTTTAAAAAACAAAACTACTGATACAAGCAATAATATCAGTGAAAATCAAAAACATAGTGAGTGAAAGAAACCAGATATACAAAAATACATACTGTATTATTCCAAGAATCAGATATTCTAGAACATGCTAAACTAATCTATGATGATTCAAATAAAATAGAGGTTGCCTTGAGCTAAGAGGACAGCATTTGATTGACTAGAAAAGGAAACAAGAGACCTTCTAAAGTGATGAAAATGTTCCATATATTGTTTGAGGGTAGTGGTTACACAAGTATATTCTTTGTCAAAATTCAAACTATACTTTGAACAATGCATAAATATAAATCAATTTTTAAAAATGACAAAGATGACTAAGAAGTTCTCAAAATGCATACCACCACCACATGTTCTTTCTTTATCACAACCATTTCACCACTTACTCTTTCTAGTAAGCAAAGTGGAAATAAATGAATATTAATCAGGAACACTTCCACTAAATACCCATCAACAGCACTGTATCAGAAAAAACAATTAGTGAACAAACTGAGAATGAATACAGTATGGAAGTCAAATCTTTGCTTAAGCTAAACTTACAGTGAATGTAGAGAAAATGATTCTATATACATGTAAGTTGAAGATTGGTTTGATAAGATGGCCTCAGAAAAAGAAATATATACTAAAATAAAAAGTCTCACGAAATCTGGGATTCCTAAAGGCTCTGTTTCATTGTCAACCCAAACTTAATCTGTTCTGAATCTCCACAACAATGATTCTGAAAGACAAACTTAGCACACAAAGAATCCATAAAGGATCTCCACATGGTTCTCTGAGAAATCAAATTGTAAGTTTCCCCCCAAAAACCTATGTGGGGTTTTTTTGTTTTTGTTTTTTTATTTTCCACTACAGCACCAAAATCATAAATTTGGCAGGTGGTGAAGGGGCAGTTTTGAGACAGGTCTCACTATGTTGCCCAGGCTGATCTCAAATTCCCAGGCTCAAGGGATCCTTTAATCTAAACCTCCTGACTAGCTGAATAGGTGTTCACCACCATGCCTGGCTCAAAACCAGCATGTTTTAAAGATTACCTATTATAACTGCCTTTAAAAAGGCTCCACAGGCCGGGCGCTGTGGCTCACGCCTGTAATCCTAGCTCTTGGGAGGCCGAGGCGGGCGGATTGCTCAAGGTCAGGAGTTCAAAACCAGCCTGAGCAAGAGCGAGACCCCGTCTCTACTATAAATAGAAAGAAATTAATTGGCCAACTGATATATATATAAAAAATTAGCCGGGCATGGTGGCACATGCCTGTAGTCCCAGCTACCCGGGAGGCTGAGGCAGAAGGATCTCGAGCCCAGGAGTTTGAGGTTGCTGTGAGCTAGGACGCCACGGCACTCACTCTAGCCTGGGCAACAAAGCGAGACTCTGTCTCAAAAAAAAAAAAAAAAGGCTCCACAGTCTAAATACACTGTTTATAAATTTATGGATTATTTTCTGATTATAATATGTTAAACCTAATGAAAAGTTTCAGGACTACTTTTCTAACATGAAGTGGTTTGAGGACCACCGTATTCCAGATCTTCTAGGAGCCATTCCTGGTAGTAGTTTCTTTCCCTGAAGACCCAATACAACATTGGGTGTAGGATACATTCATATACATTAGTGTCTACTCATAAAATAAACATGCATGCCACACAATCTAAATTCTCCCTATACTTGGATTTTTTCCTTAAAATTACCACTAAGCTAATCTTATAGCTTCGTGGACATTAATCATAAAATACTGAGAATTATAGATCCATAAAAAAGATATATCTTCCAAACAAAAGATATAGGAATTAATTGACTGATTGAGACAGGATCTCACCATATCACCCAGACTGGTCTAGAACTCCTAGGCTCAAGGAATCTTCTCATGCCAGCCTCCCAAGTAGCTGGGATTATATTGGCCGGCCGCGGTGGCTCACGCCTGTAATCCTAGCACTCTGGGAGGCTGAGGCAGGCCAGGTGCTAGAGGTCAGGAGTTTGAAACCAAGTAGCTGGGATTATAGGTGCAAGCCACCACACCCAGTTCAAGAGCTACTTTAAAAAGTAAATTTAATTATTTTTCTTTAGAGTTCCCTTGATGTTTTTCTCTAGACTTCTAGACTTAATAAAAGAAAATAATCTTAATTTTAATGAGGATATTAGAAGATGAACAGTATCTATCATTCCTTCACATCAGGTTAAATTCAATTCAAATGATACCTCTTCAAACAGAACTTCCCTGCTCAATCTAAACATTCACCTCCTAACCTCCTTTTTTCTTCTTCTCAGAAATTAATCACTATCTAAAATTATCGTGTCATATAAAATAAAATAAAAATAAAAAATATAATAAATAAAATAAAATTATCATGTTTATCAACTATGTTATCTTCCGCAATCCAATTAGATTTAAGGGTCTAAACACAGGATTCTCATTTGCCCTCTTAATCATTATATCCTCAATATCTAGAATAGTAACTAACACACAGCAGGTAGTCAGTGTTGTTGACTGAATAATTAACTACTAGAAAGAAACATCTATAGTATCTCCTTATCTCCTTGAATACAGTTCCTACAGAACAAAGAACTATCAGAAGTGGTACCATCAGTTCCTCGATAAGCTCTTGGACTTAGAATTAGAACTTTGTTTACCTGCTTCTGGATGTTTTGGCTAATCCCTTGCCTAGAGATTTGTAGCAACTACCACATACTGCTAAACAGAAAAATTTCCAGTCTTATTTTTTTTCCTATGCCAATGTAGGGACAAAACAAATCTAAAACACACTGGAGACAAAGACAAAAGATTGGTCATTTTTAAGGCTCTCCGGGCAATACTTTGTAAAAGAGGTCTTTATACTTACGGAATGCTTTGTCTATTCTCCATCCATTTGTTTTCTCTTCACGTTTAAATTTATTCTGTTAACAACAAAAAAAAAACCTATAGTAATTTTCTCCCACTAAAGAAGTTTTTTAAAAGCATTACAAATGAAACTCTTATGAATAACATACTATTCTCTACTAAATATGCTTCTGTTAATAGGCAAGTTACTTAAAAGTTTAGCTCTTTAAAATAAGAATAAAAGATTTTTACTGAGCTTCCTGATCCTCATTATTAATAGCATGAAACAGCAACGGAAGGTATATTTACAAAGGACAGAAAAAATAAAGTCAACTAACATGGAAGCAGATGAAACTCATAATCAATTAAGCTAACTAATAATAACCTTTTTTTTTTTTTGAGACAGAGTCTCACTTTGTTGCCCAGGCTAGAGTGAGTACTGTGGCATCAGCCTAGCTCACAGCAACCTCAAACTCCTGGGCTCAAGCAATCCTACTGCCTCAGCCTTCCAAGTAGCTGGGACTACAGGCATGCGCCACCATGCCCAGCTAATTTTATATATATATACATATATATATTAGTTGGAAAATTAATTTCTTTCTATTTATAGTAGAGATGGGGTCTCGCTCTTGCTCAGGCTGGTTTCGAACTCCTGACCTCAAGCAATCTGCCCGCCTCAGCCTTCCACAGTGCTAGGATTACAGGTGTGAGCCACTGCGCCCAGCCACTAATAACAACTTTTAAAATTAAATATTCGTATCTGGTTAAACCTCTAGCATTGTTCTAACAGGTGTCAAGTGGCATGGAGTGGAGACCAAGCAAAAACAACTAGAGAAACAACTAAGCAAAACTTTGAAGCAGGCCAAGTTTATCTTTAGAAACTTCTACATATTAAGGCACATTTCCTCACGTTATCCTCAGCACCCAAGATCCTCATCCTCAGTTCCACTCCAGATTACCTCCATTAAGAAGATGGAGAAGTTTTATTTAAATTTTATAGCTCAATCTATCCTAAGGTCTTTAGGAAGTTGGAGGGCATAAGTTTGTGTCTGAGAATGTCTAATTATGCATATACATTTTAGGAGAGGGAACAGTCAGCCAATCTTTCCCTTCCACAGATCAGCGATCTACAAGCTTTTACTAAAAATAGAAAAATAAAACTTTTTATTGCAAAAAAAAATAGATTAAGGACCAATGTAGATCTGCCTTACAAAGGCTTAAACCTGGCCTTGACAAGAACCAGAAGAGATAGTAAGTTAACTGCCTTCCAAAACAAAACTCAACACTCTTCAAAGGAAAGAAAAACATAATCCAGACATTATACAACATACCATCCACAATATCTGGCATGAAAAAAAAATGAGAAAAGAAAATATGATGCACACAGTCAAGAAAAGGGAAAAAAAAAAACAGTCAATAGAATAGATCCCAATATAACCTAGATATTGAAATTAACAGACAAAAAAGTTAGTCTGAGCACAGTGGCTTATGCCTATAATCCTAGCACAAGGGGAGGCCAAGGAGGGAGGATTGGTTCAGCTCAGGAATTTGAGACCAGTCTGAGCAAGAGTGAGACTCTACTAAAAATAGAAAAACTGGCTGGACATTGTGGTGTGCACCTACAGTCCCAGCTACTTGGGAGGCTGAGGCAGTAGGATCGATTGAGCCCAGGAGTTTGAGGTTGCTGTGAGCTAGGCTGAGTGAGACTCTGTCTCAAAATAAATAAATAAATAAAATACATACATTCATGGATTTAAAGGAAAATATGGAGTAAAAAGATGGGGAAATCACAGCAGAGGAATAAAAACTTTAAACAACCAAGTGGAAATTATAGAAATTAAAAAATAATATCAAATGAAGTATTCACTGACTGCAGGGCTTAACAGCAGATTGAAGATAAAAGACAGGGTCTGTGAACTTAAAGACATAGTAATAGAAACTATCCAAACTGAAACAGAGGAAAAAGATTAGAAAACAGTGGGCAGGCCGGGCGCGGTGGCTCACGCCTGTAATCCTAGCTCTCTGGGAGGCCGAGGCGGGCGGATTGCTTGAGGTCAGGAGCTCAAAACCAGCCTGAGCAAGAGCGAGACCCCCGTCTCTACTATAAATAGAAAGAAATTAATTGGCCAACTGATATATATATAAAAAATTAGCAGGCCATGGTGGCACTTGCCTGTAGTCCCAGCTACTCGGGAGGCTGAGACAGTAGGATCGCTTGAGCCCAGGAGTTTGAGGTTGCTGTGAGCAAGGCTGATGCCAGGGCACTCTGGGCAACAAAGCGAGACTCTGTTTCAAAAAAAAAAAAAAAGAAAGAAAACAGTGGGCAGAGCTTTATTAACCTGTAGTACAATGCCACTTAGGGTAAACCATGTAAGTGGAGTCCCAGAAGGAGAGAATAAAGCATAAAAAATTTTAAAAGAAATGATTTCAAATTTCCTAAATATAGTGAAAAATAATCTAAAGAGCTAAAAAGCTCTGCAAACCCAAAGAAAACTAAAGCTAGGCACACCATCATCATCATACTGCTAAATGTGAAAGTTAAAGAAAAAAAAATCCTGAAAACAGCCAGAGAAAAACAATTCAGCATATACAGAGGGAAGAATGATATGAATGATGGCTGCCCATTTTTCATCAGAAACACTAGTGGCCAAAAGACAATAGAATGACATCTTTAAAAGGCCAAAAGGAAAAAAAAAAAATGTCAAACCAGAGATCTACATGCAGCAAAATATAGCCTTCAAAAACAAGGCTGAAATAAGGACATTCAGATAAATGAAACTGAGAAAATTTTTCAATGGCAGACCTGTTGTTCAGACCTACAGGAAGGAATGAAAAGCACCAGAAATGGCACTCTGCCCAAAGGCCTGCTAGAACCACACTAAACTTTTAGGAGAAAAGTCTAAGTGATTTTTGACAAAAGTCAGTCTAGTGACAACCATAAATTACTCAGATCATCAGAGAGCTCCAACTGTAGACAATCAACTTCTAGCCTTCACACAACTTTAACATTTTATTCTCCTTTTAACAAAGATCAACATTAGAAAATGAATATAAAGAATATAAATAGTTTGTCATCTCTTGCAGAACTATGAGTAGGACTATTGCATTACACTATACAATGCCCCTTATATAATGTCCCCAGACAATTGATGCCTAGTCCTTCAGTTCTAGAGGGAAAAAACCCCACCTTTCCTAATCATTCCCTTTATTAATGTAATGAACATGATTGGGATGGGAAATGAAGGAAAAAGCCCACAGGTGGGTAAAGATCTCACTATGAATTCAGAATGCATTATGGCAACATAGTTTTATAGCATTCAAATGCACATCAGTCCAGGAAAATTGTATAAAGTTCCTCAGCAAAGAAACTAAAAAAAAAGAAAGCTCATCCTCTCAAGGTATATTACAGCTGCAAGTAATATCAGTTTTTTTAATACTGCCACTGGTTGTTCCCAGAGTTAAGGTGGCCTACAAAAGCAATGGTTAGATCAGATAATGAGAACTATGTAACTCAGAATTACACAGTTCTCATTATCTGATCTAACCTAGGAAATTCTGAAATATACTTTGTGTTTAAAAAGCTACCTTTATAGTATTCGAGTCACAACACTGAAAAAGGATAGCCATTATTTTAACACCTAAATATTTTGATACACTTATCTTCCCTCCAACTTTTATTTTATCTTAGTTTTAGTGCCTTTATTGGTACTAACTTCAAATTCACTTTAGAAGTGGACAAGGTATGTATAAGAAAATATGATACTAATATTAAGGAGATTGTAATCATATCAGAACAGAGAGATATTACATTACTTTTCAAGCACTGAAGAGAGACAATGTAACAAAAACATAACAGTAAAAAAAGACGAACTGAGATTTAAATCAAAGGTCAAAAAAATAATAATAACATTTGTAATTTTGGTCTCCTTTCAATCAGCAAATATGATGGGTTCATTTTACCTTAATTTCTATCCTTGCTCTGTGAGGAAAAAGCTGCCCAATCATGGAAAAGTCAGTTCCAACCATGCTGATGGCTAAAAAAAACATATCTGTTTCTGTAAAAATAAAAGATTTACAATGACAAAAATACTCTCAGTATTTCAGAGAAAAGAAATCTTACATTAGTATATATTCTGATTTTAAAATAAATTTGATCGTACTTGATTTTATTAGAAAGATTCTCATGGAATATCTAAAAATATCTTGTTTAAACATTCTTTTAAAAAAAACACAATATAAGAAATTTTCATGCTAATCCCAGTGCAGCTGGAATTTTTAAAAAGACATTCTGCCTATTTGGTCTCAAAGTGCCCTAAAAAAAACTGTCAGTCATAGCCAGTATAAGATTACACTATGTGAGCAACTAAGATGCACTTAGTACATAAACAATGTAGCTAGAAAAATACACAAGAAACCCTTAATAGAAGTTACCTCAGTAGGATACATAGGATTAGGGAAGTCACAGAAGGAAAGTATAGAATCTTTCTTTTCACTCTATATTCTTCAGCTGTGTTTGAACTTTTTCCTAAAACAGACTATTGCTTCTAAAATAAAAAGTAAATAACAAGCACCACCAGGCAATAGCTATTTGTTTAACAGCCTAATTTTAACCTACAGAAACTTTATTACACAATCCTATCTGAAGTAGAACATTATGAACATTATTAACATACTACTATATTATTCATTTTCACTTAAATGATGTATTTTGTACAGGGATGTTACAAAGAGAAAGATTTCAGCCAAAATGACCATAAAGCTAATTAAATTCTTAAAAAGATTTCTAAGATGAGCTTAGAAATACAATTCCATGCAGGAAGCAGAAAGGAGGTGCCAATAAAATTAGCTGGAGAGAAAAAATGGTAGTTTGCATTTTATTTACTTAGGGGATACCTGATCTAATTCAGAAACAGAAAATAGTTCACTTCATTTCAAATAAATAACTTACACAATTTTAAACAAAAATTAGTTACCTTTATTTGACCATGGTTTAGAGTAATAGTTTTTCCTAAAGCTGGAATATGTAGTTGTAGAACCACGCTCAAATATGGGGTCATTTTCTTCAACAACACAAGGGCCTTTTGTCCTTAAAACTTCTACAGTTAAACTGAAAGAAACACATTTTCAAATAGATCCACACTAAAAAGAAGTCATGAAACAAATAGTAAATGAGTTTTTTGTGGGTTTTTTTTTTTTTTTTTTTTGAGGTAAGATCTTGCTCTGTTGCCTGGGTTAGAGTGAAGTGGCCTCATCATAGCTCACTGCAACCTCTAACTCCTGGGCTAAGGAGATCCACCTGTGTCACCCTCCTGAGTAGCTGGGACTAAAGCCATGCACCATACCTACCTAACTTTTTTGTTTGTTATTTTAGACAGGGTCTCCATATGTTGCCCAGGCTGTTCTTGAACTCCTGGCCTCAAACCATCCTCTTGCCTTGACCTCCCAAAGTGCTAGGATTACAAGTGTGAGCCACCACACCCTGCCATAAATGAGATTTTTTTTCCCAGCATAAATGAGATTTAAATAGTTGTATTTTAAAATTTAGGATGGCAGCCATATCAAAAGTATAATAATATACATTTGAAATATGGATATTTTCTAAGCCATCTGTTAATTTTTACTTAAAACGTTGATTCCAGGAGGTAGAAATAAATGCCAACCTATTTTCAAAATCTGTAACAGCAACATAAATTTACAAAAAATATCTTTGAGCCACCTAAAAAAAAATTTGTTTTATTGACTTTGCATATCTCCTCTATTCAATATTACCTATATTACTGTACTAGGCCCAAAAGAAATATTGAGAAATATAAACATTTTATACTTATATTTTACATTCCTGCAGACAAAGCAGTTAAATATGCTTTTAACTACTTAATGACCAGTAAAATCATCATCACAAATTAATGGAAAACAGCATGCAAAAACAACTAGTTTTAGCTTAGCAGTATTACATTTATGTTTAATTGTCATAGAATGTAAATGCTATAAATGTTTATTAAACTTCAAAAGATTTTCCATTCCTCTTTTTTATGTACCAATTTATCCTCTTTGAAAAAACTACACTTAAAACAATTAAATTCTCCATTTTCTGCAGGCAAAAAAAAAAAAAAAAACAATTAAATTCCACAATGCCAGATGTGAGAAATTTAACTAGAAGGTGAATCAAACTTAACCACAGTAAGAATCATAAAATATGCTAAGCCTATGTTTCATTGCATATCCATTAGTTATCAACACACACCAAGATATGGTATTAGTTAATACTATGAAAACTTGAATATTGACTTCAAGACTGAGTCTATCTTAGAAATTTCTCTTCAGTGGAAGACAGCATGTGGTTAGTTCAGTAAGCTCAACCAATTACTAGCAAAGTTAGTAAAACAATGGTGTTACGTTAATGGATGACAGGGCAGCTGTACCATCTTATCATACAAAACACAGTATTATAAAATATGCTAAAAAATATTATTAATCTAACCCACTTTTCCATTTACAATATTCATTATGCAAATATAAACATCAGCATCTACAGAGTGACAATGACAAATACAGACACAGGATCTCTCTCACTAGACAAAGTATATTTCTCCTCATGAAACCACAACCTCTTTTTTTAACCTACCTTTCTTCATCCAAAATAATGGAACCATCTTCTGCCACTTTTACTCGAGGAACCAGCAATGGCCCATCATCTGTCTCTTCTTCCAATGCTTCATTATCTACAGCATCAGGAGTACTCTTACCTTCTTGCCTACCAAATGTAATGATAGGTTAATTCACAGTCATGAGAAGTATTTCCTGAATCCTATGAACTTCAAAATAAATTAGTACAAATTCAATATTCTAGCTAGTTCCAAATACCCCCATAACCTAATTGAAAATACTATGTGTTAAGGACATGATTATAAGATTTTCTCAAATTTTATCTTGAAGCATTTAATAAAAAGCCTTTACTCTTTTAAAATAAAAAGTAGTAAATGCTCACCTCTTCTATCTCAACATAATTTCAGAGTATATCCATCCAATTATTATGGAATTAACAATAATAATCCTGGCTGGGCACAGTGGTTCATGCCTATAATTCTAGCACTTGGGGAGGCTGAGGTGGGCGGATTGCTCCAGGTCAGGAGTTCTAAACCAGCCTGAGCAACAGAGAGACTCCATATCTACTATAAATAGAAACAAATTAATTGGCCAACTAAAAATACATAGAAAAAATTAGCTGGGCATGGTGGCACATGCCTGTAGTCCCAGTTACTTGGGAAGCTGAGGCAGGAGGATTGCTTAAGCCCAGGAGTTTGAGGATGCTGTGAGCTACAGCCATGGCACTCTAGCCTGGGTAACAGAATAAGACTCTGTCTCCAAAAAAAAAAAAAAAAAAAAAAAAACAATAATAATCCTTACAGTTGTACAGCATTAGTATCCAAATCATTTTATTAACTCTTCAGAGCAACCCTTCAAGGTTAATATTTTCATACCCTTTTGAGTAATAGAGAAGATAAATAACTTTTACTCTACATTATACAACAGTAAGGGCAAAAAGAGCAAAAAGTAAAACACAATGTTTCAAATAATGACTGCAGATCTCATGCGCTTTCCATTCTACTACACTGTCTCCTTAGGGTTTTTCTGTTTTTGTTGAAACAGGGTTTTGCTCTTTTGCCCAGGATTGAATACAGTGGTACAATCATGGCATACTGCAACCTCGAACTCAGGCTCAAGCAATCCTCCTGCCTCAGCCTCCCGAGTAACTGGAACTACAGGCACACACCATCATGCTTAGCGAATTTTTCCTTTTGTTTGTTTTTTTTTTTTTTGTAGAGATTGTGTCTCACTATGTTTCCGAGGCTACTCTCAAACTCCTGGACTCAAGCAATCCGCCCACCTCGGCCTCCAAAAGTGCTGGGCATGAGCCACTGTGCTTGGCCTCCTTAAGGTTTAATTGAAACAAATATAACCTATAAGCCTGTAAAACACAACCTATTATTTTTAAAACTTCAGCACTCTGCTTTAAAACAATATAGATCCTAGGCAAACAGTGATCATTAATGAACCCTTGAAGTGACAACTAAAGAACTCCCAATGTTTCTGATAATTTTCCACAGTCTCCCACTCTGAATTACAAAGCTAAAATAACTTCCTATTACAAAAGGTCTCTTGGTGGGATTTCTCCAGAATAAGCTAAAATATGACAGTTATAAACATGAGCTTGTACAAAAAATAGACTACATCTAGTGGCATCAAAAGCTAGAGCTGCTGTAAGACAGTATATGAAGCATGCTAATTTCTTGTTTAAAAGAAAAGGAAAAGAAAAAAGATATACACATTTGCCTGGGTGTGCATAGACTAGAAATGGAATGATACATTAAAACACTGGTAACAAACACTCCAGGGAGGGGAACTAGATGGCAGAAAATGAATCAGGAGACTTCTCAATATTCACTTTTGGTCCGCTTGAATTTCGTACCATGAAATATATCATTATTCTAAGACAAAACAAAGCATTCTTAATTCTAAAAGCTTTAATTTAAAATCATAATACTGGTCAGTTATATATATATAATATACAAATAATGTAGGGCTTTCATACTGATTTAAATAGGGCAGTAACTTTTATTCTTGTTCAGTGAGAATATTTTTAAAATCCAATTAAATGTAATTTGACTATAATAGGAAGCACCATTTGATCTCTCTCTCCCTTTTTTTTTTTTTTAGGAGACAGGGTCTCATTCTGTTACTCAGGGGGGAATATAGAGGGGTGATCATAGCTCACTGCAGTCTCAAAGTCTCAAATTCCTGGGCTTAAGTGATACTCTTACCTCAGCCTCATGAGTTGCTGGGATTATATAAGCATACACTGCCACACTTGGCTAATTTTTCTTCTTAATTGTTTTTAGAGATAGAGTCTTATTTGTTGCCCAGGCTGGTCATGAATTTCTGGCCTCAAGTGATCCTCCCACCTCAGCCTCCCAAAGGGCTGAAATTACACGTGTGAGCCACTATACTCAGCCCCGATTTCATTTTTTTTAACATAATATAGAATATAGAATATGTTTTTTAAAATAATAGAATATATTTAAAAAAAAATAAGATGCTTACTCTCTCGTCTGGACTGCAGTCAATAATTTTTCTGTTTTCTTTTCTTGTTCCAGTGAAGAACTATTAAACATAAATAACAGATTATTTATAATATGAATTATTAATTTACATCTTGTCAATTCTACCTGTAGGCAAGAAGGAAATTATTCTAACTTCTGTGGTTTTTTTTTTTTAATAATATATCACAGCACTTATTAATAATGGTGCAGCCCAAAATCAATTTTCAGTCAAAACCTTGTCATCAAGTAAAAATAACGTGGTAGGCCCTAAGTAGAAAATGTTCTTACACCCTAAGTCCTCAGTGAAGGGAGACTACCAGTCCCAAGATAATGAAGCAACCTAGGTAGCTTGTCTCAAACTTCTAGATGTCAAACAACTGGAAACCTAGGTTTCTAGCCCCCCCTTAAACGAGGCTAAAGTCCTAGTAAACCTGAAAAAGGACTACACTGAAGAACATGCCACAAGTCACAACTCCTACCTCCACCTACTAATTCATCAACTACACAACAAGATTTATTACAAACCTTCTGCTTCCCCCATCCCAGACTAACTTCGATCATCCCACCTAAGCCTCCCAAAGTGCTGAGATTACAGGCATGAGCCACCATGCCCAGCCAGGAAATTTATTTTTAATCTCAGAGATAAAGGGCATCATTTTCCATTCCCAGTAAGCAGTTACTTGAAATATTGCTAATTTTTGTTAGAAAATTCTATCTATACTTTTGGGATCTTCACAGGAAAAAAAATTCTATCTAAAAGGATATATGTGTTACAAATTTTGTCAACAAACTTTTGGAAAACATGAACTAGTACTCTAAAAGTGATAGTTAAATCACCACATACCCAAAGAAAGTAAAACAAATTTTACTTACCTCATTGGATTGTTATCTGGCAGATAATATATGAAGTCTCTCATAGTCATTTTTGAACGATCTGGTGGCCCCTGACTTTCATTTATAGCATATTTGTTTTTCCATTGTTTCTATACACACAAACACACAGATCCACTTTTATTTTATATGGAAGAATTTCACATGTACTATATTCAAATATACAATCCTCTGTTACATTCACTGCAAGTGCTCTAATATTATTCTTAACCCCAATTATGTAATTTTATAAACTGAATATTAAATTGTAGTATATTGCCCTTAATAGTTTTTAGTTTTTAAAAATTAAGGTGTCTAGGACTAGATAAAACCTCAATGTATAAAATCATGGTTACAGATGCCTTCTAATTAAACCCTAAATAGCTGAAAATTATATGTACATAGCTTTTATTTACCCTGTAGTGAACTGAGAATCTGTGTATCCTATAGCATTCTTGAAGCAAATGTTAATTCCCCAAAATAAATCTAATTAAGCAGATTCTATAAAACACAGAACATTTTAGGAGTTTACATTTTTAGAGGTATAGCTTTTAGAGGATATGAATTGAAATCCCATATCCTGAACTTAAGTTTGACACAAAGCAAATAATAGAACTGAGCTTGTTTCCTCCTGTGTAAAACATTCATATTTACTTCGCATAGTTGAAAGAATTAAATAACAAACATAAAGCAACAAGCAAAATGCCTTCCTCTTAATTAAAAAAAAAAGGTATTCTACAATTTATAACATGAGTGATTAAATAAATACTGCCTAGGCACTATTTCAAGACACCAGTTTAAATGCCTTTCACATATATTAATCATTTAATCTTCAAAACCCTTCAATGAGGTAGATACAGACTGAGTATTCCTTATCTCAAATGTTTGGGACAAGAAGTGTTTCAGATTTGAGATTTCTTTGGATTTTGAAATATTTGCAGAATACATACAAGTTGAACATCCCTAATGTGAAAGTCCAAAATCCAAAATGCTCCAATGAGCATTTCCTTTGAGCATGATACCAGCATTCAAATAGTTTCAGATTTTGGAGCATTTCAGATTTTCAGATTAGGGACACTCAACCTGTACTGTTATTAGTCCTGTTTTACAGAGAAGGAATAGACATAGATTAATTAAATTGTCCAAGGTCACATAGCTAGTAAAGGATGAAGTTAAGATTCAAACTTTAACTATCTAACTCCAGGGCCAGCATGCTTCACTACTGTTACATTGCCCTTAAAGGAAAAAAAAAAAAAAACAATCTTCAAGATTAAAAAGAACATGGACTCTATTATATGCATAACACAAATTTTTCCCATTTGTAATTTTCCTTGTTGCCAATTTAGAAAACAATACCAATTCATTTTGCTCAACTATATTAGTCTTAATTCAAATAAATATACCACATGTCACATGGACATGTTCTTATGAAAAATTTGATTGACGGTTTATTTTATAAATATGTTTGTGTATCTGTGGATACATGTTTAAAACTTTGTGGCCTTCAAAAATATGAACAATATAAATGAATAAAATATGTAAAAATTATCATCAGTGAAAAAATTAGTTTAAATTTATGGTGTTTCCCAACCATTCTATTAACAAAGGGGGTAGTCTGTTAACATAAGGGATGTTATGTGGTTTTATTCTCCCATAAAAATGCTACAGAGGTTTATTTTTCTTCCAAACAATGCCTTACTAACACAAAAACAGAAATCTAGCAGGCAATGTCAAAATTCTGATTTTCCTCCCTTACCTTCTCTTTTCTCAATTCTTCTCTTAACATTTCCCTTAGTTTCTGGGCTTTATATATTCGGTATCTATCTGAGCATGGTTGTTTCTCTTTTGCTGGAATAGGGTTTGGCTGTGGAGTTTCTTGGTTAACTGTGGATGAGGGATGAGATTCTGCAGGAACACTAACACTAGGTTTAACCAGACTAGAAGTACTTGATAGTCGCTTTCTTCTCTGGGAAACAGGAAAGGAAGATTTACTAGATTCTTCAACATCTTTCTCATCACCAGTCTTTGCATCACTGCTGGAATTTAAAAAGAAAAAAGGGTACCATGAATCTTCTTTTATACATACTAGCTTCAAATTACAGCCTGGTAAAAAATCCAAAATAGTAGAGGCTATTTAAAAAAAAAAAAATCAATCACTTCAGATTTATGCTACTTATGACAGAAATTACAAAGAGCCTCACTCTGTTGCCCGGACTAGAGTGCCAATAATTTCTTTCTGTTTTTAGTAGAGACAAGGTCTCACTCTTGCTCAGGCTGGTCTCAAACTCCTGACAAGCGATCCGCCCGCCTCAGCCTCTCAGGGTGCTAGGATTATAGGCATGAGCCACAGCAGCCCACCGGCCCAAATCTTTTTAACATATGTAAATCCTAACAAAGACTATTACTCTTTTTCAAACTTCAAGTCCCTAAGCACATTAGAGCACGTAATTAATTATATGCTTAGCTCCCTCAAAACAAAAAACCAAGTTACAGAACAAAGTTTAATTAGCCTAATTTGAATTACTAGATAACCAAGACTTGCTTTTTTAAAATAATTTATAATCAAATTTATAAATTGCATATAAAATTTAAAATTCACAGTGAGATCTCCTTAAACTGGGCTAAACTACTGGTATTTTACTTTACTTGTCAACCTGAGATCAGTCAAATCCAATACACAAAACTTCAAACCGCTGAAATATTTGTATTATGGCATTTGAAAATATACATTTAGCAACATAAGCCAAACCAAATTCTGTTTGAGACACAAATCATTTATCTTTTGTCAGGTATAACTCTACTTATACAACCATCAGAATAAACTCTTCAGTCAAAAAAAGTACTCAATACAAACTCAAAACTAGACCAAAAAAAAAAAAAAAACAAGGTACTCAGTCACCCCAAATTATGGTACAACTTAGACATAAATTTTTCAAGAATGGCATTAAAGCAAATTAAGAAAAGAAGTGATATAAGTTAAGAATTAAGAACTTTTCATATTTTACAATCGATTTTATATAAAAACAGAAAATGCCTTAACCTATAGAAAAATCTTTCCAGGAAGGCTCCAATTTAAATTATCTCAGCCCAGGCCAGGCACAGTGGCTCATGCCGGTAATCCTAGCACTCTGGGAGGCCGAGGCTGGCGGATTGCTCCAGGTCAAGAGTTCAAAACCAGCCTGAGCAAGAGTGAGACCCCATCTCTACTATAAATAGAAAGAAATTAATTGGCCAATTAATATATATATATAATTAGCCAGGCATGGTGGCGCATGCCTGTAGTCCCAGCTACTCAGGAGGCTGAGGCTGAGGACTGCTTAAGCCCAGGAGTTTTAGGTTGCTGTGAGCTAGGCTGACGCCACGGCACTCACTCTAGCCTGGGCAACAAAGTGAGACCCTGTCTCAAAATAAATAAATAAATAATCAATCAATCTCAGCCCTTACAACAATGTGATACATGTACCATTTGCATTTTACCCAATTATGCCAAATGCATAGGAAAGAACATATACCTTACAGATCTTTACAACTAGTAAAAAACAACACACAAAAAAGAAAACATATGATTAAAAAACAAAGTAACAAAGTATACTACCTGAATTATCAACTCTAAGAAAACAATTAGAGCGGTGGCTCACTCCTGTAATCCAAGCACTTTGGGAGGCAGGGGTGGGAGGATTGCTTGAGCTCAGGAGTTCCAGATCAGTCTGAGCAAGAGGGAGACCCCCTCTCTAGTAAAAATAGTAAAAATTAGCCAAGTGCTGTAGTGCTCCCCTGTAGTCCCAGCTACTTGGAAGGCTGAGGCAGGAAGACCCTGGAGCCCAGGAGTTTGAGGTTGCTGTGAGCTAGGCTGGTGCCACCGCACTCTAGCACCAGCAACAGATTGAGACTCTGTCTCAAATTAAAAAAAAAAAAAAAAGAAAACAATTAAATATCCTCCTGCCTCAGTCTCCTGAGTAGCTGGGACTACAGGTGTACACCATGACACCCGGCTAATTTTTCCAATCCTCCCACCTCCGCCTCTCAGAGTACTACCATTACAGGCGTGAGCCACTGCGGCCAGCCCAATTAAATATCCTTGAGCTTAAATGTCTAAAGATTACAATCTCTTTATAATTTATCACATGATCAATTATCATACACTCATATATAGTTAACAAAATCTGTAAAATTTTTATTAATTTAAGAGCTACTGGCATTGGTATCTTCACTTTGTTAAGAAATTTTGAAACAGATTCATTCAAGAAACTTGGAAATCACTAAGCATCCCACTGAACTATCAAAATAACACCTTGTAGCCAGCATCAATTCAGGCCAATATAGGAAAATGTGCCCAAAAAAAAGAAATTTTTCAGCTTTCTGTCACAGCATAAATAGAATGTACCATTTTACTGTCACTTAGCAAGGTTGTTTACTAGTTTCCTCATATGTATAATATAGAAACAGAGACCCTCTTAACCTGACTTGTCTTAAGGGTGTTTCCATCACCTTTTTAAAAATTAATAACATTTGGTGGGCAAAAGTCATGTCCTGTGCAAGATAGTTTATATGCATTATTTCTAATCTCCACAATCATGCTCCAAGCAGGTAATTTTTTTTTTTAGAGGCAGGGTCTGGCTTTGTTACCCAGGCTGGAGCACATTCCAGCCTTGAACTCCCAAACAAATTATCCCCATTTTACAGATGAATAAATTCTGCCTGGGAAGTCTACTTAAATTGTTAAGTAAAAGAGTTGTGGCCATTCCCAGCTACTCCGGAGGCTGAGGCGGTAGGATCCCTTGAGCCCAGAAGTTTGATGTTACAGTGAGCTATGTTCTTGCCACCACACACGAGCCAGGGCAACAGAATGAAATCCTGTGTCTTAAGGAAAAAAAAAAAAAAAGTAGAAGAGTCCTAAATCCAAACATGGTACGTGACAACTAAAGCCAGGCTTCTCCATTCGGGAAGCATGGTCACCATAGTTAAAGAGGCACACCCACAATCAAGTAACCAGAACTCCCTCCCACAGACGTAAATCAGCAGAACAAAAGCAATCCTGATCTCCTTAAATAAAATATATATTTAAAAATAAATATTCTAAAAAACAAAACTACTTTCTCTGTCAAATACTCTAGAAGAATGAAAACTATGGTCATCTAAATTCTCAAATGAATAGTGTGGACATTTACTTTAAAACTGTCATGCCTGGATTCTCCCCTCACCACTTGAAGACACGGTCTTCTCTCCGAAAGTCTACAGACTATGACAAAAATCTACAAATGCGCGTCAGAGGGACACACTGCAGTTTGGAGACTCAACTGAAACGCTTATTGCAACCAAGAGAGTTATCCTATGGTAGATTTCATTTGCTCAGCTTCCAGGTGACAGACCCGGGGTGGGAGCAGATGGAAATACTCCCCTCTGCAAGCTCTTACCTGCTCCTAGGAGCCTTTTCTTGGGGCTCTGCTCGCCCGAAATCTACCACGGGTACATCTGTAGGCTCTGCTAGTTTCGAAGCAGAGTCAGCCGCAGGCTCCGGAAGCCTGGGAGACTCCTGTCCACGCTGCAGACTGGGGGCGGTGGAGCCCCTGGCGCCAGTACCAGACCTGACATTCGGCTTCACGCTAAGGCGTGCCCTGCGGAACATGGCGGAGCCAGGGGGCCCGGGGAGGCGGCCCCACGGCCGCTCTCAGCCCCGAGCCCCGGCTGCTGCCCGGAAAGGGGGTTAGGAACTACGCCTTCCCCAAAAGCCACACCACCAGTCCAGCCAGCAGCTACCGCAGTTTCACACCCCCGCCGCCTCTTCCTCCTCTCTCCCGTCGCCGCCGCTTTTTCATGACCCTGCCACACTAATAACTAAATTTCCATCTCCTTCCAGCAACCCCGCCCTCAGAGGGCGCCGGAACTGATTGCGTCATCATCCAGTGCCGCGGAATAACGTCAGACGCACGGCGCCAAGGAACCTTATTAACTACCAAGCTATGCCGAATTTAAAAGGCATAGATTTGTGCTCTTCCTCCTCTAAATGTCTTTAGGAGTAGTTGAAAAGAGGGAAAAGAGGTAGTGAGCTCCTTGGCTCAAACCTTTATGGGAACCATTAAGTTTACTACTGGTCGATTTGTTTTTAGAGGATCCTGAAGAGGAGTTAAACAAGATGAGAGCAGTGCCTCGTCTTGCTCACCAGCGTATCCGAGGGCTTAGAAATTCTAAATTGAGTAGAACATAGATTATAATATTCTGAAATGGCCAGGCACAGTTCCTCACACCTGTAATCCCAGAACTTTGAGAGGTCGAGACTGGAGGATTGCTTAAGGTCAGGAGTTCAAAACCAGCCTGGTCAACATAGCAAGACCCCGTCTCTTAAAAAAAAAAAAAAAAATTGCGGCGTGAGACCGGTAATGGTTACCTCCTAGGAGGGAACTGGGTTTGGTATGAGCGGTGGCTCATACCAAGAATCCTAGCACTCTGGGAGGCTGAGGCTAGCCTGAGCAAGAGCGAGACCAGTCTTTACTAATAATAGAAAAAATTAGTGAGACAACTAAAAATAGAAACAAAAAATTAGCCAGGCTTGGTAGCAAGCACCTGTGGTCCCAGCTACTCGGGAGGATGAAGCAGGAGGATTGCTTGAGGCCAGGAGTTTGAGGTTGCTGTGAGCTAGGCTGACACCACAGCACTCTAGCCCAGGCAACAGAGGGAGACTTTGTCTCAATCAATCAGTCAACAAATAAATAAATATTAGTCAGGTATAGTGGTGCACCGGAGACCCTATCTCTAAAATGAACAAATAAATAAGTAAATAAGTAAGCAGGGAGTGGTGGTATACACTATAGTCCTAGCTACTTGGAAGGATGAGGTGCGAAGATTGCTTGAACTCAAAGAAAAAAAAATTCTACAATAACATCCTGCTGCATTAATAACAAAATGTGAAAGGAATATAATCCTGAACTGGAGGAAGAAATAAGTCATCCAATGGGAGAAAGAAAAGAGGCAGCTGCTTTTGGGACTAGGAAGGCAAGGGTAAAAGCAGAGTAGAGTTTTCTCTAAGGCTGGGAAGAAAATGGAGGTCTGTGGGTTCTGTGGGCTCCCTCTCATACTCTGGAAAAGGAACAGAATCTCAGCTGGGTGAGGTGGCTCATGCCTGTAGTCCTAGCACTCTGGAAGGCCAAGGTAGGCGGATCATTTGAGCTCAGGAGTTAGAGACCAGCCTGAGCAAGAGAGAGATCCTGTCTTTACTAAAAATAGAAAGAAATTAGCTGGACAACTAAAAATATATAGAAAAAAACTAGCCGGGCATGGTGGCACATGCCTGTAGTCCCAGCTACTCGGGAAGCTGAGGCAGAAGGATTGCTTGAGCCCAGGAGTTTGAGGTTGCTGTGAGCTAGGCTGATGCCACGGCACTCTAGCCCGAGCAACAGTGCAAGACTATGTCTCAAAAACAAAAGGAACAGGATCTCAGTTGTATCTAAGGCAGCACAAGAACTCAAAAAAGAACCCCCTGCTGAAGATGTCTGAGAAATCTTGCAGCCACTGCCAGAAACACAGCTTTGGACAGCATATTCTGATATAAACTGAAGACACAAGGCCTTTCCCCGGTGTTCTGTTCCACCTTAGAAGCCAGGGCATTCCCACAACTTTGTAGGTAAGGAAGTCAATAATGACTAAACTTTAATTTCCCACTAGTAAAGGGATGGGAACAAAATCAGATTAAATTTTATTACTAAATATAAAGTCCTAAGACATTTGTTACACACCAATGTTTGTGGAGTAAGTTCTTAAGTGGCATCATAGTAATTTTTAAAATCTCCAGTTTTCTCTGACAAACACACCCAACATATCTTGGGTATGTATGTGTACCCCTACCACTCTAAAACTATATTTTCAGCTGCAAAGAAAAAAGCTCAATTAGACTATAAATTAAGAGCACATACAAAATAACAACTCTAACATTTACCTTCCAGATCCCAAATTCCTCCCCTCCCTTCCCTCTTCCAATGATCTCAAGAGCTGTGCCAGAAAGTCAATCTTAGGGTTCCCTAAGTGGAAGCAGTCCCCTGACCTGTTAGCAGGATTGAGGAGAAGTGGAGTGGGGGGAGAGTGGTAAGTATGCAAGGCTCTCTGAGGTTGAAAGAATAATGACAATAAGAGCTAAAGTAAGCCGGGCGCGGTGGCTCACGCCTGTAATCCTAGCACTCTGGGAGGCTGAGGCGGGCGGATTGCTCGAGGTCAGGAGTTCGAAACCAGCCTGAGCAAGAGCGAGACCCCGTCTCTACTAAAAATAGAAAGAAATTAGCTGGACAACTAAAAATATATAGAAAAAAACTAGCCGGGCATGGTGGCACATGCCTGTAGTCCCAGCTACTCGGGAAGCTGAGGCAGAAGGATTGCTTGAGCCCAGGAGTTTGAGGTTGCTGTGAGCTAGGCTGACGCCATGGCACTCACTCTAGCCTGGGCAACAAGCGAGACTCTGTCTCAAAAAAAAAAAAAAAAAAAAAGAGCTAAAGTACTGAGTGCTACCCTACGTTGGGCACTTAATACTTGACAGATATTAATTCAATTAATGATGAAGGTATAATGCATACCTCCCTGTTTTACAGGTAAGAAAAATTTTAACACAATGAAAAAATGTGTCCAGGTTGACACAGCTACTAATCCGTAGAGCTGGGCTTTCAACATTCTATCTCCAGAGTCCTCTGTCTTCATCACTTTCTCCCACCTTCTCTAAAGTAGGCAATTTTATGAGGTAATAATTTTTTTTTCCTTCCGAGGTAATAATTTTTGAATTTTGGCCATATGTACTTGGGGTTCCACTATAGTATTTTCTATACTTTTGTATTATGTGAATTTGAGATCTTCCAAAATAAAAACTTTAAAAATATAGGGCAATTTTATAGTGTCCCAACCACCTCACTTTGTAATAATTAATGAAATAGGTGAAGAAAATAAGTACCAGCTAAATGAAACACATGAGCATCTCTACACGTTTTCTAGCAAGGCAGATGGTCTACAGCTTTTACATAGGTTCCGAGGTTATTCTAGGCTATTCTGACTGTGTAATAGGACTGCACTCCTTGTCATCCTCTCCGCAACACACAACCCAACCACGGAGCCGGTAACTCCTAAAACACTGCTGATTGTGACAAGGGCACTGGGATAAAATGGGAAATGATCACGCTTTAGAGTCAGTCTTAGATGTGATTCTCTTTATAACCGATTTTTGTTAGGTCATTCTCTCCTGTAAAATGAGTGCTATGAAGCCTACCTTGCAGTGGAGTTGCTAGAATAAGGAAGGAAAATAGATACAGGGCCGATACCGCCTTTCGCAAAGTTAACCCTCAATCTGTCCAGTCCCCTTCCTCGCCTTCCCGCCTCTGCAAGGGAATGAATGAAAGCTAGCGTCGTTCTTTGTCGAAAAGTAAGATATTGTAGTGTTTATCGTCGTTTGTTATCAAAAAAAAAGGAAGGCTGCCTAAGCCCCTGTGTCTGGCGCACAGTGGGGAAAACCCACACACGCCTACCCATCTCTCCCATATACCGGACCTGCTTCCGCGAGTCTCCAAATCGCGCGTGGCAGCAAGGCCTCCACGCCCGGCAGCGCACGCGCAGTGACTGGCCGGCCACGCCGCGGCTGTTGTCGAGCCTCGGTGGGCGGGGCCGCGGAGGGAGCGGGGGCGTCGCCCGGCCGAGGGCCCACGCCGGCTCAGCCTTCGCGAGCGACGAGTGGTGACGGCAGCTGGGCTTGTGAGGGAGCCGTTGCTTTCGGTGTCGCTCTTCTTCAGGATCCGTCTGGCGGTCGGAATGGCCCGTGAGTGTGTGGACGAGTGGGGGAAGCGGCGGGGAGCGTCCGGCAAGGGAGTCTAGCGCCGAGCCTAGTCTGAGGCGCGGCTGGAGGGGGAGGCGGGGACTGGTCCGAGAGTCCCCCTGGGTCCAGCAGGGCGGGGACCCCCGCTTCCGTCAGGAGAGAGCGGTCACGGTGGACTCGGTCTGGCCTCTCAGGCCCGACAGGTGCCTGCCTCTCAGGTGCGAGTTGCACGGTAAATAACATCCCCCCGGAGGTGTGTGAAGACGGCAGCCCCGGGAGGCATCCTCGTTTGGAGGTGGTTTATAGCTGATACCCAAAGTCTTAAGGCCTAATGAGGACCGGCAACTCCTCCCTAGTTCTTTTGTTTTGCCCTTGCAGGTAATAGTGGAATTGTGATGGGTTGAACTTGTGATCTCTGTGTATTTCTTCTTTGCTCCATCCACACCCCTCAAAAGCCAGAACTTGTTTTGGAATACTGGCCCATATAGACGATTGGAATGCCTGTTTTAAAATATCTAGTATTTATAGCTAGTAAACACTTAGATTGGTGTGATAATACTCAAGTCCTTAAGTGTTTACCTCTAAGCTTCCTCCTTGTCAGATCTGTGAACATCATCAGTGCAGTACTCTGCTGCCTTGTCTATTAAAAATCAAACTTCATTACTCTGAGTTTCTCTGAGAAAAGAAAATAAATAAATAAAAATTAAAATTAAGATGCATTTAAGTAAGAGTCCTTTAATGAACTTATTAATAATTTCGGAGATGGGAAAAGAGCATGATTGTTTGTCTTTGTAGGTGGAAATCAACGAGAACTTGCCCGCCAAAAAAATATGAAGAAAACCCAGGAAATTAGCAAGGGAAAAAGAAAAGAGGATAGCTTGACTGCCTCTCAGAGAAAGCAGAGGTAAATGGTACTTATAGAATTCTCAAGTCACTACCGTGATTGAAGCCACATTTTGGAAAATGAAAAGCATTTCTTTAAACTCTTGGTAGAACTGGGCCTAAATTACAGAAAGGGATAAGAGTAATGAATATCTGTTTTGTGCCAGGCATACTGAAACCATATGGAGTAGTCATTATCCCAGCCTATGGATGAGGAATTTAACGTTCTGAAGCTATTTGTTTTG